TATGTATGTATGTCCTGAAGAACCATACTGAACGTGATAATTAAAAATGAAACACATTCACCTAACACTGTTTCTCCGCTTTTATAATGATATTATTTATAAGTATGTACATACATACATACATACAAATCTATATTAATATTTGTTGTTGCCTCAACAAATAATAAGCTGTTTGAATAATGGATTATCTTTCTGGAGTAGAATCTAAATGAATAAACTTAAAATTCCCACATTCTAATGAGATATTTAGTGTATATACTATTACACACACATACATAAGTGCACTGTAATTGTCTGTCTGCCTTTGTATATGCATGCGACTGTCTGCGCGTAAAAACACAAAAGTTAATCGATTTTCGTTACGCTGCAACTGCAGGAGGAACAGCAAACAAAAAAGAAATATTCGAACCAAAAAGAAAAAGTTTTCGCCTGCATGCATTGCTGCTGGCCAAGGTGGAGGATGAATGAAGAAAATACATAAAAATAAAACAAAATATTTTCATTTTTTCGTTTATTGTTAATTTGGTATTCTATGTTTACATGGCACAGCCCTCAGTTTACATAAATAAATTAAAAAAAAAAATAAGCTATTAAAAAACTTTCGTGACGCGACATTTTTGTGTATTTGACGAACTACAGCGGTCAACACGATTTTTGGATCTTAGTGCTATAAACTAGATAATAACTCGCAGCTTTGGACAAGTTTTGATATACATAGGCATCTCAATGTTCCTGCTCGGCCTCGGCTCGTCTTCAAGAGATTCCCTTCCTCATTTAAATAAACTCTTTATGGTACAACGGTATGCTATTTGATTTTTTTTCATATTTCACTTTTCACTCCCGATTATGTTGCTTGGTTGACGATTCCTCAAAGATCAATTGTCTAATTACAACAAACGTTAGTATTTATATTAGCTAAGAGACACTGAATAACCAACCACCAAACACGATAATAAAAACATCACTTTGTACACTAAAAACAAGGAATTTTTAAATTAAAGTTTGACTTTGTACTTCTTCACGTGCTTGCGAACTTAGCCGGCTCTAAAAGGTTAAATTATACTTGCCGACTTAAATCAGACAAAAGCAAACAAGATAAATTTGAATATTTTGCAATGTCATGCTAAAGAACAAAAAAAAAAGACCAAAGAAAATCTTTTTGTTGACCGGTGTTATGGGTATGTAGGAATAGCTTGAAATCAACAAACAAAAATGGGGAAAAAGGTGAATGAGCAATTAAATTGTCATCAATATGTCATAATCTTTAGAAACTTCACGCTTTAATAATCATTTCAAATTGATTCTTTATAAAAATTTTAGGTTAAATTTTCGCACAGAGTCAGCTTTTTTTCCAATGATTCCTAACCGTCTCGGGAATAGTGCCTAATGCCTCCGCCATATGCTGACAGCTTATACGCCAGCCTTGCTGCACAAATTCAAAAATTTCATCAGCTTTTATCGAGGTGCATCGTGGCATTAAACTTTTCGGCTCCGGCGTTCACTTAAAAACTTCCCACAGAACTTTTATCTTAAAAAATCACATAATCACAAAATGTATTTCTTTCGGAAATTTCATTAAATTTCAATTCGAATTCGGCTTTCAATATTTGGTCGACAAACCGCCCGGCAGAGTTGGCAACTCGAGCAACCCGAGATCGGTTTCGCACTACGTTTACTCCAATGGATGATGCGCATCCTCAGGGATATTGAACAGTACGCAAATGCTGCTGTGGAGCAGAATTTCGAAGAAGACCCGAATGAGAGCATCCGCAAAGACACTGTTGCTATGTATGCTCTCTCCGGATATAGAAACAATGGTCTATATTTCTTTAAAAAATGAGGTTGGCCATAATGTGAAAGTAGATGGAGAAAGCTCTAGAGCCAAGATTAATTAATAACATTTTTGTGACTGAATTGGAGGATGTTAAACTGGACGACCTTTAGTACCAGCATTTCGAAGCCATAGGCCTGTGCGATAGTGCGATGTAATTTTGTACTATTTTTGTGGTGCTCTGTGAAGTCGCTTGTGTACGCAGATAAGGTCGAGACAATTGATGCATATTTGCTTTATTGCTCGGAAAATAGACCCCTTGGCTGGAATTTATGCGAGCTAGCCGCAGCAGTCACTTGCCCTTAGCTTATTTCTACTTGAATGTTTAAAATATTTATTTTCTCATTTCCTAATTAATTTCTATAATATCTCGAGAATATTATCTCTAAATTTCCATCTGATCTGATCAAAAATACAGTCATGGGAAGGTGTGGACTCAAGGCTGATAGGATCAGCGCTTAAAACTTTAAACATGTTTTTCGCGCAACTGTGTTTTTAAAGTCGATCTGAAAACTACTTAATCGATCTAGAAGAAATTTAATTTCTTTACAAAATTTCAGTAATGGTTCTTCAAATGAATGGAAATTTCAAATTACATTTTTAATTTTTTTATTTAAAAAATTGTTAAGATGAGACCTTTTTCTCCAAATAAACCCATTTAACCCCTTAACGAATTACGTGGAAAGCAATAGCTTAAAACCAACTAGTTGAGTTGGAGATAAGCGGGTTTGAAGGTTAGGTAAAAACTGTACTGATGTAAATCTGAGTTCGAAAATGTATGAAAATTTTATTGATAAATCATTTGTGAATATGAAAAAACGATCTTAGAAATATATATGTATAATTGGCGCTTTATAACCGCTGAAGCTATTTGAGGGGCAAACTTCTCCTCCAATTTGTGGTTTTCGGTCTTGATGTTTTTCCAACAAATGGAGGGACTCACAGCTTATACTAAGCCTCCTCCGAACGGCTGAAAATTCTTGTATGAGGAGCCTTTATTTCAAGTCCGGAATATGGTCGGAGGGATGCACATCCCTTGCCTTAAATTAATTTTCCATAACTTTTGGATGTTGGTGGCACCGGGATATGGACCCTAAGAAATAAAGCTAAAATAATATATGTATGTATTAAGATGAGTAAAATATATTATGTTAAATTTTAAAAAGGGTTAATTCTTGACCAAAGAATGGACCATCTACTACTGATACATATACAAATAAGTATGTATTCTACACAATTCTTCAAATCATCCGTAAATAAAAATGTACATGCTTGTAAATATGTATCGTAACGAGCGGTAATAAAATATGATCATTAAAAACAGCATCTGTGAAGTTATTATTGGTATATGTACGTGTATGTATGTATATACAGGAAGTGAACGACCGACTTAAAATTATGCTCCCAATCCGTGGAGAGAATAGAGTGCACTTTATAAATAATCAAGCCATACATGAGAAAAAGCAAACATATACACAAGCAAACATACGCATTTAAGTACGCACCTACATACACGTATGTATGCATGTAAGCATAACCATTCACTATCTTACATTATGTACATATATAGGCACACATGCATTGCAGTGTGTGAAGATCTTATAGGTGAAATCGACAGCGCATGCATGTATGTACATATATATGTACGAGTATAATCAATTTAATATTTGAAAATCATGTCATTGCGTATTTATGCTACCATTCATAACATTAAATACATTCATACACACATACATGCATATGTACATACTTAAAACTGATTGAGATTGTGATCATTGTAATCATTGTTTATAATTCCATTAGTTTGATAGATGACATTATCGTCAATAATTGTTGTACAATATGTATGTATGAGTATAGTTACATATGTGTACATATTTGTTATGATATTACGGTAAATTGTATGTAGTTATTCGCATTATATAGTATAATAGTCGACTGTCAGCATTACTGAAATCAGCCATAACAAATGCATTAAATTAGTAAGACGAAAACAAAGCGACAAATTGAAATTATTTCACATTGCCTTGCTAATTTTTAAAAAATTTTTTTTTTTTTTTTATATTTTATGAGCTTCAATGTGAACGTAATGGCATACATATGTACAAATGTATAAATATAAAAGATATCACTTTGAATTTTAAGTTATCTTATTAAGTAACCTACATACGTACATATGTATGTGCATAGTAGTTTTTTAGTGTTAATAAAATTTTTGATTTCATAAAAATTTGGAAATGTTCAAAACATTTGAATTTGTAAATACACTTGTAACAGCACACTTCTATTTTAACATTTCACTTTATCTGTTAACGATTTAACATTAACGACAGCTTTTCGTTTTGGGCAAAAACGAAATAATATTTATTTTGATAACTGCTTTAACGTGAAATTTATCGCTCCGATACTGCATCACACCGGAAAATTCAACTTACTTTAAGGTTAAATATAGCACCCAAGGCTACAGATAATTTAATAAGTAAGTTCATAAGTTTCTTTTTCTCCATCTCTACTAGTGTAGAAACCTTACGGAATTATAGAGGAGTTAACAACAGTGTCCTATTCTTTGCTTCTTTTCATTGTTTGTCGCCAGTACAACCAGGGCCTTCTCCACCTTCTTTCCAACGGTATGGAGTTCATACTTTCCTCTGCTTCCACGTGTGAGTACTGTTGCGAAAACTTTCAAAAACTGTAGTGTTTTTATCCATTCGGACCACTTGATCTATCCAGCATAGCTGTTGTCTCTTGATTCCCTGTACTATGTCAAAGTCGCCGAATATCTCGTACAGCCCATCGCAGTTCTATCGGCTGTCGTATTCGCTGTTGCCAATGGCTCATGGCCGAGTTATGAGATGATATCATCGCTTCTACGTTTCAACATCTTATATCAGGACGGACGGGAATGATGATCGGATTGTAGACTTTCAATGTCAAGAGTAACTAGATGAATACCAGTGTATATAGCATGTTGAATTTCTATTTTATGAAAGAATAATACAAATGAGTTTGCCTGCAAGCGAGACTCGAAGCGTGAGCCTCAGGTGCCTCGGCACCGCGGCCAATGCTGCAGTCATATAGATATTATGTTGCTTTATTTATAGAATATTTGAGTATATATAGTTATATACCACTTTCTCATTTACTATATATTATTTTGTTTTGTTTTCAGAATATGTATGAATAAATGCACAGCCATTTTTTGCTTAACGGCAACGCTTACTCGCCATAATTAGAGCAACATGTCCGCCATATTATTTTCTCAGGACTGTGAGCAGAAAAATCAAAATATAGAAGAACTAGAAACGCAACTGGATAATCACACGTTTAGTGAGGATTCTTGTAATGGGTTTTGTGCACAATCGCCGCAAAGTATGCAAAGAACTTCAAGTACTGAACTCGAATTGAAAGACTCCCCAAATGCCCCATTCGCTGCCATGCCAAAACAAATGGAATATAATTGTGATGATAGCCTATTAAGCAATAAAATGGCAGCATTAGAAATAAATGAGGGCGACAGTGGCCATTGTGATGGGGGCAGTGATAGTGGCCTTGACACAGCAACCTCGAAACCCACGACGGTAGTCATTGCTGCCAGCGATATTCATTGTAATGACAACAATTGTGCCGCTACTCAAAGTAATACATTGCAGCGTGCTTTGAGCAGTACCAGCGGAGGTTATGCCAGCAGCACGGGTGGTTTAAACGATGCCAATAATGATGTGACGGCGACAGCAGCAAGTTCGGATCGTACAGCGGGTACTCCAGCAACTCATGGTTTTAATATGTCCGGCAACTTAAGTTTGCATAGCTGTGGCTCGGAAGCGGTAAGCGCTGAACTGTCGACAAACACAACGAATGGTGGTGCATCGTCGGCGACGCAGAGTTTTGAGTGCTACAGCGAGAATGGCAGCGAGAATTCATCAATGCTCGGTGGTGGTACTGTTGCAACAACACCAGTACGACGTTCGAATAGTGTAAAGACTAAAATGCGTGCCTTCGAGGCTGGTCGTAGTGTCTATTCTACGCCAATGGCACGCAGTGTGAGAGAACGTGGTAATTATGCAGTAGTTTGTAATAACATACGTGTATGTACACATTTCCAATCTTCTATTTATATATTTTCATAGATTGCAGCAGCACTCCAATATCCACTCCTACTAATATGCTGAGTAGTAGCGCCACAGCGTCACGAACGCGTCCAGTTGGCGTTAAGCGCACTTCATCTTTGTCGCGTCACGTACCTCCAACGACACTACAACGTCAGGCTGACAAACAACAATTGCTCAATACAACCAATAACACTTTAATGCCAGCGCCTACATCAACGGTGCGCTCCACGCCGAGCACGCGCGCAACAAAACCACAGAAGCCAGATTCCTTGCCGAATACGCTCAGTCGTACTCAGTCCATGAGCATGCAGCGTCTCGTACAACGAACACCATCGTTGAGTCGAGCTCGCACACCATGTACACCCTCAGAAGATGGTCGTTGGCCAGGCAGTTCCCGTGCCTCCGCTACAATGATGGGCGCGACTAAGCGGGGCGTATCGGTCACACCAGACTTGATGTCACTGAAAATGCGTTCGTCAAATATGATGACGTCCATGGAGGTGAGGTCTACTAACTCCAATACCAATTCAAATCCATATGGCACATTACCGCGGCGGCGAAAGCAAAAGTCTGTTGAAGATTTGACAGTAACGCCTGATTCGCGTAGTAGTTCTATAACACGTGATAGACGCATGACCACTTCGGTAATGGCTAGCACGCGGCGGAGTTTAGTTAGTGCATTTGGCGCATCTACACCACAAAGCAGCCAATCGCGTTCACTTACGCAGCCGCGAAAAGTTGCAGCACAGACGCCTAAAACCCGCATATACCATGAGACGAGCGTACAAACGGCGATCACTGGTGACGACTTGGAGAACATGTTCGCCGGTCGTACGCCAACAGCACGTGCCGTAGACGCTGTCGAACAGCATGAACGGACCACACAGACTGATATACGCGACGCTGAATTGGAGCGTTTACGCGATGAAGTGCGTCAATTAGCGCAGCGTGAACATGAACTTAGCACTAAGCTGCAACGGGAACGTGAGGAAAAGTTGGCCACACAGCGCGAATTACATTTAAATACTGAGCGTGTTATGAGCATGCTGGAGATGGCACGGATAACTGGTCGCAAATGCGGACGCACTGGCGGCAGCGTGAGCGGCATTAGTATTGATGGAGATGCCACTACGCCAACATCCGATGAGGGCAGCGGCAGTGGACATGACAGCTTACTTATGTTGGAATCACAAATCCAAATGAGTGGTCATGAATTGATAGAGCGTCAACATGAGATTGGTCAGTTGCGACAGCTTTGCCGAACATTGCAAATGGAGATGGAGCGTTCTTTGGCGGCACAAGAATGTCTGTTGCAAGAGAAGGCTGCCATCGAGCAGGAATCCAGCGAATTACAGGACTTTTTGCAACATGAAAAATCAGCTTTATGTGATGCATTGAAAGAGTTGGAAACTGAGCATCAAACGTGTAAACAACAGCTTGCCGGCCGTGAGGAAGAGGTGAAGGTTTTGCGCGATGAATGCCGCCACTTAGTGCGACTTAATGAGCAACGAAGGTGAGTTCAATAAGCGAAAAATATTAATGCGCGCAGCTAATTAACGAAGGCTTCTATTTTTTAGACAAGAGAATCGAATGCTACAGTCTAAATACGCAGCGCTGGAGAATAAATCCAAGGAAATAATGATGCAGCAGAACTATTCCGTATCTGGCGCCTCCGCTGCATTGTCGGGCTTACACTCGCGTTTGGACAGTTTAGTTGAGCAATTAGTCTCAACGTACAATATAACGGAACATGATCTAGAGGTATGATTGAAAATTATTTGAAGTTTAACGACAAATATTTGAAATTTGGTTTAATCTAGTGAGGAAAAGAAATTCGTCACCTTAATATTATTAATTATTTTTTACATTATTTTGATATACAGAATTTTAGTTTTATAAGCACAAATTATAATATTTTTTTAGCTCACTGTTCATGGAGATAGCTTAAATATTGAAACGTTTTTTATTGAGGTTAAGGTACTTTATTTTCTGTTTCCAAACGCTTGCTCAAAGGAAAATATGGTCTGCGAAACTCTACCAGACGATCAATGACAATTACTTGTTGGGGTGCGTTTCGATTTATGAAGAGAAATTTATTTATAGATGAACTAGTTTCTTAGTCATAGCTGTAGTCGCAATCATTACAACTCACACTTTGCTATGGAAAATTTTTAGGAATGTTCATAATTATTTATCAAACTGCTAGATTACAAACTATTCATTAAACACATTATACTCGTATTAAATTATGTTTAGTGTGTTCGGCGAGCTGCTGGGCAATAACAATTGTTACCAGCATTTACTGAACCGAGTTCAGTGAGGCAAAAACTCCGTAAAATCTGCACCGAAAGACCGCAATTTTAACATTTCATTACTGACCAATTCTTACTGACATTTCTCACCGAACAGAGCTGTTACCATCACCTCCATTATTATTGGTAATTTTGAGTAACAATAGCGAGATTTACATATATAAAAGTTACTTTGTTTTATATATATAATTGGCACTTTGTAACCGCTGAAGCGATTTTCGTCCGAGCTCCACCTGCTATTTGATGTTTTGCCCACAAATGGAGGGACCTACAGTTTATGCTAAGCGACCTCCCAACGGCTGATGGATTTTTATGAGAAGCCTTTATTTCATGTCAGAAATACACTCGGAGGGTGGACATTCCCTGCCGAGTTATATAATTACCAATAACTACAATAATTAGTTTTTTAACTAATTGGCTGTTAAAAAGTCAGTGTAAATTTTTCAAATTTTCTTCTATATTAATAAATTGGTACGAATTTATAAAGTAGTGTCTAGTGATTATTTTCAATGGTGACTAGAAACACATTTCTGACTATTTATAGTTATTGAGTTAGGTAACTAAAAGTTCCGACCATGATGGGGAGGTGAGCCACTTCTTGTCCACAACAACTTTGAGTTTAAGGGTCCGAAGATATTCCATGCTTTCCCCTATGGCTGTTCAAACTCTTACTGAATATTCTTCCAATAGAATTAGATATTTTAATGATCAGATAGAAGATATAATTTAAAGGTCATGAAAAGATGGAGGAGATATACCCAAAAAAATGTATACCGATATGTATTGGTTCAGAAATGAGATTTTGTGTAAAAAATCCGCCAAAAGAGCAATTGACTGCATGAAATTTGATATTTAACATACGTATCAATTAATAAACATTGTAACCGAGAACAATCGAAAACGAAGGACTTTATCACGTTTCCTTCATATAACCGATTTGTTCAGATTTAAGCTTTTTGGGTAAAAAATCCGCTTCTGGAAGCTTGAGAATTGGTATTCTACACACGTGTTTACAAAAAAACATTGTCACCGAAAATCATTGAAATCAAAGGACTATACCATTTAGCTCCCGTATAGTCCAGTTTGTCAGAAATGAGGTTTTGTGTCAAAAATCGATCAAAAGTGCATCTGAGAACGAGAAATTCGATTTCCACACATCAAAAATCAACAAATCGGACAATTTGGTCAGTTTTGAGGTTTTGGGTTTTAAATTTGATGTGATCGTGAGAGGTGTAAAGACTTCGGCACGGCCGAATACATCTCTTCTCTTATAAATACATTAATGTGAATATTTCATATCCTATTCTTGAAAAGAATGCATGCAGAGTGAGTTGCATTGAACACGACCTTGACTGCTTTACCAAATATTTAAAGGGGTGGCGATAACCAACTGCATTATTTCAATTTGTTTACATATTTACATAGCGAATTTTCACTAGATTCGATTAAAAAAAGCAGTATCTCACACGCTTGCTTATAACTTCATCTAATCAATAAACGCATTCATTACTTATACATATTACGTTTCATAACCAATAGGACATGGGCTTTCAACCCGAAACGCAACAGAATCACAGCAATGCAGTGGAAGTACGCTCAACACATAATTCGGATGAATATCTTGGTCGTTTGCCATCGAACGTCAATGCAAATGGATTGGAATTGTGTACACATTCGCAAAAGTTTTTACCGCAGCCGAGTGATGGCTCGCTGTCGCCACAACGAAATCAATCATTCATTGCTGCCGTTATAAGTGCCATACGTAATGCAACAACGCCGTCGAGTAAGAAACTATTGGCGCGAAATAATGGTAAACGAATTAGTATTGACAATGTTGGCGCGGTTGAGCTACAAAACGGACAAGGTTCAATAAAAATGAATAACAACTATAATGGTGAAACTCAGAATGGCGGCGGTGGTGAGTGTGGGTTATAAAAATATTTTTATTTATTTATTTTTTTTAACACAATTTTAATTTTGGTGTGTTACAGATGACTCGGATTCCACTGAAATGCTCGATTCCGAAACAGAGCCTTGTCTAATGATGGATAATGTGCTAGAAGATGTGACAATGCCCGATTCTCATTCACACAATATGGTCTCATCATGTACTGGCATCATTTCACAATTGGAAATACCAACTGAGTTAGTTATTCCTGCGTCTGGCGATGAATCACTGCATAACCTATCGCAAGCCATTGTAAATCGCCAACAAATGGAATTACAAATTAGCAATATGCAAAGTGTACAAAAAGCAACAATGCAGTTGAAGTGAGTATGGAGACAACGTTGTTGTCTTTTTTCTTTAATAATATTTTGGCAATTTTTATTTTTCAGCCAATGTGAACGTGATAATTCAGACGATGTTAGTTGCCATGATTCGGTTGCTGAGATGCCTTCTCTCATGGAGTATTGTACCGCACAAGCAGTGGTTGATCAGGTTATAGAAGTCGATTGCTTAGTGACGAAATTGCTCAAAGTCCTGCGTCTCATACAAATGGATAACGATAATTGTATACAACAACTTATTGTTGATAAGTAAGTGAAAGGTAGAGATTGAAGTAACAAAAAACAAATATTGAATGTTTGTCTTTTCTGGTATAACTCATAGAAACAAATTACAAGAAAATAAGGAGGATATGCTGGAAAAACTCAAAGATTTGCAAGATGTCAATATAAAGTTACAAGACGAGCTAATGGATGCCACGCAAGAGCTAATGCTAAAGAACACCGATTTATCAAATACGAAAGCTGAAATGCAGCGACACCGTAATGAAATCGATGTAAGATTTTAAAAGAAAATTTAAAACAATATCATCGATTGATCAATGATTTATTATTATTTGTTTTTTTTTTTTTTTTTGTATTAGATTTGAGTTGCTTTTGCACAAGCATTTAATTTTGGTTATAGAGCACACCGATACAAACTCGCTCCCATGTACATATTTACATAATTAACACATACAGTTTTGTTATACATACATATATATATATATACTTACAAAAACTTTGGTCTCAATTTCATTGTTTGAGTGTTAATTTGCCGAAACGATACCGAAAAAAACGAAAAAAAAATCAAAACAACTGCTATAAACTTTCTAAAAGTATACATTATTTTGAGCACGAAATTGCATACTTTTTAAATGATAGTATATATTAAATTCCATTACGAAAAAAAGTTCAATTCAAGATTTAATTTTTATACGCGGTTAATAGAAATGGTTAGGTTTCTCATATTTGTTCGGAACATTTCTTTTTTTTATTATTAATTAAATGAGATGATAGTACAAATGTCTCGATCCTAAAAAATCTTAATAGCACCCACGCCAGATTTATGCTTTAAATCTAATAAAATTCGATCGCAAGTTTAAGCATGTTGGTATATTTACATTTACATATTTAATTACGAAATTGCTAGAAATCACACTGTTGTTCGATATTTTGCTTATTGGCAACGTGTTTGTATAAAGACTATTATCGCTATGATTTTATTTTAAGAGTATTTTAATGCATTGACACATATATAAACATTTACCAAAAAAAAAGTTATAATTATAATTGTAATCTACGCACACGTACACATATATTTTTTCATTATTACCTTTTAATTTAACTGAAACTGTTCTTACTTTCGATTATTTGTATACCTACATATTATATTTATTATTTTCGTCGCAAAAATCGTGTTTCCTATTTAAATATTAAAATTTTCGTCGATGGTTGTAAATATACTTAAACGAGCAAAAGTCTTAATAAAAAAATTGTTACAGAAGCAAATTTTCATTTTATTTACTTATTTATTTTTTACATTATGCATTTTATGCTTGATTTCAACGAAATGCCTGTTTCTAGCAATCACCTTGTTATTACATAGCCGTTATTAGGTTGATTTGAGTTTTTGAAAATGCTCGTTTGAGTTTAGCACTGTTGTACGGGTACAATATGTTCCTTTGATTGGTTAAGAAAGTATAAGAATTCGGTTTGTGGCTTTCACTTAACTTAAATTAACGCAATATTTTAATTACGAAGAAAACATGGCTTTAATTCTTCAGATTGTGATTTTTCTTTAAAATAAATGTTTTCTTATAAAGATATGATATCATATTTTTATTTATAATTGGCACTTTGTAACCCCTGAAAGAAAACTAAAATATCAAGCAACTTACCTATGTACTTTCTTATGTTTTTACCAGTTAGAACTGCCTCGGATTTTTCCAATCGGACTTTTCCGTCCAACACCAGATTCGAACATACGTTAGGTCGAACTGTCTGCCACTTCGGGCATCACATAGACGAGAGTGCTACCAGTCATACCAAAAGGTTCAAACTACCAAGCTGCACTGCTACACTGTTCTTTTTTGCAATCGATTTGGTCCCTTGGCCATTGCCGATTGAAGATCCTGCAGCTTTTCTTCGCCGAGTAAGCATTACCTTTGCTTGCCGAATGGTGGACACTCAAAAATTACGAGCTCCACTGCTTCCACACATTCCTTACCTTTTCTGAATTTGTTGTTCTCAATCAGTTCATATGAAAGCACGCGATACCAAAGAGGCCATGCTCCGTTAGCAGACCTACCAGCAGTCCGGAATCCGGTCCCAGTTAATAAAAACTTTGTAAGTTCAGGCTCAGCCTTTGGCTCGTTCCCAGAGTCTACTGGCTTGATGTAGTAAGGTTACTTCATGCGGCGCTTTTCTCCTTTGAACGGATCTGGTAGGTTCGTTATTTCCGTCCTGTTCCAAAAGGACACTCTCCTTAGCCAGTTCGCCTTAATACAACCGCAGCGGGCTTCGTGCCAAATGAAATTAAGTCCTTTAGCTCGCTCCTTGAGGTCCCCATAAAAGTTATGTATTTTGTTCCTTTGCAAACCAATATCTTGCAGTAGCTCTACCGCCATTTTTTTAGCAAATATTTGAGCTTAAAAAATACTGCATTGCACAGTAAGCGAGAGAACTCCTTAGTTCATTTTAAAAAATGAAGAGCTTTGTCTGCTTATTTCACACCGTTGCTCCATTGTTTGCCTCTGTTGCAACTGACAACAGCTTCTCGAAAGTCAGGCTTATTCGTGCGCTTAGTGGAAATCTTATAATATTGCGCCTGTAAATTCTGGTTTTCAGCTGCCTAGAATCGTATTTGGAACTTGGTAACTGCGATTTTCGACCGAGCTCCTCCTCTTTTGATATTTTTCCAACAAATGGGGGGACCTACAGTTTATTCTCATGCCACCACGGCCAATGGCCTTTTTTGAGGAGCTTTTATTTCATGTCAGAATACTCAATATGGAGTGCTTGCCGCAATTACAAAAATTAATTTCGGATGTTGGTCGAACCCTGCACTTCAGAATGATTCGAACATAGATTCCGATAATTTAAGTCCAATAGGATTTCGGATTTACGGGTTCCACTCGAAATCGGCGCCTTTAAACGCCGAAATTGATATCGGACTGGTTATAATTTTATTGTAATAATGCATTTTATTAGCATGTGTACTTATACGATGTAAATTTATTGTTATTTTCCTCACTTTTATGTGACTGCTTTACTTTTCTTATCATTTATTTCACGCTTAATTATTTCCAATCTTTATATGAATATGTCGCACACACTTAATATTAAACGCAATACCGTAATATACATTCTTTTCATGAAATTCATTAATGTGGATTTATTTTTTTTTTCACTTATTCCTATCATGACGTCACATCATACACCCCATCATTAACATCATCAACCGCTATTTATAATTTTTCTTCAAAAAAATAAATAAATTATATACATATATAAAATAAATAAAAAATAAATATCTATGTATTTGTGTTTATTCTTATATGCACATACATACTGTTAAAAGCGAAAAATGTCGAAATTTTTTTAATATCATCCATGCATATATACATACATCACATATATAATATATGTACGAAAAGATCAAAAATGCATTATTATTTACATAAGTCTATAAAAACAAACATATGTACATACATATCAATAAAGAGCACTCGTGAATTGGCTAATTCCAAATTCAAATTGAATTCCCTACAAAATAAATAATGCCAACCGACAGCGTTTAACGCAGGACATTTGCAATCTAAGTACGCTCTGCAGCAATTACAAGAAACTCTCGCCAACTGTTGAGTTTTCACCTTTGCAACAACAACTACTCCACTCCGCGTACACAGCGGCAGAAGGTGAAATAAACGGTAAAGGCGCAGAAAATGATGCTGAAAGTATTTTAAATTTACTAAAAATGTGGCAGACAGAAGGACAATTCAAACACCTCAAAATTCGTAACTTCCTTGGCGTTCTTATGAAAACTCAGGATGTAAGATTTTCATATTCACAATATAAATATGTATTAAAAATAATTAATTACAATACAATATTTACTATCACCAATACAGTGTATGCCGGCACAACAGCAGCAGGACAACAGCAACAATGAGCGGCTGCGGGTATACGCCAATCAATTGGAGAATGTCTTATCCGTGCTACAGGCGTGTCATGAAACGAGTCTAAATTATGCCGACATAAAAAAGCTGCGCTATGACATTGAAGTAGTCAAGGCGAATGCAAATTGGTCGAGCATAATTGTTGATGGCGGTGCAGCGGAAGTAAATTGTAATGCCACCAACAAACCGTCGCTAGCTTCGAATAACATTGATGATGAGGATGTAAATGCCAATGCGACTAAGGATATGGAGAAAGAAGTCAATTGATAAGACGTATTAGAAAAATAAAAATGGTTGGTTTCCTATAAACTGTGTACTCGTATGCGCAAAACAGAATTCGGTGAATATCGTTCCACACGCCATCCATAAAATGTCCATTTATATTTATTAAATAATTAGTATTATTAGTATTAATTATTGCGAATTAGGAGTTACGTTTAATAGGCCTGATGAGCAAGCGATGCCAATACATTTATACATTAATATATATATGCATATGTAGCAGGTATTTTTTGCTATTAAAATTTAAAAATTATTTGCTTGGCTGCGTTAAAGTGTTGTACAAGGAACATTGTACCATATTCGTATAAGTAGTTATGTATGGATATATGAACTAAAGAGCAAATATCGTTACTGAAAATTGGTATAAGATTGTTGCAAAAAAGCAAAAAAAAGTAACAAAAACAAGGAATCCGGTTTTTCAGATTCATTAATGACTGCGTTTTCGCTGAGTTTTCATAATGCGCTTGTGCCCTAAGATGTGAATTTAGTCTCATCTTATAAGAGCGCCGTTCTTTTGTTTTTATTATTGCTTTGAAGAGAGCAGAAAACAAATAGAAAGAGGAGAACAAACTATGAGAAGCTTGTACTTCGGCATACAACTTTAAACTAGTTCTCCATAATAATTTGGATCCTTTTACTTAGTTAAATAAGTCAAAATGTAGTTCGCAAAATTTTTATTGTGCAATCCAAACACAAATACAAATTTCATATGGTGAAAAATGTACGAAACCTATATACGTATATATGTAAGCATATGTAGCATACTTTTCTTACATCCATATATCTCACCTGTAGATCTCATTTTAAAACTGTAGTTTTCTTTTTATATGTTTTAACGGTATGAAAAACTCTAAGAAGGTGAATATAATACAATAGTTATAAAATAAAATTTTAAATTTTAGATACATTTGCAAAACATAAAATTGATATAACATATAATAAAAAATAAACTAAAATGGAATACAAAAATATTAATAAAATAAAAAAAAAAGAAATAAACTCTAATAAAATTAAAATAAATAAATTAAACTAAATAGAACCAAATAAATTAATTATAGAAAATGAATAAAATAAAAAGTAACTATTAAATAAATAGTATAAAAAGATATACAAAATTTTAATTGAATAAAATAAAAAAAAAAAGTGAAAAGTAATAACATAAAGTGAAGTAAAAAAAAATAAAAATAAAATTAAGGAAAATTAACTAAAACAAAATTAAACTACATAAAAAATAATTAAAAATGTGTACATATTATTGTAAATTAAAATCAAAGAAAATATGGTAAATTAAAATAAACTAAAATTAAAAGTATAATAAATTAAAAAATAAATAAGAAAAAGTGAAATAACATAAAATTAAATTGAATATTATAAACTAAATAGAAATGAAATAAAAAAAATTAAAAAAAAGTAAAGGAAAATAAACTAAAACAAAATTAAACTACATAAAAAGTAAATAAAAATGTTTCCATGTTAAATTAAAATCTAAGAAAATATACTAAATTAAAATAAACTAAAATCGAAAGTATAATAAAATAAAAAACTAAATAAGAAAAAAGTGAAATAACATAAAATTAAATTGAATATTATAGAATAAATAGAAATAAAATAAAAATTAAATAAGATAATATAATTGAAATTAAAAGTAAAAAGAGACAGGATAAAAAAATGTAATAGAAAATGATTAAGATAAAAAGTAAAATAAAAAAATAAATAATATAATGTAAGTTAAAAGAAAGTGAAGTAAATTAAAATAAAATTATGTATTGTAAATAAAATAATATTAGATAAAGTAAATGAAATTAAAGGAAAAAATGTAATGCAGTATTAAATCAAATAGAAAATTAAATAAAAAATTATAAAAACAAAATAAAATAAATGAAATAAAAACAAACTAAAATATATGGAATGAAATAAATTGAGTTATATTTAAATTGAATAAATTAAATAAAAAAAAAGGAATAAAAGAGGGCAAAATAATCAAAGATAAATAATGAACTAAAATAAAATATAATGCAATGACAGAAATGAAAGAAATGTAAATCAAAATAAAATTAAATTAAATTAACTACAATAAAGTACAATAAATATGTAAAATGTAATAGTGAAAAAATGAAATAATTCAATTGAAATAAAATAAATCAAGTAAAATGAAATAAGTTTACAAATTAAACCGTAACTTAAGTAAATCAATTAGAATAAAAATAGAAAATAATGCCAAATAAAATGAAATAAAATAATTGAAGCAAAAAATATAACAAAAATAGTTAAATTAAATAAAATTAAATTAACTAAAATAAAAAATTTCAAATAAATAATATAAAACTAATTTTATTATGTATAAAAATAAATTAAAATAAAATAAAATGTTGCAAAATGAAACAAAGTAAAACAAAGTATATTTTGGTAAAGAAAACTAAATTAAAGTAAAACCAAATTAAATTCAAGTAAATCTAAATTAAAATGAACTGACTAAAACAAACTAAAATTGTCATTACATTCACTATTTTTAAAATAAATATTTTATGTTAATTCAAATATCATTCTTAACAAAGGACTTTAAGTCCGCGACGTTTAAAACAAACAATAGTAACTAGACAAACTTTTACAATAACTTTAATTACAGAGAATAAAATAAGTTTGAAGACCAAACTCTAAAAAAAAGTTCTAATAAAAAGTTAAAGAAACGTACACGCCAATGAAGGATTTAAAGTAGTTTTGAATGACATTTTATAGCATTACACGATCAAATTTAATATTTTTTCTTAGCCTCATAAAAGGTACATGTCCACTAAATAATTCCGTTTCTTTTCCATGCGGTTTAGGCCGAAAATAAATAACTTACAATAATGTTTGCCAAAATTATTATTATTAACTTTAGTATTACTCATTTAATATAATATAATCCTCTAATTTATTTTTAATTTTATCACCATTTTGTGCGCCTATACACTTGTGTAATATAAATATGTACTACTTTGATTTACTTTTATCTTAAGAGTTAATCATGGAAAAATACTACTTTTTAGACATTACAGTAGAATAGAAAAAATAGAAGATCATGGAAAATGAAAAAATTTTTTTCGCTATGTTAAAGTCAATTTCGGGAATAATGTTGGGAATCGGTGATAATTTCCTTGTGCTGCAGTGCTTGCTTCAGGCTGATGTAAAATTGCCAAAATAGAAAATATTTTTGTAGCTCCCATAAATAATTATTCGATTGTTTGTTTGGCCTTTTATCGACATAAAGTAAGGCAAAAAAAATTTATTTTTTTGAACTTATACATACATACGCTTAAGCAAGAAAAAGGTAGCCAAATTTCTTTAGTATTATTCTGCCAACTAATTTTCAAAATTGTATTTGTATTAATAAATTTTTAAATTATAAAATTAATTTAAAAATTATAAAATTAAAAAATTATAAATAATTACAAACATTGCGAAATTAATAAGAAGAACAAATTGTTGATATATTATAACTCGATAATGAAATAAATAAACATGTTGTATAAGAAGCGTAGTTGTGTATGTTACAGTGTTAAATGTTGATCATACTCGAATTTAATAAACATGAAAATAATGACAAACATATAAAGTTCACTAGAGTTTTATTTTTCATGTTATACACATACATATGTATGTGTATATGCAACTTTCTCTTCTTTACTCACACTTGATTGAGTTAGATCTTCTCCACCGGAATGCAGACCTACCTCTTCCACTGCTTTCATCGGCGGACATTGCACCGTAAACTTTCAAGGCTGGAATATTCTTATCCATTTAGACCACATGACCTAGCCACCGTTGTTGCTGTCTCTTGATTCGCCAGATATGTCGTGCACATCATCGTTACGTCAGACAAAGCGCAGAGAACCATAAAACTTACGCAAAAACTTTCTGTCAAACGACACGAAACGACGACTCGTCAGATGTTTTCTTCGTTCATACCTTCGTACAATATAACAGCGCAGGAATAATGAGCTGTTTGTGGATTGATTCTGCGTTGGATTTCAAGTCTGACACTGTTGTCGCAATAGACAAAGATATATCTGCGCCTCCAAAGTTATGACTGTCAACAGTGACGTGTGAGCCGAGTCGCGAATGCGTTATTTGAGAACAGAAGATATTTCGTCTTGCCTTCGTTTATTACCAAACCTTTGTGCTCTGCATCCTTATCCCGTATGGAGAAAGCAGAACTCACTCTTATGGCTGTAACCGCAAAAATATTCCCCAAAGTGTTTTTGTGAAATGTTGCAGGAGGGACAGTCCTTTGCCGGATAAAAATCCGGGTCGTTCCTGTATAAAGAGCCGACTGTCGCGGGAACTATTGGATTTTAGTCGCCACTAACGACAGGTATGCCTTACAGCGGTTAAATTCTTGAATCCCTAACCCGCAGAAGGGAGAACGACATGAACACGGTCTAAAGTCGCACTGATACGTTCAATTAGTTCATTGCAGTTGGGCTATAACCTTTTATGCAATGTTCCATGCATATAGGTAGATAAGTGATATTGAGAAGAAATATTCCACAATAACTGGCACAGACCGAAATCTCATGAATTAGGCACAGCACTTTTTTTCCAACCATGGACAGAAGAGCAGTCCTTGTAAGTTCCTCCTTGCCACATTTAAATAGTTCGGTCGGTAATCCATTGGCACCCGCCGCTTTGTTATTCTTCAAACAGGCGATCGCCAATAAAACTTTATCATAGTCGGGTGATGAAACGTCTAACATATCATCGATTGGGATTTGGGTACGCAATCTTCTGTGTTTTGTTCATCATCAGTTTGGAGAAGCGTTGACTTCATGAACTCTTTATGCTCTAGACATGGAAGTATGAGTCGGTATAGGAACTTTTGTAAGTGTAATGATTCTACAAATATTTTGTTTTCTTATTTACTTTCATGTTACATACATAAAAATGCACATACATATATACACACATATATACTTAAGACCAATTAGCATGCGCTGTGGTTTCATAAAGAGCTATAGGGGAATGCTGAGAGCCATAGGAATGAATGCACTCACATGCTATAAGTATTATAAAAAGAAAGAAGATACAACAAAAAATGAATAAGAAAACTCCATAGCTGCGACGTAGTTCGAAATTGGAGATCACCAATGCGAAAAAGTTGTACGCGATCAGCATGAACAGGAATACGTGTAGAGTGGAATTACTGTTAGTCAAGAACATCTGCAAGAGGAAGAAAAATGCATTTCAGTTGAAAACTTTATTATTTTTTTACTACTTACAATTGATGAAGTATCAAAACAGGGCTGAAGCAGCATAACAGGAAACCCTCCTAGCGTATTATATACTACCAAGCCAATGACGAGTCCGAAAGCTATGTCCTCCTCACCGCATTTGATTATCTCATGTATAAGCATAATTTCTGTGACGGAAAAATTATAAATATTAATAATAATTATCATTATCATAATAATAATAATGATATTCTCCAAGTAGGGTACTTTAATAGCTGGTCAAACTAAATTTCGATTCTAATACAGCCATAACCCTCCGAATTGACGGTAAAAGTCTCGCCGTTGTCGATTTCAAAGAAATAAGGTCCAATCTTTGTAAGACCCAGAGGGGTGCTCCAGTGACGGATGCCCATAGTATAATAAATTTATGGAGGAAACACTTCTTCAGCCTGCTGACGGTAGTGAAAATGAAAACACCCGGAGATGGTGAACCCGGAATCCCAATCGATGATGATGGAAAAGACTATCCATTACCCGACCATGTTGAGATTTGCATAGCGATTACCCGCTTAAAGAACAACAAAGCGGCTGTGACTGAGGGACAACCGGCAGACATGGCGGTGAAGTGCTGACAAGGTGCATGCATCAGCTTCTTTCCAAAATATGATCGGATGAAAGCATGCCACATGATTAGAACTTAAGTGTGCTCTGCCCAATCCGTAAAAAGGGTAATCCCACAGCCTGCGCCAATTACCTTGAGCTAAGCCCCTTAATATCGCATATACGGTGCTAACGAGCATATTGAGTGAAGAACTAAAGACTACCATCCACTAGACCTCTGATTGAAACTTATCAGTGTGGCCTTACACCTGGTAAATTCACCATTGACCAGGTATTCTCCAAGCACCAAATCTTTGGAAAGATTCGTGAAAAGAGGATCGACACACCCCACCTTTTCGTTGATTTTAAAGCAGCCTGCGGCAGCACAAAAATAGGCTGCCTCTACGCCGCTGGGTCTGAACTTAACAGCTCCAAACGCGCAGCCGGAATGGGAAGGACCTCTCTGAGTCGTTCGGTACCAAACTGGGATTCAGACAGGGTGACTCTATTTCCTACGTACGCCGATGATATTGAGATTATTAGTCTCAACAATCGCGCCGTGGATTCTGCTTTCTCCAGGACAAGACGAAATATTTGCTGTCATCAAAGAAGCTGGAATCGCATTTGCGCCTTGGCTCCCACGACACTACAGTCATAACCTCGATGTCGTAGCTAATTTCGTCTATCTAGGGACCAGTATCAACAACAATAATAATGTCTCTTTGAAATCCAACGCAGAATAACTCTTGCCAACAGGTGCTGCTTTGGGCTTAGTAGGCAATTGAAAATTAAATTCCTCTCTCTACTAACAGAAACCAAACTCTACAAGTCACTCTTCATTCTCGTCCTACTATTGGGCGTGGACGATGTAGAAAAATAATTTGATACGATAAAGAATTGCAATGGTTCCACAACCAACGCTCTCTACTTCTATCAATAAAAATATGTTTAATTGTATTTACCTGTGAAGCCATTGGAAAAGGAAGAAGAGATAACAGTGACGGCATCAATATTCCAACCTGCGGCATATTGAAGACACTGTTGAATTATAGTATCGATTTCCATTACAATTAAGTGGTATATCATAAAAGCCGTAAATAAACCGAAAATACTGAAGATCTGTAATATACATAAAAGAAATTTAAACATGAAAGGAATGCTGTCCTCGGTCGGGCCGAAGCCATTTTTAGTACTGAATGGGAAGTCCTTATATTCAAATTGTTGAAATAAATTTGAAACTTTTATTTATGCTTCGAATCACGTGACAATCTTTACTTTCCCAGTAGTGATCTGACAACGATAAGTTCCGGAAAATCATATCTATATTACGATTTGAGGGTTGACACTTACCCTCCCTTAAAGTTGTTTACTGGACTAAAGCGTTCTATTACAAAATGTCTATTAAAGGGATATGGACATGAATTGTGCATAGTCTGTCTGCGTTGTCTGATCACGTCGTTCTTGTTTGTTTTTGCATCGAAAGAATAATAGGCTTTTACTATATCGCTTTCTGCTGATTCACCTTCCATTTAAGTAATTCACATTCAGATTTGAACTTTCTATTTCACTCTAGATTCAATCTGATTATAACTTTCATGGGGGTATCTCTTCTCCTCATGGTACTCACGTACTTTAGACCAAAGTTAATATACTTTCATGTACATAAAAGGTATACAAAATTAAGTAACGATCATTTCCAATAACTTAAGACAGACTTTCAGTTTGCAAAAGGATTTTTTTTAAGTCACAGACAAGAGAGAGAAATTCAGAAGTTGGAATTGTGCTTAAACTGTGCTTCCATTTTAAGTTTAGATTATTTGCAACCAATTTAAATTATAATTAAGCTTTAATTTCTTTCATTAAGATTTTCTTTTCTTCATTGAAAATGCATCGTAAAATCAGATGAAATTCGTTTGATCGTTACTTTCGATTACAGTTGCAAATTGTTAGCAACTCATAACAAGAGCCTAGATATAATATCAAGTTTATGCGTATTTATCTGCTTTTTAGTCAAATTTAGGTACATATAATATTTATGTATGTAAGTAATAGAATGGATCACATACCTTATAATAGCTAGGTGGCTCCGCAGCATTTGTAGCAAACACCAGAACTAACGACAACAGAAACCCAATAGCGATAAATATAAAACATATCTTCATTTGTATGTATCCAAATAAAGGCAAGGATATGAAGAAAAGATTCACACATAGCAGGTACTTGTGCCAACCTTGAAATGGTAAATTTTCATTGATTACGGGTATTAGGAGCGTTAAGACAAACCAAATTGGCGCCTGAAAGAATCCAGCAAAAAAATATATTGAAATTAAGCAGTAGTATATAAGAGATCTTAGGTTAAATCAGATTGTATTAGCTGACCCATCGGATCTCGCTTAGACGATATCACGCTCATTGTGTTGCCAGACTACATCCTGCCAATATGAATTATCGTCTTGATATTTTTCCAACAAATGGAGGGACCTACAGTTTATACTAAGCCGCCTCCGAACGGCTGATGGGTTTTTTATGACGAAAAAACATTACGGTTATTTTTGCAAATTGAAGCAATTGTTGTGGCCCTTTGGCCATTGCCGACTGAAGGTCTTGTAGCTTTTTTCTTACCGCTAGTAAAAACTTTGTAAGTTTAGCATTAAAAGTTTTGCATATAGTTTTTGCGGGTCTGCAGCTTTTGTTTCGTTCCCAGAGTCTTATAGCCTGACGAAGCAAGAGTACTTGTTGAGTTTGCTTCACTTACCTCAATGTAATTATGATACGTTAATTATTATGTTCTGTTCACAAAGGATACCCCCCTCAGCCAGCTCGTCAGTTATCTTATTGACCTAGCATGCAGTAAATGTAAACTCTTCTTTTTTAGACAATATTTTCAACGCCTTTTTACATAGTGCGACCAAAGCAGACTTCGTGCTGTATGAAATTAAGGCCCTGATGACCGCTTGACTATCCACATAAATGTGCATTCTCTTCGTTTAAAAGCCTGCACTTTGCAGTGGCTCTGCCGCTATTTTTATAGTAAATATTTATTTAGGCTTAAGCATTACAGAGAAAACCGCTATGAGATTCGTGGAGTGTTTTAAGTGATTTATCCGTATTCGAGCATAGCTCAAAAAGCATGAGATTATTGGAAAAAGTTGAAAGCAAAAGAAAGTCTTCGAGTTGCTGAGCTAGTTAACATCATAGAAAATCACGTAAGAGACTCAATAATATGTTGATAAACAAACAGCATTTAAGGCAATAATCGCACATCGCATTACGTCAGAAAAAGTCTCTAGAAGTAAAAAGGCCGAGATTTAGATACCTGCAGGAAAGCAATTGCATGTCTTGAGATCCATACCATAATAATATTATGGAAAATGAAATCGTTGATGATATTGGCAAAAGTTTTATCCGGATAGCAACTGAAACTGTACGCTAAATAAGCTTTACAAAGGATTTTACGGCAGAACTGAAAGACGGAGGTTGAATGGTAAGTCACAAGTTGCTAACATCATACGCGAGCACAATGGATATTAGTAGCAGTGACATATGCAGGAATTGCAGTGAGATATTGAAATATCTCCTCTGTTACTGCCCGGTCTCAACTAGATTTTGTGTACGTCTTAGGTTGCTTCGGTTTTTGCAGTTTAAAGAACTAGAGTAAGCGCAAGTGTTGAAATGTCTTAAATTTCGCAAACGGCGTTGACGTCCTCCACTAGTTTAGCTCGACACTACAAAGGGATTAACAGGTCCATGTAACTAAGAAGTAACAGCCAGGTGGTGCAGCCTTATATAACGTATTATCTAACTAGAAACTTATATTTGAATAAACGTAAACCGCCACGCATTCCACCTAGAATCATGTTCGATTTTTTCGTTCACTGCTATATTACAATTATTATTACTTACACATAAAATGTTCAATACAATGAACTTTTTTCCAAAAATATCTCCGTAAAGTGGGCGAAAATTCTCCTTTAGTACAGATGGGTTATCATTCGCTGACACATATGCGGCCACTTCTTCCAATACATCCTCAATAACAATTTCACCTTCAATTTCTTCTGGCGCTGCCATAACATTTGCAACCCTTTTGCTTTTCCCCATAAATTTCTTGAACGGATCGTAGAGTTGTGCGAAGAGATAAACCGAGTAAGCGACTATTAAAAGTTTTGCATGCAATCCCAACTTTAAGTCAAACTGTTCGTCCTTTGGTAAATTATCACTTTTGGTTTTGAAATGGATCAGTAGGAATATATAAATATTTCCCAGCAAAATCACTGAGAGATCCACAACGCAACGCAATGGGGAAGTGTAGACATTCTTATTGACTGCGATCAACGCCATGCCAAAGCCGTACATTGTGAAAGTTTTGCTGCTCAATTCGGTGATTAAAGTGGAATAGCTCTCTTTGGGCGCGTTGCAAATTATTGAACTCATGAATAAATTAGGCAATATCATTAAGATCGAAACGATAATTACGCCGTATTGGTATGATTTAAGTGAGCACCAATTCAACAAGGTAAGCAAATTCGGTATGATGCTATAAGAAAGGGTATTAGGAGCTAATAAATATACAATATATACAATTGACCGTTATAATGTTTGCGGAATGGGGGATAAGGGATGGAAATAAAAGAGAAATAGTTTCTTTTTCAATATATTCACCTCCAATTTTATTTTTTATTTATTTTTTGTATCTATAATTTAACTGGTTTATACCCTCATACAACTGTTTTCTCTTTATTTCCAAAATACGCCGAAACAGACTCATTAACTTCATCATCGGTGCTAAATCTTCTACCCCTCGGTTTTTATTTTCATTTTTGGAAATAGGTGATGATCGTGCACGATTTTAAAAATGGTTTTATCGGAGCTTTAGTCGAGCATCGTCAACAAATTTTTCAACTTATTGGATAAGTTCTCACGTGGTCACATCGATGCCTCAATTTCTTCGAGGGATTTCCTAGCTTGTTTAAATAAACTGTGCCACTTGTACATCATGGTTTATACCTCATAAGAGAAGAGAGCTTGGTAAGGAGCTTTATAACGGCACGATTGACGTTTTGTTTCATATTTCACTTTTCACTCCCGATCATATTGGACACTCTACGATAATGGAAAAAATAGCGTAACCGCTGAAAAGATGCATGCATCAGCTTCTTTGCAGAATGTGATCGGATGAAAGTATGCCACACGATTGGAACCTAAGTGTACTCTGCCCAAACCACAAAAGGGGTGTTCCCACAGTCCGCGATAATCACCGTGGGACAAGCCTGATTAATATTGCATATAAGTTTCCATCGAAGGCTTCTGTTAAAGACGGAAGCCCACCGTCAACAAACTGCTTGAACCTTATGGGTGTGGCTGTAGACCAGGTAAATCAATCTTTGGGCAGATATTCACCATGCACCAAATCTTTGAAAATATCCATGAAAAAAGGATCGACATACAAAACCCTTTCGTCGATTTATAAACAGACTTCTACGCGCGTTTGGTATCCCACCAAAACATATGTAAACTCGCGTTAAGCAACACCAAAAGCTCCATCAAGCTGGGGAAGGACCTCTCCGAGCCTTTGGGTACCGAACTCTATGTCGAGTGATTTCTTCAATTCACGGTTACGCTGGGTCGGTCATGTCATCCGAATGAATTAAAGCGTTCCAACGTTTAAAGTACTCGATGAAGTACCCCCTGGTGGAAGCAAAGAAAGAGTAAGGTCTCGACTCTGTTGGAAGGATCAAGTGGATAGCGAACTGGTTTTCCAATTGGCGCCAAACAACAAAGAGATTCGGATATAGTCTCGAAAACGGTGAAGAACAATAAGAACTCTGTCTTAATGAACCTAATCATCCCCTACGACCCTCTTCTTCCGCGAGCATAAAAATTTAGTGGCATAAGAACGATACTTACAACCATCGAGTCATTATGAAGAATGTAAACACCAGGAATAGTAACAGAAGGAAAGAGCATATTATGTAACCGATCTCCCCATACCAAGGATAATTGTCGATTCTCATTGTGCAGACAGCGAATTCCAAATAGTTGATGAGTTTCGTATTGAAATTGCAATAATAATTTTGGCGCACGAAGTTACAGTTCTCATCTGCATCCAAGTTGAGTCCCATGGGATGAAAGCAGCTAATCTGCAATAATGCAATAGATTAACGCTCAGACATTTTTATAATTAACTTTGCAAGTCTACTTCGGTTTCGCTCGTTACATATTGCTTGTGCCTGCGTGTGCGTGAGTGCAGCTTGAAATTAGTTGCATTTTTTGTTGTTATTAAACCGATCGTAGAATTCGTCATTTTGTCCAATGTCATAGATGAATATTTCATTTTTAATAACACGGAAGGAAATATAAATAAAAAAGTCTATCAGAAATTTAAAAAATATAAACGAAATACGAAGGGAAAACAATGTGATTGACTTAAAAAGGCAGGGACGGTTTCAATATACTCAGCCATTAGCGGTTTGGAAAGCTTTTTGTAAGTCGACTCAAAAGAGTTGTATCAGTATTTGCTTCTAAAAATCAAAGCTTCTTTAAACGATGTCATGAAGGAGCTTTTGGCGTTGCTTAACGTCAATTTACATAACCGTACAAGTTTTCCGGAGATACCGGATTCAGACATAGCGACGTAGAGGCAGCCCCTTTCTCGTGCTGGCGAAGGCTGCTTTAAAATTGACGAAAAAATTGTGTGTAGATCCCCTTTTAGTTTGATTTGTTGACGATGAACTCTAGTCTTTCACATAAAACGCTAGATAAGACCTTATTTGCGATATTGAGGAGGCTTCACCGCCGTATTAGCTATAATAGCTCGGCCGGTAATCCGCTTTATTGTTTGCTTTTCAAACTTCTTTATCGGAAATCGGGTTCGCAATCTCCTTAAGTTACCCCTTCACTGCCATTCAGCAGGCTGTAATCAACCTGTGTGGGGTCTTGGGTCGCGGCTAAGAGCTTCAGTGGAGCCACTCCGACTTATTCGGGCTAAGGGTCCGCTCAAGTCTAATTCCAGCGTCTGTTTCCCAGAGGTGCAAAAAAAAATGAAACGCCCAGCGCCACCAAATCAAATGACAAAGTTTAAAGCTCCTCGGACAAACCTTTTTTTTAATTAATTTTTTATTTAACCTTAATTTCTGCTGGCACACGGGTCTCGCGGTCAGGCGAAAAGAGAAAGAGAGAAATTTCAATGTAAAATATTCATAGCTCCGCCAATGTGACATCATTTCGGCTGAGCTCTCAGTTAACGATATCAATAAAACGGGATTTTTAGGCCGCACTCCTATCCCAAGGCCGTAATCAAGCTTAAGAGCGAAAACTAGATTCGGACCATAGAGGGAGCGTTGGTTTTAGGAGCACGCAAACAGATCCCGCACCCCACTAACCACCTCTTTGCGTGCAGGACATACTTTATGACCAGAACAAGTCTAGATAAGTAAGAGTTCAACCTGCTACAGTATACAGACATGAGTTGTGTAGGGGGTGCCACCCTTTCATCGATGGGTCAGCAGGCAACATTGGTCAACAACAGCCTCGGGCTCTGGTTTTTCGAAAATGGAGATGGGTCCGATAGTGAACGAAGTTACGACGAAAGATCTCGGATAATTAAAAAAATAGTCACAGTTTTCAGTCTTGACTTCCATTTAACAATTGGCATCCATATGCTCAGCGTTGTGAGCAATTGCATTTATCCACAAACCAGCATTAACTCCAGCCAACAAGAATCACTTTGACTTCTGTAGGCAATGGAAACGTAAATTCTTCGCTTGACGAACAAAGATTAAACTTTACAAGCCGTTTATCAAGCCCCACACACAACTTGACCCAGGAAGGTGGACATTCAGCCGGATATGTGTAGATGGCAAAAAGCGATCAGTGATCTTCTCTAACTGATCGTTTCTACCGGAGGTCTAAGATTTTTCTATAAAAAAGCAAGCACTACCTGTACCAACATACATACATATTACGTGTTAGCTAAAAAGAAAGTTACGAACATATCAGTGCATTTCAGCTCGGGTTTTCCGTCTTTTATAACCAAATTCTTTTACCCACACATTTCAACCGTAAGACTATATACATACATAGATAATGATATATATACATATTTACATGCAAACATAAGTAGTAAAACTAAAAATTCGTTGATATTATGATGCTCATTCATACCTGCATACCTAAGCTGCATCCATTGTTGCACATTAAGCGTAATTTTTGAGCGAACAACCTCTCAAATTGTCCAGGTACTCGTACCTACCAACGGGTGCTCATTAAAAGAAGAAAAGTGACTTTTGTCGCTGTGATTTCAAATAAGCAGAGAGTGGAATGGACGAGCCAAGCGTTGAAAGACAATTTCAGTTCAGCAAAGAGATTACAAAGAGAAGCAAGAGTTGAAGAAATTAATAAAGAAATGGATGTGTGTGGAGTTTCTCTCGCTCCTTGCTACTTGTTATGCTCCCTGCAACACACGTTTGTACGTCCATGTACATATGTACGTGAGTACACTGCGCAGATATACAATAAGCAATCAAACGGCGGATCTACTGAGCAAGCAGTCTACTTCGAGTCATCGTTGAGCAGAGCTCATATCGCATTGTTGACGATTGTTGGTGGCTTGTAAATATATACTTATGTGTATGTTGTGAAACATTCTGGTGAAGTTGTGCTTTTCTTCATCACTATTTATTACAATTGGAGTAGAATTTCTTCAATTTATTTACATAATTTATGAATTTGATTAATGTGAGAGTGGTTGCAGTTCTTGCACCTGGCATATTCGTGGAATTTTTCGCAAGAGTTCAACTAACAATACTTGTGCGTGCCTACTTCGTCACGGCTGCTCCCTAGGAGTTATTGTTGCGTCTTGAGAACACGTTCAACGGCGAGTCAGTTGAAATAAATTGTTATGTTGTGTAGTTTTATTGAAAGGGTCAAACCGGTTTAATGCCACAATGATCGCCACCAACAAGTACTTATATGTGCGTGTGTGCGTGTCTGTATGTAAGTGTGTAGCAGCGTGCTAGTAGGTACCCGAACAATGAACATATGATCAACAATCTTTTTAGAATTGGCGTATTGAGTGCAGAGGACTATTGTGAAATTTAAAACACATCATTTTGTGCATTCGTAAGCAATCTTAACTGCTGTTGGGGCAAATGTGCAACACCATTTTTATATCAACATTAAATACAGTTCACACAACCTGGACTGGAAACCAATGTAAACTTACAAAATGGCATCAAACAACCTAAATACAAATTCAACTAATCCACAAAATCGGCCAGCCGATGAATTGGATTTGGAATTTCCTCTACACGCCTCCAGCATCCATCCGTATCCATCGAATTTCCTAACAGCGTCGAAGCATCACCCCTCCACTGGTAGTTTGGCGGAAAATAGCGCATCCTCTGTCGGCACACAGCATCATCAATACCACTACATACAGTATCCGCCGTATTACTATCACATAGGTGGGCAGCCAAATACAGCGCAACGGCAGCAACAACCGTTAGGCGGTTTGCCGGAAGTTACCTGTCATTGTCATTGCTCTTGCGGTGCACAACAACAACAGCAGCAGCAGCAACAACAACAACAACAACAACTATGGAATCAACGACAATATTTGCAACGAAATATCTCCGCCTCTACTTCAGCCATTGGCCAAAGACACCATGAGGTTACTGAAGATTCGAGTAAAATTGTAGTGCAAGTACATTGTCAGTCCAATGATGACGCGGATTGCGATCGCGAGCTTAATACACATGCTCCAACCAAGGCACAGTCGGACCAATCACTACTCAACCATTCATACCAAACGTTGCAGCTGCAATCTGCAAAGGAAGATAAACAATTAAACGTGTTGCGTAATTCCAAATTAAATATCAGTTGTGATTGTGATTTGGAATGCACTTGTGATGCTCAAAGACTGTGCGGCGGTGCTGACGACGAAACTGCTATTATAAACTCTAAATCGGCTGTCAATGATGACAACTTGGATACAGATGTTTTGGACACACCATCGCCGTTGAAAAACCATAAGCAATGCCAGCTGGAAGCGATGCTTGGCGCTGATGAGATCACGGTCAGCGAGTCGGACAATAATAGCACCATGGTTAAGAGAAAGAAAACAGGTGGTACAAGCACCAAAAATGAGTTGTAGGTTTTTTTGTTTGTTTTTTTCATTTTGAAGACATCATTATTTTAAATAAATTTATTTATATAGGAACTCTTGGTGCCGTATGCATGATCCCCATTCACCAACGGCGGGTGGTAAAAATTGCGAGTGTCATTATAATTCGAGCCACATAGAAATCTACAGTGATGGCGACAGTAAAGGCGGTCACGACTCCGTTGATGATCAACGACCACCATTACCACCACGTCCACCGCCTCCACAGCGCTTACGGAGTGCAACAATGGCAGGAAATGGTAAGTAGCATTGCAACGTAGAATAACCAACTGTTTAGTTGAGGATATACGGAGAATGGAACCTGCTTTTATATATGTAGAGGTTGGATTCAATTTTGGTCAGAAGCTGTCCACCTTTAATAGGTACTTTTTTTTATTTAAGAGGAACAAATATGTATATACATCCTTCGGCATTTTCTTATAAAAAGCCAACAGCTCTTCAAGGAAATGAAAGAATCCTACCCAAATAATATCCGTTTGGACTGAAGTTCAGCTGGGAAGAAAATGTGAATCGTAATTTTAGTAAATGAGCTTCTTAATTTTTTTCCAACAAATTAATTGATCTACAGTTTATACTGAGCCACCTCATAACGACTAATGGGTGTTTTTCATGAGGAGCTTTAATTTCGCGGAACAGTCCTTGGCCATAAAAAAATTCCGCTCGTTCCGGTATAAAAATCCGATTGCCGTGGGAACTATTGGATTTTATACTCCTCTTACGACATGCATGCCTAGCCACGTGCAAATTCTTGAGCCCTAACCCGCAGGGGTTCTTGACATGCTCTGCCGAGGGACGAACGCAATTAGAAATAAATAACTTAATTTTTTATTTAAACTCATTCTCTTTAATTTTGGGGTGTTGGGTCAGACCAGAAATCGAGCCTTGGCCTTCAAAGTGTCAGTACGCATGGCTCTGTACTACTGATATCTCGGGCGCCTTGATGTTTGTTTTTTCAATAAATGGAAGAACCTAGCATTTAAACCGCAAGGAATCACTTGAAATATATAAACTCCACTTACAGAAAGTCTGTCAACACATTTATTAACTCTGATGGCGTACTTAGAATCTAGCTCCCACCCTTAACATGAACAGCTCTAGCTGCCTCGCGAGACCTGAGTAATACTGGATTTACTCCAGAAAACTTAGCTCTTACCCATCCAGACTCGTCCTCGATATACTTACCGTATGTCCTGTAAGTAATGGGCCTCTGCATGACATCAATCACCTCATGGCATGTCCACTTAAATCCACCGATCTAACATACCCTCTCCCTATTGTCCGAGTTTCGGAAACAACACGTTTCCTGAACTTCCTTTTAGATGAGTTCGACAACTTATGCTGACTTGGGCTTGATTGAGCAAGCCGTATTGTACGACAACAAGAGTCAATATTATAGTTTCCAATGGCGTCAAGATATAAAAGCAAAAGTGCAAGGAGTTTTAAACATATTATAATTTATTTATACTACTCCAATATCACAATGGGCCTCCAAAGTACCTAGGTGCGGCATGAATTGTACATAAATACATATGTATAAGCATTTATTAATATGTATGTATATTTGCAAATTTAATGCATTGAATTAAGCCTACACATTTTGGTTTTGCACATGCGCTTAAAAAACTATCCTACCCAGCAAGAAAAATATGAATGAATGAATGCGAGGTGACAAAAGTTGAATCGCGCTACTTATACATTACATAGAGAGTTTTAGAGGCCGACCATAGTTTTGTTTCCATCTGCTTCCTTATCTGTCTGGTGAAGCAAAGGAACTGCATCATATTTACATAAATTTCCGAAAGATAACGAATCAAATCAACACAATTTTTTCAATTTCTCACCTAGTTAAAACGTATTTTTCATCATTTTTCTGTCATCAGTAACTCCCGTTTTCTAGGTGTTCTTATGTACCCAATTGGTAGGCAAATTAACCTCTTCAATTTGGCTCTCAAAAATATAAGGATAATATGTCAAATGAAGACATCTCTATTGTTACTGAAGTATCCTTTGTTTCTGCGGTCATTTTTACTTCGACGAATTCACTTCAGGAAGTATCAACAATCTCGTGAGCTTAATAATGGCACTAAGTGGTTTGAACATCTAGGAAGTTGGGAGGTACCTCTTTTCATAGGCCGGTCATAATTAACGTGACAGGCCCAAGCGCTTGGATAGGGTTCGGGCATCGAGAAACCGGACTACAGCTAACTAACATTAGTGGGAAATGCACACAGATATCGCTAAATAAACATGTCTCGTATTTTCAATATTTCCACCCAAAAAAATAAGGAAAAATTGAGTGAGAACGCCCTATTTAAGTCCTAATATTAGACATACAGAGAATTTGTATATTTCCAATTAGTCATTCTCAATTTCCAATTGGTAATGTACGAGTATGACGGTACAAACCACGTATACAATACATACATTCAAACAATTACGTATTTGTTTATGCATGTTTTCGTAGGCATTAAAAGAAAATTCCTCTAGTGTGCATGTTAAGGAAGGATATGACGCGTATTTAAAAGCGGCACAGGACATAATGAACAAGTGTTTGACAGAGGAAAGCTCACTGTTGCTATAGACCAAAAGCTTTCGCCTTAGCGCCAACTTTCGGACACGTTTAGATACGTTCAGTATGTGGGTAGAATGTTGCAAGTAAAGTGTGAAAGCGGATAGTAGAGTGTGCGAAAGGATATTCGCTTCGTTACTCATTAAAATTATGTATAGATACTGAAAATTGGAGTCAAAGAAAATTTAGATGAAAACATTTTCCTCTTCCTAAAAAAGTACATACAAATTTAAAAGTTGCTATTTTGTTTCGCTTGAGCATATGTTAAATTAAATGTAAAAGGAGTTTTGTATTGTATGATGTCCTGAAAGTGATGTTTCAAGCAATTAATTTATAGTTAAATTTAATAAGAAAAATATTAATAAAAAAAAAAACAAAATTATTGCTTTGGGGTTCATGAATTTGTACTCATATGTGCTTCCAACTGCAACAACTGCGTCTAATGGCAATGAAAAACAGACTAAAGAATGTGATTTTAAAAATATAAAATATAAAACAAAAATAAGAATATGTTAAGTTAATTAAGCTGTGAAAATTCCAAAAGTGTTCGGCGTGTTTGCGTTTCATAGTTAATTACTGAGAAAAAAATGCATGGTTATCCTGTAATGCAGTTTGTGCAGTATAGTGTGCCGCCTTGTGGCTGGATTCCACAGCCGGATCCACTCCGTAGTGTAGCACCCCCGCCAACACTGGGTTAGATTATTTTTAATTGACTTTTTTTTTAATATTTCAAATTAAGTCATATTCATTTATCTCTCGATCTACTTCATCTAGGTGCGCATCGTCACGGTCCGGGCATAAAGAAATACGTTGTGTGGTGCCTTATCTGTGGTGGCTTCTCATGTCTGCTAGGCGTACTATTTCTGGGCGTTTACTTTCTATTGCATTCGTACACCATTACCGTGGGCAATTTCGAAACGGTGCCTACTTTTGTGCCAGCAACCATGGTAAGTAAACAAGCGGAAATTCATTATTCTTATTGTTTATGAAAGGTAAATGATTAATTTATTTGTTATTTCAGTTAATGCTGACTGGAATCTGCATAATGTGCTTGGCGCGTCGACGGAATCGATACAGTTATTTGGTAAGATTTTGTATATTTAATTTACACAATGAGAGAGGTTTGTGATTTAAGAATAAGAAACTAAAGTTTTCAACGATTGTGCTAAGTGGTTAGGTATTTTATGTCTACCTGTTAACAGGTGGAAAATCGTATCTATCTGTTGTTGTTGTTGTAACCACAAATATATTCCCCAAAGTTGTTTTTGTGGAATGTTGCGGGGGTGACAGAAACTATTGGACTTTTTTCGCCTCTTGCCTTGCCGCGAATAAATTCTTGGTCTCCTAGTCCGCAGCGGGGATCGTATCATACTCAACGTGATTTCTGCAGTGTCGGCGGTATTTTCTGAAATGCGTTTCCAGCCATTCGGTATGTCGTCCTAAGTGACAATGTACCGTCGTGATCCCAATTAGCTTTGGATTATCTTCCTTATTTAGAGAATGTAAGCGATTTGACTTTCTCCCGCCCCACTCCGGACAAGTTTTCGTAGGCTTGCGGTAGATCAGCAAGGTTGTTTGCTCTGCAGTCCTCTTCTACTGCTTTGTAAACAGAGACCCAAACCAGGGATGGCCTACAGTCCAGTACGATTCTTTGTTGTGATCGAACACAGAGCTTGCTACCTTACTGTTGCTAAATATGTAGATAACTCCTTCTGCGTATTCATTTCCAATGCGTTTAAAAGCTTGCATTATATCAGAGGTTTCTATCCGAAACACACTGCCATCATCTGTGGAGTGTGGTAGTATCCGTCCTGATGGTTGACGGCGGTTGTTTCAGTTCTATAGACAGGATGTCAAGGATAACGTTTCGAGCTTTATCATTACACACTATTTGAAAGGTTAGACGTCAATAAAAAAACTGAGCATTAGCGCCATATCAAAATTCTGATAAAGAATGATAAAACCTTTGTTTGTGGCAGCCACTAAGGATGGACGTATTTTAATAGGTTTGCCGATTTTCTTTTGCTAAAAAAAATGGTGAGTCTTTTATGTTTAAAGCAAGAATTTCCGAGTGGTATAAACGTTTACGTGAAGGTTTTGAAGACGAAAACTCTGGATGCCCCAGCGCATCAACAACAGATGAAAACGTTTGGAAATGAACGTAGTGATTAAGAACAATCAGCGAATCACAATTAGAGAAATCGCTGATGCTGTTGGCATATCGATTGGATTACGTCTTTTTTCACTAATGTTTTAGGTATGCAACACCGATTTACGGATATGACGTCGAAAATCAACGCAGTGATAGTTTTCTGGCTCGTCAAAGAGCCTTATTGGCCGTTTGCCTGAACATTCCGAAAAAAAAACAGTCTGAAAAGCAGTTCATAGCTTTCGCATCAAATTAATGCAAACAAAATCCACCTTCTATTTTAGTGAGTCATGACTCCGTACGACTTTTACCTATTTCCAAGAGAAATGTTTCAGGGCTGGGAAGTAGCGCATTGATCCGAACACGTCGGCGCCGAAACTGGCATTTGACAGCTTGGAAAATGGGAAAAAATCTGGAACCTAAAGAGGATTATGCTTTGTGTGGTGGAATTCTAAGGGCATATTTAGTATACGAGTCGCTGTGTTCATTGATAAATGCCTGTAAAAAATAGCCAATAAAGAAATTTAGACAGTAAAATGGTATTTGCAACTTTCTCTTCAAGCTAAACGCAAAAAAAAACGATCTATCGTTACTAATATTACTGAGTTTCCTGCTATTTTTCTGCTTATTGATTGTCCTGTGGAGTAGATAATTTAATAATGAGAAATAATGACGAAGAAATTTAATCTTTTATCTACAGATCAAACTTTCCGGCGTTTGTGGACTTATCTCAGCATTAACCTGCGCACTTGTCACCGTTACCACCACAGTTCTACATATGAGTCGCTTGCAGGCGTTACGTGAATGTGAATATGCGCAAAAGACCCGAACATGCACTTGCTATTCGGATATGATCGAGTCTCAAGTGGATCGTGTAGACAAAGGTAAGGCGCAAATGATAGTTTTCCTTTTAAAACACTCGTACAATTCAAAGCATTTTATTATCCTAGAAGGAGTTCGCCTGGTGTTTGATTCACTATCTGATTGTGGTGTCGTGCATGGTTCTCTCTACTCCTGTTTACGTGCTATATTTGGCCTATCTGTGGCCGGTGTTTTAGTCGCTGTCTTTAGTTGTATGCTCGTCTATCAGCTACTAAGGTTAGTATATGAAATTTTGTATTTTTGCATATTAACTTTCAATGATGATATTTTCTTCAGTCACGAGCGTAAAAAGATGTACTGGGAGCAATTGGAGTTACGCTGTCGTTCATTGTACACCAGTCAACAAGGTCCGCCGCCAAATATGGCCGCTATGAGTGGTGGTCGTGGACCGATTTGTCGTTGTTGTGAACAGTGTCATCTGCATCGGCAAATACCACTCCAAACGACGGCATACCCTTGGGACGATAGTGGCGAGCCACGTTTCTGGACCGGTCAGCCACCTGGTAATTTTTACTCACCCAATCCAGGCGGTGATGATCTGCATATGGGTAATTCAGGCACGACATGCCGGGGGCATGCAAGTGCTACTGGCGCACGTAGTCGTACAACAGGTTGGAGCTGGCCACGCATGCCTTGGCAACGAAATTCTCCCATACCCAACAACAGACCATTTCGACAAACACCATCCAGTCCAGATTCTCAGTATGGTTTCACAAATAATGCACAGGCAGTCGCCGAGAATGTGATGTCAGAAATCGAAGCTGCCCCAGGTCTTCCACATAACTCTTCAGCGCCGGCTTTTAACGTTGTTAGTGGCGCACTTCCATATGGTGTTTGGGGACCGCCACCGCCATACAGCGATCCCAATAGTCCTGCGCGTCGTGTCTATTATCAATATATACAACAAAATCAATGTGGCAATAATATGAATACAGCCAATAGCATAAGCCATAACAATACCAATGCGTCGTGTGAAAATATTGTTGACGCCCCAAATGAACAGCGTATGCCTTGTCTTAATCACCGTTCAGTTTTCTTGGAACAACAACCACTTCAACACAATAGCAATGGCAATAATTGCTGTCCAACGGCTAGTATGCGAAGAAATTTAGCAAAGCGTCGAACGGCTGGTGGTACAGGTGCTGGGAGTGGTAGCAGCGGCGAAGATGCTCTGAAAACAAAGACTAGCGAGGGTGATTATGAGAATACACCTTCTGAGAGTGATGGCTGCAATATGCGAGATCGCTTTTCCAACACATTACCAACACGGAAAGTGAAGAAACGTAGCGACGTCAGTGCGAAATCTGGCATTATTGGATCTACAAATCCTCAACCAGCGCCACGTCTTTCCATGCAACAGGTCAACACTCATAACGAAATCAATTCTGCTAATGAAGTATCTAAGTCGACACTCGACGATAATGAGCACATCGACGAAATCATTGATAATATTTGCGATGAGGACATTAACAATGGAACACCCGGCAGTTGTGCTTCTACGAGTGTTAGCACAAGAGCTACACTGCGTCGCAGTCGCGGCATTGAGAATAATGGTTTCCAGTCAAACAACGAAAGTGTCGGTGTATTCGCCAAGCCTTCGGTGACAAGAGAGTCAGATGCCCTTGTGATATCAGCCGATATGCATACGACCACTGATCCAGCCGAGTCGGAGGTGTACTTTGCCGATGTGAGTAGTTGTTGCAATATGTCTCTAAAGAACGATAACTATTACGACGAGGCGCGTCAAACTGTACATCATGTAGCTTCCCAGCATCACCATCAACATCAGCACAGTAATTGTAGTCAAAACAGTAGCAGTACTAACGAAGACTACTTGGCGCAACGCTTCGGACAGCGGGAGAACTCAATTCGTAGTCGCCTGCCATTTCCACAGACACGTACCAACAACGACTACGAAGAAAATCTAAATACAAACCATGCAAAGGACATCGGCGGCAACATTACGCCAGTAAATCAAATGCAAAAGGAAATATCACGTCAAAGTGTGTGCTCGGTAGAATCAGAGGCAAAAACTGAATGCACCGACTTGTCACCGGCCACGCCGTGCAGTAATAAACTTGCCCAAACTAATTTCGATAGCAAAAACGCGACTATTAATGATAATAATGAGACTGTTATGACGCAACGTACAGCTGGTGGTGCGCTGCCGAACTTTGTTGCCAAATTCCCATATTCTTCCGAGTCACAAAGTCTAGAAGCACATCGACGATCAACGAAAGATATACATGATCTTATCATCTCTTCGGAAGCACATTACGAAGTCATCAATGACAATCCACAACCAACATTGCCTTGCCAATTTACCACACAACAACAAAATACGCGTATTAACAAGCCACAACCACAACGTCCAACAAATCTGGCGACAAACAAAACAAAAACGAAACATGGCGTTAAGACGCGTGATCGCATAGAGGCCAACGTTCACACCACTAACGAACGAGATTGGCCGATCGTCAGTGGGGTAGGTAATGCTAGTAAAGTTACTGGCGGCGGAGGCGGATGCAGCAATAACGAAAGAAAGTGTTTGTGAGAAGAAGTTTTCGTATAAAATCCTGTGATCCAGTGAGATGAAATGCTTTAGTATAATATAAGGATAAGAAGGTTGATTTGAGCAACTCTAATTTTAATTCGATTTCAAAGGAATCGTGAGTGAACGCTACTATGTGGTGTTCAACATAATAATTTTGTAATGGTGCGAATTCGTATATATAATTTGTTTCTTGTTTCGAGTACGGGTTGTAGCCAAAGGTATTTTATAGCAAAATAGAATGAGCCAAGTTTTATAAAATGAAAGACCACAGGTATGTACATAAGATATGGTAGAGGCAATTTGCCTAACATATGTTCGACAAGTACAAAGAATATCGAGTTTGAATATCAGTACTGGGAAACTAACCTGAAAAATATGTGAACCTTTAAAAAAATCTTTCACATTTTTAATATTAATTGAACTCATGGTTTCTGTTATTTTAAGACTGCCACAAAATAATGTTCATCATCTCATTTATATTACTGAATTTTATTTCTAATATTTTATTACATACTACCATAACTACATAAATCTTTATTTACATGTAAGTTCGTTCCTTAGAGGCGTCCAATCATGATCACTTCAGCCGTCCATCAGCTCCCAACTTTTCACGAATAAGTAATCTTGCCATATTAATACAGTTATTAAAGGTCTCAAATGCTCATATCTAATCTTATTAATTACAATAATATGAATAGAGTATAAATATATATACATATATGCATATACTAATATTCTAATTATGAATTTCAAAAAATATATTGTAGTAAATAACTTCATATTTTTCATTAATTATTTAAATTAAATTACAAATAAACATATACTATTTATGCATGTATGTGTACATACGTATCACTATCAATATACTATACATTTGTAAATATAAAAAAATATCTGTCGTCACGACTCATAATCGCCTTAAGTCGAATAAAAGGGTGCGAAAGTTAATGTTCATATACGTAATTCAATGTTATCGACAAGAATTTAAATTTATTATAAAGATAAGCGTTTGCCATTTTGCTTTAAAATCATTTCTAGAATAAATTCCAGCCGAGGGCCTAAATTTTCGACTACATTTTGCCACTATTCAAGCCTTAGGTCAGTATTAACACGCCGAATATTTTCTTCCGAGACGTCAATTGTGTCGGGCTTAACTGCGTAGACTAACAACTTTACATAATCCCACAAAGAATAGTCCAGCATAAGCTTGGACCAAAAGTTTCCTTTAATAAAGTTATCGTCTTGTAGGTCTTGTTGAAACTAAAGGTCATCCTAGTCAACATCCTCCAATTCAGGCACGACAAAGCCATTAACCATGGCTCTAAAGCACAACTAAATTTCACTTTTTGAAAATGTAACCGCGTTTTAACAACGACTTGCGGATTATCATCCCTCCAAACGCGAAAAATTTTTTTATTCACGTACCCATTCAACCCAAAGTGAGCTTCATCACTTAACAAAATATTCTTGTGATTGGTCGTCATATCGCAACATTCGACCCATTCACCGAACGTGTGCGATGCGCCTGATGATCGTTCGATACCGATGGGCGATGGTATCGACCGAATGTTGTAAAAAGCAGCGGTATGTCGCTTAAACCAAGCCATTATCTCGGTAAAAACTATGCACAATTTGCAAGCGTTCTTCTGAAGCAAATTTGTTTTTAAGAAATGACAAACCAAGCTGTATTTAAACCGAGTCACATTCAAAACCACTCGTCTAAAAAAAAAAACACTTTATTATCTTTTATAGGGCAGACGTTATTCATCCAAACTTACTAGCTCTAAATTCTTCAGCTGAACAAGTCGAAAATCAGACTTTGGCGATGTGATTTGTGAACACAGATATCTAAAAATATATTCATGCAACACACATTCATATATAAGTATATTTAAATGGTATATTTCTTATAAAATTGACTACTCAGCTATACGCGTATTCTTCGTTGTATAAAACTTAAAGAACTGATTTTACACATGCATACATATATACGGCATTATGTTGCTTCAAATCGAACGGATTGCCGATTTAATTTCAACTTTTTTTACGCAAACCATTTCATTAAAAATAAACTGGAATGCCCCGTGATTTGGAATTTCTTAATATCAAGCAGGGAGAGTCATACAATTTATACCTACAGATAGGTCATATAAACATACATACATTATTTGGTAGAAGAGCAATAATGAAAATCATAGATTATGTACGACTTTATAATTTTTTCAGACTCGCATAATTAATCAATTAAACAGGAATAATAAATAATTTTGGTGAAAGAAATATTAAATTACGACTCTGTTAAAAGTACTAAAACAAAATTCTGTTACGGTTGAAACCAAAAATATATTGATAAAAAATACCGTTGTGCAATAACCTTTTCTCTTCTTATTGTGTTTTGGAAATTAATTTTTTAGACATTTTAAATAATTTTATTTTGAATGTTAAAAAAAATTTAATTATTTGGTACAGCACGTGTTATAAACATTATTTAATATTAGGACGAATTCCTGTGCTCAAATCAAATTGAATCTCATGATTTTAAGAAATTTTCAAATTTAATATAAAATGAAATTGACTTTTGCTGAAATAAATTTATACCAGACCTTTTATGCTCAGGTTCATTGCATCAAAAATATAAGAAAAAATTAGTACAGTTTGAATTGAATGAAACATGAGTTTTTAAGTGGTTTGGTGTTCTTTTCTTTGACAGATTTTAGAGGAATGAAAAAAAAACAAGTTTTAGCACGAAAACCGTTTTTTGTGACGAAAACATGTTTTCGATGTTAGTATGAACCAAGTATTAGACCCAACTCCGTTCGACCTTGTGAGAATTAGTTGAAATGAAATTGAAATTTCTCTAATCTAAACCAAGCTAAAAACAGCTGACTTTATTCTAAAAAAAAGCTAAAAAAAAAAGCTAAACAGCGAAAAAGCAGCTAAATCTACCGGTAATAAAGCTAAAATAGCAACACTAGTCACAAAGAAGGCTCAGTTGCTCCAAAAGAATGTGATCTAAATTTTTTGAAAAATATCCGTTCAGACTAATTTCCAGAAATTAAAATTCATTTTCAATACAACCTTTTATGATATGTGCGTGGCTGGTTTTGAAATTAAAGGTCATAGAACGATAAGCATAGTGCATCGGCCAAGGAAAGGTATCCGGCTTATCAATTCACCAAATCTTCATACTAATAAGAAACTTCGATACTGAGTAGAAATTTCTGAAACGGGACCATAAGTTTTCATGCTGGTTGGGAAAATTGAATAAAGTGCAACGTTTTATTAATTTTTTTTTTCTCAAAAATATTCAATAATAAATTTTTGAAAATTTTAGAAAATGTAAATAAATGATACATTATCCCTTTTAAACGATTTGTTATCATTGTTAATTTATTTAATTTTGCAAAAAAATAATGCAAATTTTTTTTAAGGCTGATCGCTCACAACGAATAAACCGTTGAAACTTTTTCGTTCCCGGCATTGGTTTCATAACATACATACATATATTACAACTCATGTTTTCATACTTTTTCTCACTTCCAATACGAATTAGCTCTGAAAACCAAATTTAAAAAAATTTACTTTTTCAAATTGTTACATCGTGAAGCCGGTTCTTATGACGTTGCGAAACTTTTAATTTTGAGATCCATAAATCGCAAAGTAATTAAATAGACAAAGATTTGAAATTTTTTGGAAAAACTAAAATTTTAGAATTTTTACTCCCGCAGATTCTACAAAAATCTGTGCTCGGCTCGAAGTGAATTGGAAAGCCACGTTTCGATTTGAAGAAGAATAGCCATATACCCAAACATACATATATACTGAAAAACATATTTATGCATTTTGTTGTTTAGAATTAAGTATGTTGTATCGAATATATGTAATGTAGCATATTTGATAATTATTTAGTATTATTCATAGACAATACATAAAGTTATAGATATGTATATGTAACATATATACATATGTACATGTTAGTTGTGTACAGAAATATTTTAATAATTTGCTAGTTAAAAACGGATCATTATTCATTCAAAAGACATACATACATATGCATAAAGTATAACTGTTTATATAGTATATGTATATACTTATATAAGGCAAAAATGTTAATAGCTGCAAATATAAATTTTTAACGGTGTTAGATCTGTTTAAAATCTTCTTTTTTGGTTAATATATACTTAAAAATATCTATGTATTAAGTCATAAAATAAATAATAATTTTTTTAAGATTTTTATTTTTCTTAACGACATTTCCAGCAAATACCAATAAGAAAGTATGTAAACCCGCAGATAATTTTTATACTTCTGTATATCCAATACAAATATATATATAAAATTTTTTATTTGCAATAATTTTCTGTTCAAACCATTTTTTTTTAATTTTTAAACGGCCTTATCATGAGTTTCATGTGAAAAAAAATATATAAAAAGGTTCTTGTGAGAACGAAATCAAATTCGTAAAAAAGCCAAATCTGTTTTGGCTTTGTGTCGAATTTTTCTGAAATTTTTTTCTGATGATTAGTCTCAATTATTTCATCATCTCTATAATGAGGTTGTTGTTTAATTATTCTATACATATAATTATATGTATGTATGTAAATGTATGTGCATATGTAGACTGTGTGAATTTGTTATATAAAAATTATACGGTAGCTAAAATAAAATAATCTGCTTAGAGTATGTTGAAGAAAATAATAAATGATTATAATAAAAAGTAATAATAAAGGTAATAAATACAAAATAATACGAAACAAAAAGAAGTTTCATTTCGATAAGCTCAATACGGAGCGATTCTATTTCAGTATAAGCAAGCAGAACTTAAACGATCCAACAACCGCATTAAACCTTTGCAACAGGTACAATATACCTATTTTACTTGTCTGCTGGTATAACAGGCGCGATGGGGACTAACCTCAACAAAGGCTTTAGAAGTCATCCTTAACATTAGACCAGTTATTTTACAAGCGATGTATGAATCGGCTGACAGCTGATGGCCTAAATCTACTACAAACTTAGGTCCAGTCAATTATGAAGCAGCATTCCGAAAATTATATCAGAATTCGGGCTAAACATAAAATGCAGAAAGCGGACCAATCGGAAACAGTCAAAACATCCATGTATATTATTGATGAGCCTGAGATTGCGGACATTACTCAATTTGCCAAATGGGCAGCCGCTTTAATAGGTAAATCGATTAAGTTTCTGGTAGACAGCGAAAGGGCTTTTAAGGCACCTAGATGTGTCAACACAAAGTCCCTAAGCCCTAAAACAAGCAAAAAGGGAAATAACAGACAATCGCGGCAAAATAAAGCGAATATCACTTGGATCCCGAGTCAAGCGGGTGTGGAATGCTATGAAAAGGCGGATGAGCTGGCGAGCGCTGGCGATGTTGTCACTTACGATTGCCTCAGACCTTTCAGCGTCTTTGAATGTTGTCTAAAGCAGTGGACGATGGAGGAACATTTAAGACGCTGAAACATTTCGAATTTAGGGCGTGCCACCAAATTGTTTTGGGACAGTGTGAGCTTTAGATACATATTTAAAAGAAAAAAGTTTTTTTATTATCATTGTTAATTTCTTTGAACTTTCGGGTCCTCTTACCGAGCACGCCGGGCCACTCTGCAGCGACTATCTAACTTTTAACGGATTTTCTCAAAACCCCTTTGTAATTCTCCAGCTATTCCCATGTCTACAGTTTCGCCACTTCGTAATAATTTTATTAATATTTATTGTAAATTTCTGTAATTATATTTCAATAAGAGACTAATAACTTTACAAACTTTCCCTTTCCTTCCGTAAGAACAATTTTTGAAGAGCGTGGTTAACAATGGTATTACTCCCTACACCAAAGAGCTACCTTCTCCACGAGCTAAGGCGAAATTAAATATGAAATGTTCTCATAAGTGCAGCTGGGTTAAGCAGGAGATCACAAAAAGTGTACTCTATGGCTTATGTACGGCTTGCGGTCAGATCCTCGTCCTGCCATTAACATCAACCAACCAAACATCACGTGCTGATAGTGCTGATGGGTACACTGTATATAGCAACGGCTCCAGCCTATTTCTTATTATTATTCAAGCGACAAGAGGAACCTGAATTCCATCAGTATCGATCAGGGATTCGGATGCATCACATATGAGTTTTTGCACTTGCATCTCATTCAGCAAGCTGGAGAAGTGTTCACTCCAAAAGCTCAGTTCGCTGGAGATCGGTCACCAGTTTATATCTTTGAGTATGCTCTACTAACTCAGAAAGATCGCCACATCTATCCATAGAATTTTTGTTCATTACCTCTGTAAGCCAGCTCAAGCTCTTCATACTCACGCATTTCGGCGTTTTTCAGTTTTCTCTTTACTACATTTTGATAATCTGCATTGTAAAAGCTTTTCTACCGACATTGTCAAAAACCTGTAAACACCAAATAAAATCAGGATCACCAGATGATCCGATCAACGAAATGGAGGTCTTCCTCTTCCTTAGTCTCCATCTTTCATTCATTCGAACGACATGACCTAGCTAACATAGTCGCTGTCTCTTCATTCGTTGCACTATGTGAATGTCACCTTATAACTCGTACAGCTCATCATTCCATAGTCTGTGGTACTCACCGAAGCCTACGCTTTTCTCGAAGACTCCCGGGTCCGCCTCATCGCATCTTGATATTGACTAGGCTTCTGTATCAAGCGAAAAACAACGCCACAGCAATATAAATGGAACGATACATACGACAACAGCTCATTGAAATCATCAAAATTTACTACAGAAATTTCATTTTGACTGATGAGGCTAATTACCACCTCGTTGGCTACGCCAATAAGCAAAACTGTCGTATCTGGAGCTCCGAAATCCCCAGATTTATTTTGTTGGAAGGCCGCTCTATTCTCAACGTATAGCTGTTTGGTGAAGTTTTTATTCCTGCGGGGTCATTGAACCTCACTAAAGATGATTAATAATTTTTTATGGTCGAAATTGAATGGTTTTGATCTCGACAAAGTTAACTTTCAAAAAAGGCGGCTCTACGGGCCACAAAGTAACGAAACTACCGAACTATCTTTTAAGGAAAAAGTTTCTTTGAATGTCAAATACAATACCTTATTGGGAAACCCATTATAATTAGCCATTCGGAGTTGCTCCATTTGCTACGCACACTGCATATTGGAGAAGAAGCCCGGCCGAAAATCGTTTCAGCGATTATACACGGTGTGTCCCAAAAATAACTGAACTTTTCGGATATAAAATAAAATACATATTATATTATCTTTGAAAGTTATTATTTATTAAAAAAAAAAAGTTTCTATTTGAGTCAACACAATGTTTGGAACGATCAACTAGCAACCATGTCATTTATAGAAATGTTTTTCAGTACCTCGGTTACGGCTGCTTGAATGGCTGGCATATCATCATGGAATGCTCCCTTCATCTTGGTTTTCAGTTTTGGAAATAAAAAATAGTCACATGGTGATAGATCAGGTGAATACGGAGGATGGTCGATGAGAGAAATCCCTTTTTTTCATTAAAAATTCGAGCGATTTTTTGGTCGTTTTAAAATTTGCATCGTAGTAAAATTTGCATCGATACCAATGATTTCACGGATTTTTTCCACCAGTTTTATTCAAGTTTGACACAAAATTTTATATTTGCTCTTTGTTCCATTTTATTTTTTTTTTAACCATTACCACACTTTTGGTTTTATTGAAATGGCTGTCACTTTTACATCTGTCATCCCACTTACATGATGTTAGGTGCGTTTGAAAGAGGATGAATGTATCTTTTTAATCTTGCAAATTTTCAATAGATGGCGCTGTATGTTGTATGATTTAAATAAAATATAAAATTCGGTTATTTTTGGGGCACACCGTGTATAACTTTAATGAAATACTTTAATTTATGAATCAATAATTGGCTGGAGAAAGAGCTAGTAAATTTTGCATTTCTTATTATGGGCCAAGGTTCCAGCAACCATTGACTGTGAGATTTTTATTATAGATTTTTTATTGCTTTTTGTTTCTTATCAACTTTATTAAAATGTATTTCGGTGTTTTAAAAACTACTTCTAGCGACTTTTTACACTATAACTAAACTTTTATATTATTTATGTATTGTATGTATATGTATAACTAAGTACTGGGTAGATCTTGTAAGTACATAGTATAAATAAGTTTAAAATTATGAAACTTTGTTATTTAAATAGACAAATTTGAGCATTATATGACTTACAACAAAAAATACATTACAATACATTCAGAATGGAGAATAAATTCACAATAAAAAAATTATTACAATCGAAGCACACTGAAATTTAAAACACTGCGAGTGATGTTAAAAATATGAAAGCACAGGCGACGAGAGTAATCGGATAAGCCAACAATTTCTCAGCCGCATTGCTATTCTTACGGTCCTCTATGGTACCATGTGGTATCTCATTATCGTCTATACTTTGCTCTACCTCCACCAAAGCCAGCGTTGTAGCTTCGTTAATGGTTCGCAATAACGGATAATTCGAATTGATACGTTTTGGCATAATTGCATGACCATTACTCTGAAGATATTTATAATCGGCGTAAATGTCTTCCTCCATAACGCAATTACCACGAAAATCATCTGTGTCTATAGACCAGACCATCGTGCCAGCAAGTTTCTTCTCCACGGCAAATTTCACTTTGTTGGCGATTGAACGGCCGTTATCGAAGGTCACTACCTGTATTAAACCGCTGAAGACGTCACGCTCGGAGCGCGCTAACATCTGCGAAGTTTTCCCATCCCAAACTGTAGTCCAGCCGGATGTTTTGTTGCTTAATATATTGCAAATTTCATTGTAGCCAAGGAAGCCATCCTCACGAGTGAAGGGTCCCTGAAAAGCGGTGCCATCCGTAACATCCCCTATATTGCCATCTCGCGGCGTCCTGAAAGTGCGACCATAAAAGGGTAAGCCGAGTACGATTTTATTTGGCGGCGCACCCAATTTCAACAAGTAATCGATCGTAAACTCCTGTAAATGAAATAGAGTTATATTAGGAAATGTTTCTTACAAATTTCTCGTGTAATAATTCTACGCACCACGCTGAGCACATCGCCTTCTGGAGCCCTGAGCGGCGCATTATAACCAACTTGTTTATCCCAGCTGCCGTGATAATCGTAGCACATAATATGTAAGTAATCGAGATAACGCGATATTTGCCGGACATCGTACGCTTGATCAATAACATTCTTCGCTGCGCCGATCGCTGACGTCAGCAGCAAGCCATAATTATCAAATTCATCTCTCAACTCCTTTGTGAGTAGTACAAAATTTTCACGATCTTGTGGCCGTCCACCACGTTGTGTTGGATATTCCCAATCAAGATCGAGACCATCGAAATTATATTTTCGTATAAATGTAGTGACTTGTTTGACGAAACGCGCACGTTGTTCTCGGTCGGCGACCAGCAAAGAATAATTTTTCGAACCTTCATTCCAGCCACCTATTGCCAAGCTGACCTTCAAATGCGGGTGAGTGGTTTTGAAACCTGTCAAATGCTCGAAACCACCTTTACCGTAATCTTCCTTCAAGTCCTGCCATGGATCTGAAGAATGCGATGAAATTAACAACATAAACTATTTATTGAAAAATATTTGAAAAATATTATATCTATATTTTCTCACCCAATGATTTTATTGCCGATTGTGTGATATCCAGTCCAGCAAATGCATAAACTACGTGTGTGCACAGATTTGGATCAAAATTATCGATGCCATATGCACCGGCGCCCGGCCGGTACACCGCCCATGTTGAAATGTAACACACCACAACTTTGTCATGTGTCGGCCCTGGCGTCAGAAAAGGGTAAGGGTAAAAATTGAAGAATTGTATATAATATGTTAAATTATATAAGTAGAAATGTATGTCAAAATATGTATCCACATAGAATTATAAAATATTACCTGTTTTCGCCAATGCCATGCTCACACTGAAAGCAATTACTAAAAGTGTAAGTGAAACCTTTTTTCCGGTGCTTATGCTAAAGGGTGAAGTCATCTAGACATAAACGAAAAAAAAAAATATATTAAAAAAGAAATATAAAAAAATAGTTTGTGGTGATTTGAACATATTTTGTAACATACTTAAACATATGTCTGTATATATAATGTAATTCAATTTAGTATATACTAGTGAGCTATAAATATTAGCCATTACTGTAGGTAGCTGACATATGATGCTGCTCTAATGGCTAACCCTTTTTGAAAATTGGGTTTAGTACTGCAACTATGAAGGTCAGTGTGGCCGAGAAATTTAAATATGCTGTCGTATTTCCGTAGCAAAATCCAAAAAGTATAGAAAATTAAGTTTAAATAAAAATTGAAATTAATTTTTCTAATTCTGGTCCCCCATCGGCAGGAAGTATAAACCTCTCCAACTGTACTTCTGACATGATTCAAAATCGTCCAAAGTGGAAAACTTCATCACATAGCTCCCGATTTGCTCAGATATGAGAAATAATATTTAATATTATTTCAATTGAAACACTTAGAAATATTAACGGTTAATTAGTTATCAAAATAAATTTTTATAATTTCGGGTGAAAACGAAAAACTGTCGTTAATGTTAAGTCGTTAACAGACAATGTTAAAAGTTAAAATTGAAGTGCGCACATAGCAAGCAGCTATTTTAAAATTAACGTTAACGGTAATAGGAGTAAGTTACTTTTTCTTCTTAGCTAAACGTAATGACATTGCTGCGTTTATTGAGCATCTCTGATTTGATTCTAAAATGCAATACAGTCTTCGGCATGGCATCGTCTTATGCAATTCTTCTTGTCTTGTCAAATAATCGCAAAATCAGACTAGAAAACCAATATTTCTCAGAGAATATATGTAACAAATGTTTACTAAAGCGAAATTGGCTGATATATAATATTAAAAAAAATTCGTTCAGGTCTGTGAACGTCAACAACAACATAAGATTCAAATTTCAATGCTGCTATGAAGAAATAAATAATAGAAAAATGTTATAACATACACTTGCTTTATTGCTTTTATTATGACTCACTCGCTTGCTTGCTTTCTAATTTTTCATACATTTTTCTTTTATTTTCCTTCTGTTAACATCTACATTCATCTGCTATATAAAATGTAAAAGGATATCCGCAATAACTACTACTACTTAACACTCGTATATATAGTATGTATGTAAATATATTGCATGTATTTCAACGTCGCTCTTTTATACACAATGTTTTTACACTTTGGCTAAACTGGTTCAGAAAAAGGCAATTAGTTAAATTACATACATACATTTGTGCAGTACTCAAAGAGACTATGGGAAACAACTTTATTTAATCTTCAACGATTGATATATAAAAACTGTACAATTGTACACGCATAGAAGTAATAAGGTGGTCCGTTACACATGTGCGTATCTTTATAAGAAAGAGATCAGCGCGGACATGTAGTTTTCAAGAAGATATAAAATATATATTATGACCAAGAATTCAGGGTTATTATAAAGACAACGGTATGCCATTATGTTTTGAAAATAATTTCGGTCAATTAAGGCTAAGGCTAAGGCTAAAGAAGGCTGCCACGAGAGGCTCCGTATTATATAACGTGCAAAACGCGCCGAGTATTTTCTTCGTGTTCGTATCGTAACGGGTTTACCTTCGCAGGGAAACGACTTGGAGGCAAATACGCGAGATAAGGCGCTGACCAAAGGCAAGTTTAGCATCGTATTGTTGAAAATAAAGGTCATACACATCAACATCCTCCATTTCATGTCCAAAAAAGCCATTAATCATGGGTCTATAGCGTCTCCCGGTGACTGTAACATTATTTTCAAGAAATATGGACCAAATATTCCCTCTGCCCGCAGGGAATACCAATTAGTGACTTTTTGATGATGAATGATTACTATTGCACGCGGTGGCGGATAGATTCATTTAGGTCTTCTTCGATACTCTCCCTCGGCAGACAATGGCCGAGCAATCCGAGTTTATTTACGACATGAAGCAAAAGTTCTTTGTTCGTCACTTTGCACCATCGCCCTTCGGAGACGGCTGAGAATAAACTGTAGGTCCCCCCATTATTGGGAAAACATCAAGAGACATACCACAAATTATTTCCTCCAAAAATCCTCGGCCAAAAATCGATTTATAACATTTATGAGAATCGTTTGAGTACATACATGCAAGCACCGGCATTTAACCATCAGACGTTCGGAACAGCATAAAACCGTAAGTTCATCCAGGAGAAGAAAATTGGTCGAAAATTACTTAGGTGCCGTATATGTTAAGGGTTTTCCAATAAGAGGTATTATTTTATTTTGAAGCTGTAATTTTTTGACATTTGGCAAGTAAAAATCACGCCAGCAATATAAATGGAACGATAGACGCTTCAAAAACGCATTGAAATTATTAAAATTCACTACAAAAATCTAAATCAATTTCACTGATGAGGCCAATTTCTACCTCGACGGCTTCGTCAGTAAGCAAAGTTGTCACATTGTCAATTGTCGGGAACCCCAATATTCATTGGACCTTACTATGTCGAAAATGTATTGATATCGAGGTGCCACGCAAGCCACGAAACCATCGATCTTTTAAGGGAAAAATTTCTTTCTATATCAAAATAATACTTTTTATTGGAAAACGCGTAACCTAAATGAAAATTGAAAATTGTACCGTGGCTTATAATTTTACAAGCGCGAAGTAACAAGAACATAAGTTTTCCTAAAAGCTTACAACTATAACTATTTGCTTACATAATTTCCTTCACATTAGTTAATTATTCTCTTCTTCAAAGTCACAATACTTACTCTACTAGTAGAAACTGAACTGCCCTAATACTCATAAATACATATATATTTAAGTGCAAATATGTTCTCAACAGCTACAAGAAACGTTCGTAGACCGTTAAGATTTTTTTTTTTTAATATATATATATACATAGTATCGAAATAAATTGAAATTGATTGTCTCTTAACTTGCGAGTACCAATCAAATCCACAGATACTGCTTATTGCAGTAATGTCACTCATACATACATATGTACATATGTATTTATGTATGTATATATGCACTTGCAAATGTTGCAAATTCTGCTTAGTTTCGATTTTGCTTCGGCTAACAGACTTTTAGTAAAAAATAAGCAATAATGAGTTTAGGAATTTAAGTAAATAAATTTTATATTAATCCGTGAGAAAAAAAACATTTTATACAGAAACATAATAATAAAACAACAACAAACGAATTTAAAAATACAAATACTTTCATATTAAAATTTTTTATTATATATGTATATATATTTAGACTAAGAGATATGCCGTTTTTTTATTTATTAAATATTTTAAAATACTCGGTTCAGCTTCGTTAATTCTCTATACTCGTATATTAGTAATACATTTAATATCTAAGTATGTGATGAATAATCAAACGAATTAAAAATGAAACATGTTCTTTAATTAAATAAGACAACGCATAGGAGTTACAAAGAATTGCATACATATTTACATATATACCGTTACGTTTAAAAACAAGAATATGATATATGTATGTACATATTCTAACGATTTTTTAATGAAACTAATAGTACTCGTCGGACGCAACTGGCGAGTGGTTGGCATTGCGCACTAACATTCGAAAGGCCAGGGTTGGAGTGTTGGTTCGAACAACAACCAAAATTATAGAAAATTAATTTTTCTAACTGCGGTCGCTTCTCGGCCGGGAATGTCAAGCCCTTCGAGTGTTTTTCTGACATGAAATAAAAAAGGTCCCCATTAACATCCATCCAATCTTCGGAGGCGGCTTAGTATAAACTGTGGGCCGCTCCATTTGTTGGTAAAACTAGAGGTTATAAAGCGCCAATTACACATAGATTTATCCATTTCGTGGTTTCAAAGGACAATTCAGTGTTTTCACGTCTGTCAAACTTAAATGTTAAACCAAACATGCTTTGTTTTAGTTAAAAGCCAGGCATTTATGAGCAACCGCGTAACGCGTTAAAATTGTTAAAACCTACTAGAAAAGTGGGCACATTTCTTGCTTTAAGTGGTGTTTGGTGAAAGTTTAAAGAATTATTTGAAGATACTGGGTCGGATACAAGCATTGTAAGGCCTGTGCATCACCGTTTTGCTCGCTGCTGTAAGTGAAGACTTAGCCGAAAGCCGAAGGTATTTATTTCTCGACGTCCTCTAGAGCAGTGTCTTTCTTAAGGCATATTATGACGTATCTTGCTCTTAGACTTACATCTACATCCATCTAGAGTCCAGTTCACACAACAACTGAACCCAGCTGACCATTCACAACGCTTAAACAACAGTGAACGGCGATTTTTCAAACCAAATTTTCTACAGCGACGATGCCAATTTCTCACCCGGAGGATGCCGTAAATAAGCAAAAATTGTCACGTTTGGGGTTTGAATGATTGAAGAGAGGCCATTACATAATAAAAACCTACTATCTGGTGCACTCTTTGGGTCGGGGGTGTCATTGGACCTTACCTCTTTGAAAACGACAACGGCGGGACTGTCGTTGTTAATTCGGAGCCTTATGATCCTATGATAACCCACTTTTTCGCAACACAACTTGGACAATATGCGGTTTCAACAAGATGGTACCACATGTAACACAACACGAGCAAATATGGCTTTATTGCGAAAAATTATTTTAAATGCATTTTATTTACGAAAGTTTCGACACGGCAAAATGGATATCCCTGTATATGAGAAAAAATGCAGTATACATATTTTACTACATCAATTTAATTGAGTTTAATTTTCTAAGCAGTTCACTGCTGCCTCAAGTTATATTGAGCTGGTGTAGGCTCTAGTATTTACAGATACGTTACATACCAAGATTATGAATTGCTACACTTTCCGCTGTCTTACCCATTCCCTGCATTTCTTTTCTTCAACCAAACTTAAATTGTTGGCATATGACGCCAACAGTCAATGCCCTGTTAATAGCTCTGGAGTCTGACCTCTATGTCTATGTCAATTAGTAGGCTTCAAGTTATCTGCATTTTACATAATTTTCGTCACTCTGCAGCCAGATGATGCAGAAGTGTTGCTTGTTGTATGCTTTACTTCAACTCCAACTCCAATTTAATCTATATACATATGTACATATGTATTTATATCAGAGGCTTTGCTCTGAATGGCTGGCGGAAGAACCTAAAGCCCGAGCCATTGATCGTAGAGAACTGAAACGTGGAGAATGTGCCTTGCATATGACGCAGGCATTCGATAAGAAATGATTTTGCAGGATGTGGTTCTGCGACTGATCTAATGGAACGAGTCCTGCTTATTTTCGAAGGGAACATAGGAAGATCACTACCCATGTTCATATTTATTTCGGGAAGTAGACCTAGAGCCGACCTTTCAATGAAATTTGAAAAAACCGTTCTTTTCGTTTGATTTGCATGAAATATACTTTCTCATATGTATGTATGTAAAACATGTACATTATAAATCATAAATTTTGCAAAAAAAAAAAACATTAAAAAAATATATTTTAATAGACTACGAGCATGCGGGAGCAATTATTTATTAGATAAGAATTCAATTGGATTGTATTGATAATTTTTATACACATACTACATACATACATATTATTTAATTTTTTTATAATAGCAGAAGTAGACTTGCGGACTAAGTCGCGAGTAAAGCCCGGTGTATTTACATACACGTATATAAATATTATAGCTTGTTCGGGCCATCGAAAACAAATAACATCTGCAAGAGAATGCTTTCAACATCCATGTCCAATGTTCTACATTCTCAAGTTCTCGAATTGAATCTAAAAGAAATCATATGGGCTTGCTTTGTACCCCTAAGCGACATAACCCAATTTTCTGCTTTTGTTGGTGATGTTGTTTTAGTTAACAAAATTTCTATATGCAGAATTGTGTCGTACCATAGTTTGCAGTGCTGAACTTGGTTTGGTTTAACCATTGACATTGGCCCACTTCGCGGAGAGAGGAATAGGCCAGACCCCGGTCCACTTTCCGGAGAGAAGTTTAGCCTTCCTGTTAATCTAAGCCAAAAGCCACCTATGTACCGAATTTCAAGTAAATCGAAAGATAAATACAATTTTTTCGAATAGTTCAGTCCTTGGCCCACTTACCCAAGATAAGAATAGTCCGACTTTTTTTTAAATAGGCCCACTCCTCGGAGAGATGTTTTTATTTCCTGTTAACTTAAGCACCTATATAACGAATTTCATGTAAATCAAACCATAAATAAGATTTCTTCAAATAAGTTAGTCCCCGGTCCATTTCTCGAATATTTTCTTTCGTAAAAGCCTTTCCGGTAATCACAGAAGTAATCTGAAAGCCAATCGGTAGGTAACCCGTTACAAACGGACATAAAACCGAATAGTGTCGACATCCCAAAATCAATTCAGAAAGAAAAATTCAATTTTTTTTTAAATATAAATTAAAAAAAAAAAAACGAATTTAAAAATGTAATAAAAATTTTCCAATTTTCCGACTTTTTCTCAGGATAAGTATTACGTTTTTTTTTTAAACCTTTCCTGATCCACAAGGAGCAACCTTTGTAAATTTTATCGAGATTAGGCCAGCCGTTATCGAGCATTATTGACCTGCCCACAAAGTCGTTTTCAAAGTGTTTTCGATATAAGAGCAAACTAGGTATTGCATTAGCACTGCAAGTAACGAATTGTCAAAATTGAACTCTCTTAGTACAAACAAGTAAAATTCATTAATTGTTACTGAGCAACAGAAGGAAGTTCTTTTTGTCCTCATGAAACCTGGTTCACATAGAATAAATATGCTTCGCTTTGCTTGAAAGAAGTATACATGACTACGGAGCGAAGCAAACCGAGGCCATGCCTAAAAATTACCCAATAAAGGGGTTTCCAAGAAGACAACTCTGAAGCTGTAATTTTCTGACATTTTACAAGTGAAAGCTACGCCAGTATTAAAAATACAACAAAACACGCTTCAATAACGCATTAAAATTATTAAAATTCACCATAAAAATTTCATCGAAAAATCATTTTGCCTGATTAGGCCCATTTCCGTTTCGATGGCTAAGCAAAACAGTCGCATCTGGTGCTCGGAAACACCTAGATTTATTTGGTTGGATAGTTTCTCTATACTGTTGGCGCGGTTTAAAGTCCGGTTGGGTCATTGGACCTTACTTTTTCGAAAATGAATAGATTGCGAAAGATGATTAATGATTTTTTATGACAGGAATTGTATGGTATTAATCTGGACAAGCTACGAAACCATCGATCTTTTAAGGCAAACGTTTTTCGAATATCAAAATAATATATCTTATTGTAAAACTCTATTTGCCATTTAAATACAAATGTTGTTTAATAATTTTGTGAAACATAATAACATTTAAATTTACCATTATGAAATAAATTGCTGAGTTATTTTCACTCTTCTGTGAAGTTTAAAAACCACATATTGCATTAAAGAATCAATGAAGCGTAAGAAAGTTGATTGTCACTCCTATTTACTTGCCACACATTCGTCCAAAAATATTAAGACTTCACCACCCTCAAGTAAAGCACTAACTTTTCGACTCGTCGTAACCGTTAAACAAAAGCGTGACTGACGTCGCAGTGTACTCGAGAGCAAAAGTGATTCATGCAGAAACCAAATAATTTCGCTGCTCGACAGAACTGTAGCAGAATTTGTTGAGTTTTAAGTTAACAACTTAATGAAGATGAGACATATAAGATATTACATTTAAGTACACATACAAGACATACAAACATACATTTATTACAAAAGTAGACACATTCAAATTTATATGTTAATCAACTTGTATATTTTCTTATTTAGAGCAGTTAAAACCCCAAACTCATTTGCACTCGAAAAACCGGAATTATAAATTACTTGATTGGCGACTTGGTAAACATTGCACGAGAGATACAATAATGCGTGCTGCCGAAGTATTGAGAACCAAACATAATGACAATATTTTGCTAAACTCAAAACATCACGGAAATCTTTGGTTATAATAAACGCTTTTTGAACGCAATAAATGCCAAAAAACTAAAACAATGAGGAAGTGTAATAAGAGACAAAAAAAAAAAAGTTGGTATTATAACTGACGACTTCAGTGAAGCGTTGCGCATGCGCCTTCTCAATTCAGCAGGTGATTGCGTGGCGCAGTGGCTAAAATAACAATCGCACAACATTAATAAGCACATACATACATATAAATGTACTTAAATTTGAATTTGCGAATATATAAGTACTGGAGAGTTGCTGCATACAAATGTGAAAAAATATGCATTATATATACATACATACATATGTAAAAGTATTTATATGCCCATACATAACTAGCACAAATTTATGTACAATAAACATTTATGGTCAACACTTAAAATTTTTGCTGTTTTTACTTTTGTCACTCCTCTTTTTCATAAATTTATAATTTTATTAACTAATTATATTAGAACCCAAAAATAAGATTTTAAGTTTTATTTATTTGTATTCATATGTACCTTCGGGCTTACACTTATGTATAGTATATATTTCTTTTTCTATTCAACTTTTCTTAAAAAATATTCTTTAACGTAAAGAAAATATGATAAAAAGCACCGTATAAAATCGGACGGCGACACAATTTCTACCGCATTTGCCGCTCTCAGATCGAAAACTGAATGTCCACCAGCTTGGTTAGTGGCTATGGCTATGGCTCGGCTCAGAGCCGCCTGTTTACTCGTATCATGAAGATGGTTTGAAAGAAAACGAAAAGTCTTACTCTCTAGAGTCACAGTCAAAGACAACGCCAGCATTGTACCGCAGAGAACATATTTATATGTAAGTAAATATGTATATAACATCTATTAATAAATGTATACATACATACGTATGTAACCAACTTTTGTACATATGAATGTATGCGCTCGCACCCAACCAACTCTGAGCTTTGGTTTGAAGCCAAGACCATAAAATATTATTTAAATTCTAAAAAAGTTAAATACTTGCCAAAAGTGCTTTATAAACTTTAAATTCGTATCTTAAAAATTTTTTAAATAAAAATGTACTAATACATCATAGATACATATATATAATATTACATAATATGGAGGTTTCCAATAAGAGCGATATGATTTATTTAAAAAAAAATCTAATTTTTTTTATTTACTGCGAAGTACATTCGAAGTGCTGAATATAACATCATCAAATGGCCGCCATGACTTCTTCTGCAGGAACAAATTCGTTGAACCCAATTTTTGAGCACTTTTTCACGTTCAATATTTACTTTTAAAACTTGAAGAGAGTCTGGTTTATTGCCAAAGACAAATGACTTCAAATAACCCCACAAGAAGTAGTCTAACGGTTTTAAATCACAACATCTTGGAGGCCAATCCATGTGAAAATTTCTTGAAATAATCGAATCTCCAAACTTTTCTCGCATAAATTCGATAATTGCACGTGTTGTTGGAACCAGATGATCTTAATATCAACTTCAACTTCCAATTGTGGCTATAAAAAATTGGTTATCAACGATCTATACCGCTCTCTATTGACAGAAACGGCGCCACGAGCTTCATTTCAAAATAAGTACGGACCGACGATCAGATCAGAATCGGCCGTTTTTGTTAATTTATCCCAACACTAGATCAAGAGATATTAAAAATGGCCAAAACGGCATTAAGAAACCATATCATCCCTATCATGGTGTACTGCCATTCGCAAGACCAGGGTTCGAGTCCGAGTCTAATCAACATCTGAAAATTATAGAAATTTAATCTAAATTAAAAAATTAAGTACAATATTCTAATTGCTTTCTAGTATAATTAGTCGTTGAAATAAACCTTCCAAGATTTAAAACTAAGTAAAGCTTGTCGTATTTTTTTATAATAAATAAATTAATAAAAATCTTTACGAAAATGAAATTTGGTGACCTTCACACAAAAAATCCAGTAACCAAACTCGAAATCATCGTGTTTTAAAAATCGATTCAATTCCAAGTATTTGCAAAATTAATTGTTGTAGTAGAAAGCGAGCGTTATATGATTTTATTCGCCAGTACTGCCTATTTTCGTTAACAAGTCGATACGATTTGTGTATATCGGAAGCCATTTAGTTCGTTTATCGATAATCAAACATCGATTTTACCACTGCATTAATGTTTATTTTAATTCTGCCGAAGGTAAACATTTAAAAGTCGGCTTTGTCAAAACAAAATATCGTTAATAAACTAAGGATTTTGATCGTAGGTTGAAATATACCGTGTGCAATTTGTCAAATTTCTCTATATCTTACAAAATATTTCTTATATAAAGTATTTAGTTTCTATTCAGTAAAAAATATAGTACTATATAACATCTACGCAGGAACATCGTAGATTAAACTTTCCATCAAACAATTTGTGTCAACGACAGCAGCCTATGAAAAAACTATAATACGCTGAAGTGACAAAATTTGTGTTTGGAATTGAAATAAAAACAAAAACCTTATCACCATCTGCAACATGGATGAGAAAATGTCATATAAGCGAATATCCGGTGAGGGTTGCACAGACAGCAACGTAGACAAAGAGGTTGCAATGGAGTCGGTGGAGGTGTCGGCTGCTTGCATTGAACATAATGACAATAACTGTAATGAAAGGTGGGTAGCTCATTAGGGTTAGTTAACTAATTGAATTTTCAAATTACATTTTGCATAAATAAAAGACAATTAAATATTTAAAATTTAACCAAACTATTCTTAGTCATGTGTAAAAAAAATATATGTGCCTCATTTAGGTCTATGGATTTCTTCAAAAGGAGGGATCAACTCAATTTAAATGACAAGTTTCTGGTGCCTCAGGCAGTCTGTGGTACATTTTCTTTCACTAATCCACTCTTATGGCCCAGGAAAATTGACGAATATAGCACTAATTTAAAAATTGAAATGCATATACATATTTGCACATACACTTATGAAAATAAATGAAAATCTATTTTGTATTCCAGCAATTCTCCATCGTCACCAACTAAAACAGACAAAACCTGTAGCGATAGCGGAGTTTGTAAAAACATGGGGGAACAATTAACAGCGGCTAATATGGATGTAAATTCAGAAGCATGTAAAACAAATACAGAAGAAACAACTCCTCTCCCACCACCAAATAAAACAGTCCTTAGCCCAACTATTAACGATACTTCAAATATGGAAATCTCCCCATCAAATATTGATAGTGAAGACTCAAAATGTGAAAACGAAAATGAAGAAAATATCGGTCCAAACAGTAGTAGCGCCGAGACGTCAAATGAATTACTTGCATGGCCAAGGAATACGCGACGAGAAGGACGAAACTATCGGCATAGTATGCAAGGCAATGAAGAAGAAGAAGAAGTGGATGTAACTGAATCAAATTCAGTAATAGCTGATGGAACTGAGGAAGAGCAAATGGTGTGTTATAGTGTACTTAAATATTTATATTAATATATACATTTCATTTAAAATATTACTCATTTAGCCGCTGCTATCGGAACCAGTTACACAAACAGAAAATACGGTAACGCAAGTTAATACTGATACATCAATGTCGGGCGAAGTAGCAAACGTGAGTGTATACAATTAAGATTTTTCAAATTTAAGTAATTTAAACCTAACTAATTTTTGAAGTCGCCCTCGACTTCCGAAAATGCAAACGGATTACCATCTGTCAGTAGCAGCTCTTCTTTCAGTGATGACGATGATATTGATGATGATGATAGCGATGGTGACGTAGATTTCGATTCTGATTATGATCCTCGGTTAATTGAATATGTCAATGAAGTAGCCGATGTTATGAATAAGCCTAAGCCACCATATACCTGGCGCTCAACAAATGAGTTAATGCGAAGAGAGCATGGACTGAGCGGTGATGGCCGCAAAACTTTACGCAGCGGTATGTCACTGGGATTCAATGCACGTTTTTATGGATCGCGACACGTTGTGGAACGTATGAAAATTTCTCATTGCCTACTAAAGCATAGCGGTTGTGTTAATTGCTTAAACTTTAATCGCTCCGGCGACTTGTTGTGTTCTGGCTCAGATGACACACGCATAGCTGTCTGGGATTGGGCGCAGAAAAAAGCAAAATGCGTTTTTAAATCAGGGCATACTGAGAACATATTTCAAACGAAATTCATCAGCAGTACAGGTGTTTTGGACATTGTCTCCGCTGGTCGCGATGGTCAAGTACGTCGATCGATATTACCATCATCTGGAGGTAAACCACAAACGTCTTTGCTATATCGGCATAATGGCTCTGTGCATAAACTTGTGATGAGCCCCCAAAACCCCTATGAAATAATAAGTGCTGGTGAGGATGCTCATATACGACATAAAGATTTGCGCAGCGACGAAGGTGCTACCAGCATCTGTAAAGTACAGAACAGCAAGAAGAAACGAAAAATACGACTCTTTAGTATTGCTCACCATCCTTATGCACCGGAAGTATGTGTTAGCGGTTGCGATAATTTTGTACGTACCTACGATAAGCGCAATATGAGTAAACCAGTTTACCAAATGTGTCCCGCACATTTAATTAAGGTGAGCTAAAATAGTTCTATCGGTTGAATGTAAAGTGCGTAATTATTGTTTATATGATTTATATTTATCTTTAGGATCACACGCCACAAGTTACTTGTGCTGTATACAATAACACTGGTAGCGAAGTGCTAGCATCTTATAGTGATGAATTCATATATTTATTTAATAATAAACCTTATAAAACCGGAGAATATCTCCATCGTTACCGTGGGCATTAGTAAGTTAAAGAAAACACAATTTTTTGTAGACCATCAAACTTAATAAACGTCTTCCTTTCCAGTAATCATAAAACCATTAAGGGTGTTAACTTCTTTGGACCCAATTCAGAATATATCATCAGCGGTAGTGATTGCAGCAACATATTTTTCTGGGATAAAAATACGGAGGCAATAGTAAATTTCATGCCTGGTGATTCTATTGGGGTGGTAAGTTTATTAAGATTATATTTAATCATTAGGTACGAATATTTTATAATCAAGTAAATCAATGTCAACCACTAAAACTTCGCAGAGCCAAACTATCAATAGTTCAAAAAATTTGTCTTTTCTAATTATGTAATTGGCGTTTTGTAACCGTTGAGTCGATTTTCGACCACGCACCTCCTCCTATTTTTGGGTGTGCCTTGATGGTTTTTTCAATAAAACGATATTATTTATTTCTATTTTATTGAAAAAAGATTTTAACTTGATCTCACGATTATTTGATTTGCAATTTTATTCTATGTAGAGTAGTCTCAAGAAAAACAAACATCAATTGCTATTATTTAGTCATTTCTTAACTTACACAGCTGGCAGTAAAAATAAATTTTCCTCATATTAAAAAAGTTTAAGATTTTTCTTTTTATTCTTCTTCGAATGAATAAATACTTGAAGTTATTTTTCATAATGAAAAGCATTTAGAACTTTACTTATTTATATATTTTCAGGTTAATTGTTTAGAACCACATCCAACAATACCTGTGCTAGCAACATCGGGGCTCGATTCAAGCATTAAAATATGGACACCTACTAGTAATGTGGTAAACTTACAAAAAAAAAAAAAAAAACAGTTTGTTTGTAATATGATAACAAATATAATATCTCATTTTAGTACCCACCAAATTTGTCAAAACTTGAAGCATGTGTGAATCGTAACTTAAGGCACGCTGCTTACACCGACGAATTCGACGACAGAGAGTTCCATAGTTTCATTCGTCAATTTCTTCGCCGTCCTCCTCGACGTGGTACACGTGAAAACTTAAGCAGCAGCAGCAGCAGTAACAGCGATGAAGATAGTGATGCATTTGAAAACTCACAAATGGATGGGATACAATGCCACACTCAATGAAAATGAATTATACTTAAAGATGTTTTTAAAACGTGGCGAAATAGTTGATGAATATCAATATCTTTCTTATATTAAACTTTTTATTTCCTCTATCTTTCTGTTGGAATTGTTGAGCCTTATTAGTAGTTGTGTACGATGCAATTCAATGTGAGTTTATCGCCTATTAAACTTATTTAGAATAATCGTGCCAAAATTGTTTGTTGATTATCAAAATAATACATATATATTTCGTGTAATATTTGAATTGAATATTGAACCCATTGAATAAAAAAATATATATATACATAACTAATAAAAATAATGCTTATACGCATAAGGGATAACAAATAAAAATTAATCGGTTTTTTGACATAATAAAGCAGCGCTTCGTTTAATCCAATGCGTGGCCTTGACTTTCGTTTTCAAAAGAATTGGTATTACATAATTCGTTGAATGGCCTGTAGTTGAGAGTACCCCTTTACGTTCAGATGTTTTATATAAGGGACATTTGTATCGTGTTCCTTCGATCAGGCTTAATATCACCATGGGCTAAAAAATTAAAAAAAAATTCAAATAAAGCAATTTTGAAATTAGTTAGTACTAGTAAAATAGTAATGGTTAATATAATGGATTAACAACGCAGTTTGGTCAGGACTCAAATCCATGAATCTCCGCAGAGTAGCGCGTACCGCTACCAACTCGTCTAAAGCGGTCGAAACCCACCCTGCATTGGGTTTTGACTTATGTAGATATTTTTCCTATAAAGCTCAGTTTATTTTAATAGTAAGGAAGATTCCTAGATATTAAAGACCAGATACAAAAGAGTCAAGGGAGCATCGGAGCAACACCCTGCACCAGGGTCGCTCCAAACTTCTTTTGTCAGCGGTGACGCCGAATCCAAGGCTGGTCCGACGGAATATTTCTCTTGCGAGTACAATTCTTGTGTCTAGGCACAACACGGTAAAGTATCATTCGCATAGCTATCCGTTCAAGCCATGGCGAGTTCGAAATATTTAATATATATATTGATTCCTCCCTCTTTTGTTATCCATTAGTTTACACTTCTTACATAGGTGTGCTTATCAGAGGCCAAACCGATTAATTTTGGGCGACTACCGCGCACTGCAGAGAATCACAGCTGATAAATAAATTCATGTGATGATGATATACCACTGGAGCACCTATGGCCACTGGCCTCTTATCATATCGTTTGCCCCTAATTGTCTTGAATGACAGGCCTGTAATTCATCTGATTGAAGCGGAACCTCCAGCTAGGCACATCAGAAAGGGATTACTAGAAAAGAAGGACCCCATACAGCAACATGTACAACAACCGCTGGAAAGGACGACGTACAGATGCGAACCGCTACAACAACAACAACAACACGACGTACAGACAAGCATTGAACGCCATGCACCAGGAGTCAGTCAACACCTTCACAGTCATCCTTACCATGAACGACGTACTGTAAGCAAACGCACCACACCACAGTCACAGCGATCCTCTTCACTAGCTAGATGAAGGAGTAACGACTCGGCCTGAATGGCACAATCGATGACGTCAAAATTCCGACTGTTAACAACTTAGAGCTCGACATATAGTACCTCCTCACATCCCTTGAGAAAAGTGCTGAGCCGTAGCAATAATCTCAAGTGACTTACGATTAGCACCTCGGGATAACAAAAATAATTATTGCTCACAATCTAAAAGACAATCAGCCGGTCATAAAGTTCGCCACACCGATTTAGACACCCGTGGCTAGCGACACACAATTGGAAAGCTAGAAACCTTTCAGAACACCGTATTAAGGACCATAACAGGAAACTTTATGAGCTCGAAAGTGACCGATTTCTTACTTTAAAATAAATGGCTGGCATTGTATAAATGAGCACTTTTGGTAGTTGTTCGTCAATAATGTTGTTTTTCAAATTCCAACGAGCGCCTTCAAGAAAGAGTCCGTTTACATAAACACCATCCGCAGGGGGAGATTCCATGCTGAAAATGAAAAATAGTCTGTTAGCTGGTATTGAACAATTGCATGAAATACATGTATACCTTTCTTCATATAACACCTCGAAGTCGAACGTTAAAGTGTCTATTGGAATTTTATACTTCCGTGCAAAGTTCTGCATGGCGCCAGTCAGAAAAGCTTGGGTGAAGAAAAACCCCGATAACCAAAACGTTGGCGGCTTACCGTGCGCATACCTGAGCAAATAAATATTATTTACATAAATGTATATATAAGTTGTAATATATGCAATTTTTATGTCTAACCAATGCTGCAGCCAATCCAGACGCTTGTATAAATCATTGATGTAGGAGCCCAAAGTCTTCAAACTCGGATATGATTTGGATAGCCATTTGACTGGTATACGATTTAATTTAATTGCATTCAGCACATTCTCCAATTCGGGTGTCATTACAACAATTCCTTTTATAGCCATATCGAGATCACGGCACGAGGCGCGTATCTCCTTTTGTAATTTCAAAAAACGTTCCATCTCCTGCACCAATACCGTGTTCATGGATTCATTATAATTAACCGGATACTTAGCTTTGGCATGATCAATATCCATATCAGAGGGCATAGTTTTTGCTATATGATTTATGGTCTGCAACAATGTTTCGTCCTGACTCTGCGTGCCGGCACCGGTGGTGGCCATTTCGCTGCCAATAATTGCAACCATGGAATCTAGTAGTGTTCTAGTAGTTTGTAGATCCCGAGTTATGCCTGAATTGCCATGCAGCCCATAGACTTCCGGTGCAGCTAATGAAGGATAATTTTCATCAACATAACGTAATATCTCACGGTGTTCCGTCTTGCGTGGCAATATGAAGCGATCGTCTGTTGCGAATCGGTATCGATTATCATTGACTACGTCAGCATTTAAGTAATCGGCTAGTATAGTAATAATGGCGCGGCGATCCCAATAATCTGTGACGCGACCGCCGTAATTACATTCGGCAGTCAAATATGACAAAGCATCGTAAGGCACGTGATCATACTGATTGAGCAACATCTGAAATGAACAATGTTCATTGGAGAAATCCGTATACATCTCTTTATTTACTTACATTGAGTTGCAAAACGGATATCTGAAGATCGGATTCATTAAATCCATATGAGATATTCCATCCCAAAGGTCCGTACTTTCGACGCTCCTGGACTACTGCGTGGAAGAAACAAATACCGAAGAGTAGGCGAGTGAATGCTCGATCCTGTTTGGCACAACCTGTGAATGAATATTTTTGAAAGTTACAAATCACAATGTAATTTCAACAAACTGAATGCTTAACGGCTGTAATAACATAAAGTATTGGCTTTAAAACTAGCGCAAGGCGTAGTACTTAAATTGTGGCTAGAACAATGATCATAAAATATGCCTGCCCATGCAATGATGGCAGAAAGGACCGATATTTTCTTGTGGGTAAGGCCACATGGGTTGTTGGAGAAGCTCAGGCGTATTAGAGACTCCCCTTTTGAAGACGACCACCGCAAATATTTTAAGGTAATCGATACACATCGCCTTTTCTTTAATTTAAAAGCTGCCTTCGATAGCACAGTAAGGAACTCCCACAGCTCCAGCTGCTATGTCACAGCAAAACTTATACTGCACAGCCGTCCGTGTTGGGAGGGACTTCTTCGAGCCGTTCGGTACCAAACGAGTTTTCAGATAGGCTGACTCTTTGATAAGGAAGCGAAGCGAATGGGTCTGGCTGCGAATGAGGAAGCTCCCACATCGCCGTTGGCAGTCATAACTTCGAGGTTGTAAAAAAATTTCATCTATCTAGGGACCAGCGAATAATGATGTCAGCCTTTAAATTCAACACAAATTCACTCTTGCGAACAATTGCAACCTTGGTCTGTGTAAGTAATTGAAAAGTACTAAAACTAAACTCTACATTCACGGCTACGCTGACCCGGCCATGTTGCCCGAATGAATGAAAGCGCTCCTGCTTATTAAAGCATTCGATGCATTATTACCCGTCCGTGAAAGCAGTAGAAAAGGAGGTCCTCCTCCGCTGTAAGTGTCAGGTGAGGACTGGACTGATTTGGTATTGGTTTTGGCATTTCCAACTGACGCGAACAGCGAAGAGAAGAACCGAATGACACGCTATTGTTGATTTGGCTATAATCGCATAAGCGTTGAGCGTGCCAATGAAGAAAAGGGGAAGAAGACATAGTTGACATAAGGCCCAGAAAAATATATATTGCAAGTTCCGCCCTCAGAGTATTGAAAAAAGTTGCTTTCGCCTCAGAACAGAAAAGTAAATCAAGCAAAACACCATTTATTGGAAAGCACACAGTAACGGAAAACTGACTCGACATCTGCTTGGAGAGTTTATCTTAGATGTGAACACCCCAATGTGTGATTCTATAATAGCTAGCTTGGAAATCTATTCTGTTTTAACTTAAAAAGGAAAGGAAAGTCCCAGGGTCTTTCCCTTGCACTGAAATCTTACGCTTGTGGCTTGAACAGGAACTACTGGGCTGCTATTATTGATTTGTAGAAAGGAGCACTTCGAAGTGATCTCTGCGGAAACTAAAATAAAGTGGAGCGTGTTCTCTTACCCAAGAGATGCAAACACACAATTTTCTGGACGTAGTATGGGCAACGGCCTAAAAATGCTTCCATCGCCATACATTCCATACATGTCTGGATTTTTATAATATTGCTGAGACAAATACTTCTATATGGTGTGGCTGAGCGGTGGCCGGTAATAAACAAGGCGACAAACGGTGTCCTCATAAACGTAATACATGGAGCGACGATGATTTTTATAAATGGTGCACTTAAAACCACGTTCAACATACGTATTTAGTAGGTTATAAGACAGCGACTTCAGCTGATCATTGCCGAAGGGACTTAATTCCATGGATGCTCAAAACTTTATAGCACATAGCGAAACAAATTCAAAGGAATAATCCGAGTAAAACGGTAACTAAAACACCTCATATGACCACGCTTGGTTCGCCTACCAAAAATTGTGCTGGACTGTCATCGATCCTTGCGGTGGATGGCCAAACAGAACGGAATAGCTCTCCCTAGGGTTCCGGACTACAGAAACAGCGAGATAAGCTTGACTTGTCAGACAAATCACCGGTACTCACCTTGAAACTTGAAGTAAAGGTCAATAAAACAGTAGAGGTATTAACACTCTATGTCGAAAGCTTGTACGTTTCTTTTGGAAGATGCTACAGGAGCTGAAAGAACGATACGGAGGAAGTAGCCACTTTGAGCTCTCGGCTGGGTGATAATTTTCTAGAGAATTCGCCTACATATGCATGTATCCGGTCGCACTTACCTAAGTAAAAAGTAGGATCGTTTATTGGTTCTGAGTTGTACGAACGCATGATATTCTCCTTGAGACCAGTAGGCGGTTCATTAGTCATTTTCACTCCATTTTGTAATAAAGCAACAGGAAATTTCGGTGTCGGATAGCTTGTTAACCACAAACGAAAACTGGCTGTAGAGGAAGAAATTAAATACAAACCAATCAAAATAAACTCCAAATTACGTGAGGTGTTGAATGTGTCCATATTTTCCCAGGCATATTCCAGTGTCGGCATCCAAGAAGCAGCCAAGTGACAGTTTTGTAAACAAACCCAATAACCCAAATCCTGTGCGTCTTTAATAAGACCCAAGGCGATGGGACCCTGTCCTTGACCCAGTGATATGCTTTGAAAAGTTTCCATGAAGCCAGCCTTCTCTGCATACGCTAACAGCGAACCGAGGGGATCTGCACCTGGCGATAATATGAAAATTAACGGTGTCAGCGCGTTGGACTCCTTATAGGACATGCCAATATCGAACTCGGGCGGCGTTACGAATTGTGTACCCATTTCCGCAGCGATAAAGTTACGAATGGCTATAAACACTTTATCCGGACGTAATGCTTTCAAAACAAGTATCTTTTCGAAACGTGTTAACTTCTCATTCCAGGGTGAGGGTATAACCTGGTTTTCGGGCTCAACATGATCATAGATACGCTTCCAGTCATTAAGCCCCTTAGCAAAGCTGGCTGCAAAGCCCCGCAGTTCAGGTAGTTCTTCCAAACGCACAACGTTCATCCATAAAATATCCGTAATCCAAGATTGATCGGGATTAGTTGAGATTCTGTCCGATTCTTTAGCATCCGTAAGTAAATGTGATAGTTGCACCATCCTTAGTTGACCTGTGCCTAATAGAATTCGACAGGTGAGTATGAAGGAAAACAATAGCTTATCCTTCTCAAATATCGAACGGCAAACATTATTGTACAAATTTCTTGTCACACCATCCACTAGGAACTTTATGCGACGCGGCAGATCCTTAGACTTATTTGCACTCTCAATGGAATACTCGTAGAGATTAATGTACCAATTAAGCGAAAATTGATACATTGGATCTATGTTGGGCAGGTCGGTGATTGAATAATAAAGCACCGAAGAATGAACTGCCACAGGTTTGTAATTCAATCTGAACGCTTCAATTTTCATTTCAGTTTCACGCGACGCAGCCTGTTTTGCAACTATATCCAATGACAGTTCCTTAGATTCGTTCAGAATTTGTATAGCGCTCTCATTTTCCAAAATGTCACCCTCTGCAGAGGATAAGGTTTTCAGTATCATATTTTCAGCATCCCTGAGAGCAGCCTTATTTTTTGCCGCCTCATTTATCAACATCATACGCAACTCCTGCAAATCGGGACGTTCCTTCGCGACCACAATGCTTAAAAGCTGATCTTCCAGTGCGTTCTGTGTCAAAGCAAAATTAATTATAGTCACTTTATTAAAGGTCTCGGGCAGGAAGTGTGGATTCCTCAAGTTACAAGTCATGTAAAGACGAAAATTATCACTCAACGGTACAATATTATCTCCCAAACTTATAAAATTCTGGCCGCCCTGTTTAAAGGTTTTGCGCATCAATATCGGATCGAGTGGAACCTCCAATTCCTCCAGTACATTTTCAATAATCACGGGTGAGCCATATTCCATGCACTCAGCAATGACCTTCATATAGTTAGCTTGATTGAACTTCACACTACTTAGGCGATTTTTTCTTTCCATATTTTTAATCCAACTATTAGCTTGCCCTTGTGGATCTATAAATAAACTATAACGACTTGAACTATCGGCTATGATGGCATTCTCTGTGGAGAAAACATCTTTTGGCAATCCATTAATGTTCCAATTCTGTATAGTGATCTCTAAACCCAGTGTTGTAGTTATATTATATTCCTTAGAAGTTGGTATACCAGCCTGGGTACAACGTTTGAACCAATCCGTTGTACACTTGGTTCTATAGTATAGATTTACAGCAGAGAGATATGCAATAATACCACACGAGAGTAGTATATCTCCGGGTAAGTTATCGTAAATTCCCTGTAAATTTTCTGCTGCTTGAGTCCAGCGCGCCTTTTCACCTCCTAAACCGTCAATAAGTGCTGTTGCACGCTCCAACTTGCTTTGACAGAAGTCCGCCTCGTCCTGTGTGCGCTTCATTTCGGCATTAGCATTGTCCAGCTCCTCATTGAGTTTAGCGACCTTCGCTTCAAGCGCCGCGGCAAGTTCGCGCTTTTCGTTTAAAAATTTCATTGTGTCCGAGTATTCCTTTTCGGCCGCGGCTAACTTCGCCTTTTTGGGCGCTACCACCTTTGCGACATTATCATACAAATCCATCGCTATGATCCACTTGCATAGACCTTCGGCCGCACTAGATGCTTTAGCAACTATTTTCGGCTGAAAGTCTTTATTCGGTATGAACTCTTTACGTATACGCGCCATAATCTCGGGCTTAATATTATCCTTGTCAAAGTCCTTCAGTTGTTGTAGGAAGTTCATTTCACCCAATATGCGTTTGCTTGGACCCCAGTAGTCGTTTACCATTTTACCCGTACTGGGGTCGGGTATTCGCTCAGGCGGCACTCCTTTAATAACACAAACCGCAGCCATGACAAGTTTTATTACGGGTGGTGGGTTTTTCATAGATTTGACCAAAGTAATATCGGCCGGCTTCAGAGTATTTAGCGCCTGTATTGCCTCTTCAAGCACCGGTATAGCCTGCGCCAAATCTTTTTCACACTCATCCTTGAGTCCCTGTGCTGCTTCAGCCTGTACAGCAGCTACCGCCTCGTCCTTTTTAACTTGTTCCGCTGCGACGCTAGCAGCTATTGTTTCCTTATTGATTTCAATCAACATTTGTCTTGACTTCTCAGCAAGCGCCACCAGCTGAGGCTGCAGTGCATTCAATTCTTTCTGCATGAGCGCAATAGCTGCCGCCGCATTTGCTAGAGTATCCAAGCCGCCGATATAACGCATTTTGGCCTCCATGATTTCCTTTTGTTTACGGCCAATCAAATTTTGAAAAGACTTGATTAGCTCTAGAAACGAAGCGTTGGTCTGATATATGTGACGACCTGTAAGCTCACAGAATTCCCTGCAAACTTTCGCTGCGCTTATATGGAAATACTGACATATTTGCACAATAGAATCTTTGATGTCTGTCGAGGGTACATTGACTCCTTCTAGAGATATTTTAGCAATCATTGTTAGGGCTTCCTCAGGCCAACTCTGATACCAGTCAATGGTGCAACAGCTTACCAATGAGGGATATAACCGTACACGCGTACGCAGCGCATCGCCGATTGGCGACAGACAGAGCACAATGTGCAATTTCTGTTTGCAGCGATTAACGAAAAATGAGAAAACCTGCAGTGGCGATATGTCTATATTGCGGTTACCGCCTTGCGCTGCTAAACGCACTAATTCCAATATTTCTTGCTTCTCATCAATGGCGTAAACGTTGGGCACTTCGCCCTGATTCAGCAGGCAGTCGATGTCCTGTAGGAACAGCTCCATTTTTATCTGATTCTCAGTCATTAGAAATACGGTGTGTTTATTTAGGCCACCAGATTCCTTCATAATATTTTTTATGTCATCATGCCAATCATTTGGACCATAATTCTTTGTGATCTCGGGCTGAAAGAATGACGTCTGCACCATGTTGGAAGCCAACTTGGTAAGCGATTGTCTGCCTGAGCCGCCCATGCCGATTAGCAGAGCACTGGCACCATTAATGGCAATAATACGACAGATGCGATTTAGATGCTCCAGAGCAAATGTAAATAAGGTGATGTCCATTTTCGAACGACGCGTAGAATTGTAATCCTCTAAGCTGGTGGCAGCATATTTAAAGAATACCTCCATTGAAGGCAGCTCCTCATAACGTCGTTCATCAGGTAAATTATCCTCATCCATAAATGCACCGAAAAATATACGATGTGCACCCTCTATGGTGAAGGTCATTTCTCCACCCACGTTGGTGCAGTAATTTTCAAAGACCGTTTCCAATTTCTCTTTAAAATTATTCTTGATACAATCATTGAACTTCTGAAACATCCATTCACGATCGGCATCGTCGACAAGACGATCATAAAAGACACGCATAGCCTCATGATACCACAAGCGCGGAAACATTTTCTTATCACTAACCGATTCCTTTTTGAAAAGCGCACAAGCGCTCACAACGCGTGCAATATCCCGCAGATTGAATATATAATGGGACTTAGCCGGCGTGGCTCTCAATTCGGCCTGTACACTTTTATAAATCTGTTGGGTGGCGTTGACGATTTGATTTGTGGAGGCAAACACATCATTACCATGGCCAGAACGTTTGAATCCATTCATTAACACATTCACAAATATACGATTCATGGTATCATCGCCAAATGTATTGATAGAGAAGACATTGAAATGATTCAGGAAACGAGCATATACATCCTGTCGACTACCGCCAGGCAAGCCACAAGCCGTCAGGACCAATAGATCGTTTATGAAAATTTTCGAAGTATCCTTCAGATCGTACACGTGACCATAGTCAAAGTATTGACGCAACAACTCCAAAGGAGGCTGCGCTCCATATATCTCTTTCACTGGCATATTCATATCGTCAACGAAGAGCACAGTTTTCATTCCTTTCGGAGGGCCGTAAATGCCGCGCTTCCACTTCACAAGCTTAAATGGAAAATGTTTAAGGTAATTAAAAAATTAACGCGACAAATGGAGCTGAAAATTCAAATGGGTCCTAGGGATAATAGAAGCCCTCTTCCTCCTTTCGATAATCACATCTACGTGTGGAGTTAGCAAAACAAATTATCTTTGTACCCGCTATTTCGCTCAAGACTCTAAAGTACTAGAGTGCTAGCGACTTCAACCTACTCCTCCAAAGTGTGGAACATTCCCAAAGGAAGTGCCTTAAGCTTTGATATTATTCCTCCTTCCCACAACTGCCTCCTCTCTGCTTGTCTACCCTATAAAACATGCAATGTGAAGATCAATCATGGTAAATGTTTACTTTTTTTTAGCGAGATAAGCTCGAATGTCCTTCAAATCTCCTCACAAAAAACCCATCAGCCGTTCGGAGGCGGCTTAGTATAAACTGTAGGTCCCTCCATTTGTTGGAAAAAACATCAAGACGTAAAACCACATATAGGAGGAGGAGCTTGGCCGAAACGCGCTTAAGCGGTTACAAAGCGCAGTGGAGATTGGCATACCCTGAATCTTCCACAATGGTGGAAGTGGAACAGAAGTGTTTTTCTCAGCAAGCTCCCCCGCCATCCTGCCACCTGTTATGTTACTGTGACCTGGTATCCAGAATCAGAGAGAAATGCTTAGCCATCAAGTTCAATAATTTGCGCCACTTCTCTATTGTTAAGAGCGGTGGTGGGCAGTGCACCTTCCGTAAGCCATGCTATTGTGCTGCTAGGCTTAGATGGCTCGTGAAGAACGGGACACATCGGCATTAATTGTCTGCGATGCTGGTGAAAGAAAAGATATCAGCGAAAGACTCTTTTCTATTTTCGCAAGTTTCCCCGGCTTAAGCACAGGTACCACTTATCGGATATTATAAGAATGGTCAAAGACAAGTTAAAGAGCCTTGTGGAGATAGTTGGCTCTCGGGACCGATAGATTTGGAAGCTTTCGCCTTACCCATATTGCTTGAGAAGTCAAGCGTCACGCTGGTGTTTGCCAGTATGTAGACGGCGGGACAATTGTCGCTTCTTTTTGTCGACCGAAGTGTGCAGTTTGAAAAACCAGTTAAACTAGTTTACGCATCTCGTCGGTTTTAACAATGATTTGACAGTGGCCAAAAACTTGTTTTCCTCAAAAAAAAAAGACTTTAACTGCTTCTCACTTGTTCCGGTTATGCTGGTAGTTACGTCGTTCATGGTGTAGAATCGTCTTTCGATCGAATCGCTTATCTGTTTTACCAACTCTTCGTCAAAAATAATAAGGGGTTTCGCTTCTGAGTAGGGCACCAATATCATGATGGTATTTAACTGGACTTTAACAGGAGGAATGTATATATTAAATACTTTAACCTCGACATCACCTGATTGGATAGTTATGCCCTGGCATTCTAGGGTAGTATATCTGCGGCCAATCTCACTATCGATGAGACGGTGTTGCTCAGGATGAGAGCCATAGCACCGACATGATCTCTCTTACAATGACATAGTATACGACTCGGCCTTTCAGTTTTATTCTTGGGTCGCAGCTATTTACATGTGGTCGATTTATTAAACGATCTTGCCCTGGGATCTATTACAGTAAAATTGTAAAAGACTGGTCTATCTCGGAGTAACACAAGTAATACGTGCTGGAAGGGAGTAAAGATTGTGACTTGGATTTTGCTGCTTTAAAGCCGGTATGATATTTATAGGCGATGGCAGACCTTACAGCATCGGACAACGTACGCATCACTCCACTCACGTGTGGTGCGTAGGCTACAGCATGTCTGAAAATCACACCAGCCAGAGCAAGAAATGCATTTAACGGATATTGCGCTCTTAAGCAATACTTTGAAGGATTTGAAGCAACCTTATTATACGGTTTAGGGTGAGATTCTTAGTAAGGGATGTTAGGTTTTTAGTTAGAACAGTTCATTTTTATATTTATGTACATCTGTGTTAATTAAATTATATACATACCTTAGAGATAAGCAGCTCTTGTGTTTGATTTGCTGTAATCATAACCGTAAAAGTCATAAACGCTGATTCGATGGCATCCCGATCAATTTTATTCATCAAGTAGTTTTGAATATAGGCACTTTTTCCTGTACCAGTTGGTCCTACGAGTAACATCTTTTTATTGTTCTGAAATAAAATAAATGTATAAATAAGTAATTAAACTATATTTTAGTTACGAAAACCTAACCTTTATATGCATTTCCAGTATATGGATGTATCTAGCCGTATCTATTGTTGGCACTTGAACTCCCATTGAGTTTTCTTCGACATCCATACGTTTAGCCAATTCTGTCCAAGATTTCCACGCGCCACGTTGCTTGAATACATATACATAATCAACGAGTAGTCCTTCCACAGGCACAGATATTTCTAATTTCCCAATTTTCTCAGGTATATCTTCACTCAGCCACAACTGTATTGTGAGAAAGAGAAAAAAGAAGAAATGATATTCGTCATGGAATTCGGTTTTATTGAAAATTATATGATTATAGTTGTATATGAGAGATCGTATTTATGTTCGCACATAATAGGGCTGTAGGGGGTAATTGGGCTCATTAGGATCGCCACGTGTTCAGCGACTCATAGTTGGTATAAATAATGATAATAAAGTAGTCTGCCTGCTGAATCGCAACAAAATTGAACTGTTTCTGAAGCGGATTGTGACTGGCGATGAAAAATGGGTCACTTACGACAACATCGAGCGCAAACGGTCGTTGTTAAGGCCCGGGGAAGCGGCCGAGACGGTGGCCAAGACCGGATTGACGGGCAGGTAGGTTTCGCTGTATGTTTGGTGGAGTTGGCAAGGAATCATCTACTACGTGGTGCTTCGCTATAGCCAAAAGCTCAATTCGGCACTCTAATGCCAACAAATGGGCCGCTTGAAGGCAGCACTCATCCAGAAGATGGAATTGTGTTCCATCAGGACAACGCGCCAAAAACTCCAGGAGCTCGGATGGGAGGTCCGAATGCACCCACCTTATAGTTCGGACTTGGCACCAAGTGATTACCATCTTTTCCTGTCCATGGCGTACGCGCTTGATGGTGAGAAGTTGGCATCAAGATAGGCCTGTGAAAATTGGTTCTTCGAGTTTTTTGCCAATAGGGACGCGGCCTTCTACGAGGAGGGTATAATGAAGTTGGCAACAAGTTTACGAACAAAACGGCGCATATTTGATTTAAATTTTGAAGACATATTCTTGTAAATGCATTTTTTTAAGCCTCTAAAGCAGAGTACTGCCTTGAACGATCATCTTGGCATGATTAAGGTCGGCACACATCGTGCGAATGAACTCGCGTTGCGTTGACTGCCGTGCATAAGGCTTCGATATTTTGAATCATACACCCTACAGCCCAAAAAAATGTTTTTTTTTATTATTTAAAAATGTTAACACCAGCGTTGCCATATCGAATTTTGCTTTATGACCGATTTTTCTTAGTACTTACGGATTTTATAAATGCATCAAACTTTTCCCTAGATCCAGTATCCAGAACACCAGCTAAACCCCAAACAAACGAATAAAGTATACTGGCTTGTACGTAGATGGGCATATGGCGTTGATATTCATCTGGGTTCTCGACAACGGCATTATCTAGCAACATCTCGATTATATCAAATGTTGTAGTTAAACAGTTGAACTCTCCTGGTTTTATGTGTTCCTTGCAGTTTCTGCGTATGAAGGCTTGACACTTAACACAATTGTCGAGGAGAACATACAAATTAACACAAATGAGTGAAGGTGAAGCAACAATAAAATAAATAAGTTTACCGGTTCAAGGAGCCATTTTAGAAACTCCATTATATATTCCTGTGTCTCTTCATCTGCCCAAATGGGATTGCATTTTCTTAGCCAGCAATTTGCAAAAGAACGCCAACCCAAAGAGGCAGTTTCCATATATATCATGCCACAACGGGAGACTGTGGCCGGTGAGGCTTGCGCCAAATCCATTACCTCAAATATCATAGACATCTCATTGCTCATTGTTATAACTTCGCCGGAGTTGAGACACAACTTTTTATTATCATCCAAGACAGTGTTCATATTTTCAATCCAAACTGCATCGACTGGTCCATCAAAGATTACCTAAAAAGTTTAACACACATCAACATGATCGAAACGAATAAATATAGCGTATAGTTCGATGCAATACCCATTTCCTGTCTGGTGTGGGCGTCATCGCAAATTCACGAAATATTTTTGCTATAATACCATCATTCCATTCATACGAGACGGGATCAAAAGAGCCGTACAGTTGATTCATAGTTATTGATTTCGGATTCATTATACCCATTTGTACGTGTTGGAAGTATTGACTCTTACTGGGCGCCTTAATTTTAAGCGCCGAAAGTACGTGGGCTAACACTTGTAGCGTTTTACTCTTACCTGCCAGCGGTTCGCCCACCATCATAAATCCATGTCGCACAATAATCATTTCATACGTTTGAATAACCTTGGTGAGGAAACTTTCGGTCGGCTCCAATATCATTTCACCACAAATTCTCACGAACTCTGTCTCAATCAAACTATAATCGGTTTCGGGCAATACAACACCAGGGAATATGTCCGAAATGATACCCTCGAAGAGTGGTATGTCGAAGGACATAAATTTCGGTAAATTAACATCGAGCAGTGAACGCAATAGCAGTATATCCTCCATTTCATTGGGGAATTTCTTCTTAAGATTACCGCATGCGGAGAGCACAGTCTTGACGGCGCGCATGCCATAATCGTAGTGATTTTGCATCGACAATTGTTCCGAGCACAAGCGATATGTAGTGACGATCTTAACAGATAACTTTCTTGCATCCACAAAACCGTAGGAATATAATGAGATTTCACCTATCATGGCGTAGTCCGGCACCATCATTGCCACGGAACGGAAAAGTACTTTCAGATTGTCGGGCAACTCAGAGCGACCAGCGTAGCCTGGATTCATGGTAATGCAAACATAACATGCCGGATTCAATGTCAACTCTGTGCCTTCGAAATTAAATTTCACCGCCTTAGCACGCACTGCTTGTATGATAAGTAAAATTTGTTGCGCCACCACCGAAAGCACTTCCAACTCTATGCGATTGAATTCGTCAAAACATGCCCAAGCGCCACACGACGCTAGACCTTTGAAAAATTTGCCCATTGCTTTATAATCCAAGCCATCAGAGCAATTGAATACTTTGCACTGTACGGCGAGCGCTTTGGCCAAATCCTTTGTGGTCTCTGTTTTACCTGTGCCAGCCGGTCCTTCGGGCGCGCCATTCAAATGTAGTTGATACGCACCAACCAACGTGCGGTAGCATCGATCAGTTAATGGTGTGATAACCAAGCGATCGGAATTTCCTAAATACTCATTAGCATATGGGACGGTAGCATTTATAATGCGTACCAGACTGTCCCCATTCTCCCAGTAATAACGTAATTGTGCCATCCATTGAAAGTCGAACTCACTGCTTATCTTCATGCGGATCAGATCTTCGACGACATCCTTCGCATGTACATCAATTACAATGAGTGATTTAATGGTAATCCGATTTAGGTTATTTATATGTGTTGAGCGTATTAATGCGACAATGTCGTTCAAGTCCCTATTAAGACTGCCAAAGAAGTCATTCATAGCGATTTGATTCAGTGCAGAGCGTCGCAAATTCATATGTACCATGGATGCCCAATAGACTTGGGAAACGCATAACACAATCATCTGCGGCCAATGCAAGACCCATTCGAAACGTTGCACCTTGGGATAATGTCCATAGGAGAGCTCCATTTCATTGCGTACGGCTTTCAACATTTCCGCTTCTACTCCAATCAACCATTTTTCCACGCTACCACCAGCAGCTGCGGTCGATACTTGATCAACAAATAGCACCTTCTCTTGATCACTACTTATCATAGCGAGAACATTTTTTTCCGCATCGAACTCTAGAAGATTAATGCCTTCGAAACACTTACTCAAATGCGGTTGTACGCGTAGTGGATCTTTTGTTTCGGAGAGTATTTCGAGCATTTCGTCGTTCGATAAGAAGAAGAAACGTGGAAAGAACAATCTTTTCTTCTCCAAGTAATTACTAACACCGGTTGTGATATCATCGAGTAGTTCATTTGCTTTTATCAGCGATTCGAGGAGGCCAGCTTGTGGCGCCGTTTCCATGACTAAAGGTTGACGCAGCACCATTGCCATATTGCGCGTAAATGTCTGCTCAACAATTTGGAAAAGACGACCTTCTTCTGGCATTTGTGCCACAATATCTTTGGAGGAGAATATCGGCAGCAAGTATAAGAAATTCGACTGAACCTTACCCCACTGGTCGAGAGTAGCATTTACGCGCATTATCTTATCGTACCACGCCAAAACCTCGTCTTCGCATGGCTTCATAAAAGCAGAACCACGCATGGTAAGTGTCTTTAAAATATGATCATCCAACAGCGCTTGTATATCATCTAAATTAGAGAGTATCATAACACCGGTGTCTTTATATGGACCAGTCGGGAATAAACGTGAATCCCATTCTCTTATCATGGCATGTAAATTATTCTGGAGTTGCAATTCCTTGTTTGCGCCCACACTGATAATTTCGAATTGATCTAACTTTGTGTCTAGATTCATATCGATGATTTTTTTCAATGTAGTACCGGCATCGGGAGTTATATCAAACCCAGCAATCTCGGACATCTCCTTCCAATGCCGTTTACGTAAGGCCGGATTGCACATAATGTTGACTATGAACACGCCAGTGGTGAAGTCTTTTATGGTTTTAATCATTTTTGTACAAAGTCGAATTGGTACGGGATGTTTATCTGGATCTGGATCCTCGGTTTGACCCTGAGAAAAAGAATAATTTTAATTTACATTAAGTTAGAGATTCGATAAGTGATTCGACTTCTAGATCCACAAAGTTAAGACAATTTTTATCTGTGTAACCACCAGTACTGTTGTTCAGGGTCTTGTAAAGTAACGAAAGGATGAGAAGGAAATTAACTTTGAAGTGACTTTGCCTATTTCAAATTTTCGAAATGAAGCGTGGCAGGACCCTTTTTCTTAAAAAGATCATATATATCACATCATATCACATTTTCAATAATCTCCTGGCCAATTTTAATGGGGCATAGCACCAAGCAATTGTTGTGACCAAACTTAATGTAACGGTAAGTAACTCTCATTATAAAAGACAAATGGATGTCGTTCCGCTAATTTTTTAGAGCAAATATACGATTTCTTTCAAAGCTGGAGTGCTTTTATTCATTCCGATCACATGACACTGTCTCATCATTCGCTGAACTATCCATATATAGACGTAATGGGGTGTACTTATGACTGGAAATGCGCTGACTGTTTGCTTGATGACAGGAGATATTTCGTGTTGCCCTCATTCTCTACCAGACCTCCATTTGCTTCGCATCCTTGTCAAGCTTGGATAAAGCAGAACTAACGGCGCGGTTGTACACTTCTGTAAACGAATGTGCCTTGTCTATGGAGCGTTGCAGCTCTTATTATTTTCTCTAGCATCAAATAAAAGAAATCGCACAACAAAGAGTCGCCCTGACTAAAACTGCGTTTGGTATTGAACGGCCAGGGAAGGTCCTTTCTAATTTTGACTGCACTTCTGGTGCTTCCTAGTGCCAGTTTACACAGCTACTTCACCTCGACTTAAATTAAACAACATCTTGCACTACAAAGAGCAAACAGTTCGATGTAAAGCGTAACAGTCAGTACCAGCTTGCGTAACCTATATCTCACAAGCCATTTTACGGTTTTCTTAAGTTGCCATCAAATCGAATTGCTTCTCTGGTCGCTTCGGCTCATTTAGTACCATCAATGTTCAGTATCACCAGTCAGAAACTAAGCTTTATTTGCAAAAAAAAAATGCTTTAGTTGAAAACTAAGATGAATTTGAGCAATCTGAAACTCAAAATTCAAGAAAAAAGTGTTTTGTAACACCAGCCAACCTCTTTAATAGCGCATCAAAATTAGTAGAGCTCAATTGCCTGTGCACTATTAGTTGTTTCCCGTCCTCGAAAGCTTTTTAATGGTAAAATTTTACGACTCCGATTTGGCTGCTAAAAAGAGTCGGACCAGTTTTTCGTCTCTAAATCCCAAGATTTTTTCTTACGTAGAACTTTTTAATTTAACGAAAAATATCAAACGATTACTTACTCGAAACATGCAAATTGGAGTTTCAATTTGATCTTGTCTAATTTTTACACGATAATATTTTTGATTCTTTTGAAACTCCTTTAAAAAGTTTTCAGTTGTTTCTTCCACAAATTTTGGCTCCAGATATTCAAACGGTCCATACATCCAGACATTCAAATAACGCATCCATTCAATACAAGATCTTCAAAGAAGAATTATAAAGATTTTTCAATTTAATTGTAGATATATCAAGTCAAAATGAGAAGTTATTTCTCGTCTAGCTGAAAAAGAAGAATTAAAAATTTAAAAATATATATCAGGAAATTTATTGAACTCCCATCTGCTTCTTGCGTAGAAAACTACACAAATCCAATGTATTATTTTAAAATTTCCAGAAAACGGATAAATATTTTTTTTGTCAGGGGACCCTCCCCTGATATTGGGCAAAAATCAGGCAAAGTTGGTATTTTCTATTTTTTTTTTTTGTGGAAAGAATGAAAAGGCGTACGAACTTCCGGTTTTGACTACTAAATTTCATTATAATTTGAAATTTTTAGACGGCAAAAAATAGTCGAAATTCAAAATGACGGCTATAAAATGTCGCTTTCCGTCGGCCTCTGCGCGAAAAACATGGCCCAACAACTTCAGGCCTCTTGTAGTAGACTGAAATCAAAAATCTTTGTCATTACTTGTAGGTCATGTAATTTTCTACGTCCTGAACCTCAATTGAAACAATTTTAACGATAAATTTATTGCATAATGCTCATTGCAATTATAAAGTAAAATGTTTTGCTCTAGATAACAGAAATCGGACGCATAGATCGAGCTCGGGACTTGAAGTTGGATCGGGAAACAGGGTTTCGAGAAAAATGCGTTCAAAGTTTTTTGAAAGCTTGCAGCGGGCGTGAGACAGGGGTGTTCGAGAAGCTGCTATTTGAAAAACATGTATGGTTTTTTAAAATCCTTTTAAACACATTCTCTACAAATATGTGGCTTTAACTTTGTGCGTAAAAATTCGGAGGGTCCCCTTCAGTCTTCTTTACTTTAATTTTTTTATAGTCTTTTAAAGCTATTATTGAACAAGATTTTCATCACCTTGACTGATAAGGCCCATTTCCACCAGGATGGCTAAGTCAATAAGCCAAACTGTCGCTTATGAGGCTCGGGAGCCCAAGGTTTAAATTTGGAAAGAATTTCCATCCTCAAGGTGTAACTTTTTGGTACCGTTTATGGTACGGTGAATGGATTGCGCTATCGAGAGATGATCAATGATTTTTTTCTGGCCGAAATTAAATGGTATTGATTTGGACAACGTTTACTTTCAACAAGACAGCGCTAAGTGCCAAGAAAGTAACGAAGCCACCGATCTTTAAAAGGAAAAGTTTCTTTGCATATCAAAAGAACACATCTTATTGGAAAATCTGTTCTATTAAGGCGAAATAATTTAAAATATTATTACATGTAAGCGAAAGTGGCAAGTGTGATTATTCCAATGACGGTAAAGAAGTTTGTGCATAAATATTTCAACGCTAGGATGCTATTTTGAGAGCGAACGGATCCAACGACGAAGATAAACTTAATGGAAGACTCCATAATGCATGGGTGGGAAATATACATCGATAGTTCTCTTGTAGCGTAAACGGATGCGTCGGCAAAATGATGACCGAGTGATAGGTCTTGATTTTATTTTACATCATTTTTTCTCATGGCGGTCACCACTCGGCGGGACTATCATCTTCTCAGAGTATATTTTTGAAGTGAATGTGGCCTACAGATCAAGGATATCAATATCCATAGTCAAATACTCTAGAATTTTTACAAGCAGAAGTGCTCAATATCTCCTCATGACCTCCATATTGTGTTCCGGGACATAAGAAATACCAGACATCTTCCCTACCGAAATGTGGAAAAAAAAGATAGTTATTGGCCTCATAGCGAGAAGATAAAACAATTCAAACAAATAATGAATGTCTGCAATGCTAAAGAATGCTAGAAGGTTTCAACAAATTATTATATTTAAAAATAGAAAAATATTAGATTAATATATAATAGGCGCTTTGTAACCGCCGAAGCTATTTTCGGCCGAGCTCCTCCTCCAATTTGCGGTTTTGCGTCTTAATGTTTTTCCAACAAATGGAGGGACCTATAGTGTATACTAACCCGCCTCCGAACGCCTGACGGGTTTTTTATGATCAGCTTTATTTCTTGTCCGAAATACACTCGGAGGGGTTGACATTCCCTGCCGAGGGGCGACCGCAATTAGAAAATTGAATTTAATTTATTTCTTTAATAAATTTTCTATAACTTTTTGGATGTAAGTACTGCACCAGGATTTGAACCCGAGTCTTTCGAATGGCAGTACGCAATGCTAACCACTCGGCTACCACGGCCGCCAATATCAGATTAAGGCAGGTCATAAATTTGAAATATCATATTTTAATATCAAACATGAATGAGGATTGAATTTTTGGGTTCACAATTTCAGGGTACAACAAAGACATAAGTTTATTTAGGTTTTCTAACCCTTTTTCCTATTAGACGTGCTACTGTCGGTATTGACCGAAATTAGAAATGTTTTAGTTGCTTTGTTTTAATTTATAAAATGTATACATACTTCATCAGTTCGGCAAAGGGAATTATAAATCCTTTCATCACTTCTAATTTCGGGTATGTTGTCTGCGCCATCTTAAAGAGTTTTTCCTCTTTATTGATCCATTTCACATAATCATCGAACGTCTTCAGTTGACCCATAAAATTTCTTAACAATATATAGTTATGACGAAACTGTTCCGGTACGCTCATATCGTCAATAATTGACAAATTTGGCAGCATAGCCTCAATATCCTCATTTAATTTCTTTATCACATCCTGTAAATGTTCTTCGAAAAGGAATTTGTAATGTTCCTGCTGTGAGGCGTTATAATCACAAATTTCATTAATATCCTGCAGCCAATTGATGGTGCGTATGGTAAGATCGAAATGATATGGTTCCATCTCGGTCAACTCAACCAGATTTGTGCCAACCTGCAGGCAATATTGTATGCGATCTCTTAACGCGAATATAAGTTCCTTCTTCACGAGTATCATATATTCTGCGCTGGCAAGTAATTCTTCGGTCGATCTTGGTATGGTTAATGCCTTCGTTTTTATATCTTCGAAACCAGCGCAAATTTCCTCTTCAGCCTTAATGTGCTCCTTGACCATTTGTTCAGTTATGCGGGCGATTAGATCATCAGCAATACGTCGTAGTGCGATAATCGCCGATTTATTGCTAACAACACACATTTCGAAGAAATCATTTTCCGGTTCACTTTGTAGCATCCGTATAAACTCGAAATAGGTTTCGATACGCTTGAAGTATTCCTCAAATACGCGCGATTCGCTCAAGAACTCATCAAGATCTTCACGCACATCTTCCGCATACAAATTGTAATATTTATTTTTATAGCCAATAATGTACTCTTCTATGGGTTCATATGTGCTTTTCAGCACATTTCTCAGCTTTACCTTATATTCATTCAGCCAATTCTCGTTCATGAATATACGCAGGTAATCGGCAGCACTGTTGACCATGGTTGAATCGATTTGAGGTTCCAATGGTTCCATTTCAGTTGCAACACTTGCTGCGAAATCCACGAGATGTTCGTACATATCATATATGGTCTCCAAACTCGGATCCAGATCGATTGTATTTTCTTCCTCTTCGTAAATCATATTTATTTTCAGCGTCGGTATCTTCTGTACTGTACTGCCTACACGCAGGAATTCATTTAATGTATTTATTTTCATCATATTTATTTGTCTGTTCATCAGCGCCTCCAAGCATTTGAACATTCGCAACTTCAGCCAATTCGGTACTGTACGCTTGCGAAATTGTCGACGAATCACCGATACCATTTTAGGGTACCAAGTCCAACGTATAAAATTGTTTACATCTCCCATAGAAGTCTCCACATATTTTATGAAGGTCTTGTAAAATAATGCCTCTCGACCACCGAGCCCCATTATGGCTTGTACATGACTAGAGCCGAGTGTTATCGGATCTAATACAACCATTGTTTTTGGGAACTCCAGTTCCGAGGTGCTTAAGATCATACGCACTTGCATATACACAATGAGTAGTTTTTTGCCAATCTTACGTTTATTTTCCAGGAATTTTGGATAGTTTTCTGTTCTTCCAGGTAATTTGAAATGGAAATCCTTTCGCGGTAGTAGAAATTGCGTTGGATCTTCATCGGCGAACTCCGGATGCACTAATATGCAATTCATGCTATAAATCTTCATAAGGCGGTCGAATTCCTCATGTACATCCTTCATATAGTTATCGACAAGTTCGGGATATTTGGTTTTTAATCGGTTTGGTGCATAGCTGAGAATTTTCTTTTCAGTTTTTCGCAACATTTTCGGCACTTCTATCTTACGAACCTCACGCCGTAAATTGTCTACATAATCGTTTTCGGGCAATAGACGCATATCCGGCTCAGCCAGCAGTGGTTTGCGACATAGGTTGACTTTTTCGACCGAGGCACGGTATTTAAGAAATCGCGAGTGTCGCTGTCGCTGGACATCGGCGAGTCGAAACTTAAGCAATGGATTTTGCATGTAACCCTCATTGTCGTATTTTTTCAAGTCCGACGGCGGTTGGTACATACGTTCCAATTTTTTCGAAAACATTTTTCTTTAAAACCGTAAGCACGATATGAATATGTTGAAATCAAACGAAAAAATTATACATTTTTCAGACGTCTCCGTATTTTCTCTCTGAAAGTTGTTGATGGGAAAGTTTGCTTGGAAACGATAAATAAATGAACTCACATCGCTTTTTGTTGCCAAGCGAGAAAACCGTTAGACCCTCGTTTCACTTGAATTTAATGTTTAAGCGTTTGGTGCATATATGTATGTATGTATGTAAAATAAGCAATGATTAGGCGCAGTCGACCGTTTTCATTGGTTATTATTCTTAGCACTGCAAGTTGACAACTAATCTAGGGGGATAGACCGAGCTACTGGAAAGGTTGTATCCAATCCCATCTCCCGTCCTATCGCGTGAGGGCAGGTCCTGAGTCTGAACGCTTTTACCGCAGCCATGACGAACTACCTCTGGGATCCGGGTGTCACTTGATTCTCTCATACGGGAATCACTTCATCAAACTTAATACTCCATATTGGGTGGCATGATTGAAAAGGTTGTGTCTCCAAACCAATCTCACGTCGTAACTCGTGAGCGAGAAAGAGCCAAAAGATGCGAGTTGTCGATGCTCTTCATATTAGAGGAAGGACCTGAGTGTCAACCCTTTCTCGTGCATTCGTCTGCCTTGTGTGATGTTGCCGTTTGTAGAGCCATTTGTGGCACCACTTCTAATGCTATTTCTTGCCAAAGGTGCCTGGGATTAATGTAAAACGTGTATGGTCGATGACTCCAATCTTTTCCCGCTCGTACCTAAGTTCGTTTGGGCTGCCCATGCCTTTCGTAGTTAGTATGTTAATTGGACTGATGTCAAGGTTAACTCCCAAGATCTTTGTTGAGGTAGTTCTCATGGCGCCTGATATAGTAAGAAGGCAGATATGTTTCACATTTTGCGGAGACTTGTTACAGCACTTCGTCTTCAATGTCGGCCGCCGTACTACTGCTCCATATTTTCACTGGCCTTACGACACTTGTCTAAAGCCAATACATCACTTAAGGTCGCTGCCACGGATTTACAGAGAGTCCTTGCCTCTCAGCCAAATTGGCTGGGATTTCAAGTACCATCTCGACTGCCCGCGATAGACCATTCGGATGCTTGCCCGAAGATAGAATGAAGAGCTCATCAGCACAATACAATATGCTTATATCTGTGCAACAGTATATAAAAACGTAAGCTATTCAACAAAATCATATTTTTATTTATTTATTCATGAAGCTTGTAAAGCATTTTGATGTAAAGTTTCACTAGATAGAAGACTAATTTTTTGTGTAGCTATTTTTTTTTTTTTTACTTAAACTGAGATTTTAAATTTCGTGTACGTTTGATCGATAGTGAGTGAGCTAAGAAATAAAAAATTCATTAGCTGTGAATTATTTTGAGCGATGATCCAAAGGAAACAGCATTGCTTCTGCGAATATAAACTAACACTCGCATACTATAACAATTAATTGCCTGATTAATTAATTAATTTAATTGAACAGAGATTTTTAATAATCAGAACCTGAGTAACTGTTTTTAAAGCAATATACTTTCAAATAATAATTTTAGCAATAAAAATGTATATTAATAAAGTAACTATTTTATAGACAATCCGGAAATAAAACATTCGATATAAATAAAAAATTATTTTTACTTGATTAATTAATTAACAAGGTGTCACTACTCGATTATTTGATTAATCGCACCGCACATACGTAATTTTAACTTTTAGGTACATTAAGCCTTAAATTAATATATATATATTTTATTAATATAAACTAATATTTAATGATATTAAATGATTGTTTTAGGTTATGGAAAGAGGAATTTGGGTATGTGGTGGGAGTTGGGAAACTAACTCGGTTGGCACTGCATTCCTACAGGGCTCCATGATACACCGCACTTGTTATCTCTCGAAGTGTAGTACATATTCCTTCAGCGGACCAGGTAAATTGAGGCGATTGGCATTCTGCGCCAACTTGCGATTAACCGCCTCATAGATAGCAATACGAGCCATTTGTTTAAGACTGCGTGGTTTGCGGTATAAGGAGGTAATCAATGATATTAATTGTTCGGTCTTTCTATTTGGTACTTGTGCAACATAAAAATTGTGCAACGACTTAAGGCAATTATAAAGTGGTCCATGTTGCATTGTTAAGAAAAACAAATGTATAATACGTGTAAATGTCAGAGCTGGATCGTTGAGAATAAACTCTTTTTTCGTTATTAAAATTATATAATAAAAAAGCAGGTAACGTGAGTGTGTACGGAAAGAATTGCGAAATGTTCCATCTCCACCATTACTTGTGCCAGCGCCTGCGCCATTGCTATTACCACCGCCGCTACAAAGTGCTTCACCAAAATTGGCAATTTCGTTGGAGAATATTGCGCTACCTGTTGTGACCTGACTGCTCAGTACTATGTTAGGATCAGCACCATATTGCATTAGAGTGAGCGTCAATTCGTATATGCATTGCATGTCAGAACAGTTGCGCACATTTTGGACCATATCGCATACGGCCTGTAGTATATGCGGATATGTTTGATTGCAATCAAGTCCATGTTGTAATAATAATAACAATATATTCTTAATAAAGTCGAAATTTGTTCGTTTTTGTGCATCACAATTAAGCGTAAAGTTTTCACTAACAGTAAATACCAAAACATGAAGTGGAGTCAGATTCGAACGATACGAGCAATTTGGATTGGCCCCGTACTGCAATAAAATGCGTATGCAATTCAAATAGCAAACCTGAAATGAAGAAAGTAAAAAAAAAAAAAGAAAATCAGAAAAATGTATGTAGTACATTCCATTGTAACCATACATACCTTCATTGAGTGGGTAAAATGATGTAATTGATCTTTATTAATTAATGGTACAAGTAGCACCATTATAGGTACTGAACCATCGCGTCCCACAATATTCGGATCTCCATTTTCTTTAATTAACATATTAAGCAGTTCAAAACATACTTCCCAATCACGGACATGACGGAATACACAGGCTAACGCACTATTGCCTGTTTGGTTAATTGAGCTCTTAGCACCGTTTTGCAGTAGAAAACGTACAAGATGTAGCACATCCCATTTACTCCATTTGTCGTAGCCATATCTTTAATATTACACATGTATATAACAATTGATTATTATTATATACATACAATATAATGAAAATTTTCTAAGTACACAAGGTCTATTTACCGTGCTTCTTCCAGAGCATAGCGTACTATTAGGGCATGAAGTGGTGTATTTCCCAACGAGTCAGGCTCATTGATGAGCTCCTTGCAGCCACGCTCCAATAATATCCGCAGGGTGCTTAAAGTATCTTCAGCAGATTTGCGCGCAGCGAAAATAACTGAAAAATAAAAATAAATTTAAAAAAAATAAACCACATAAGCAAATTTCATATCAATATTGGTTAATATAGCAGCATTTTAGTGGTATGGGGCACTTCTAAAACGGGAACTAAATTTAGTCGTATTATATAGGAACACCTCGAACTACTACCCGCCCAACTTCTTCTAAAAAACTGCACCAAATTGCACCGAATGTTCATTTTACAATACCGATTGATTTTTCCTAACAGCTGGCCTTGCCTCACCCTCTTACTCTACTAGTTTAATTACTTCCTTATACATACCAACGTGTAAGAGTGTCATTTGCTGAGTACACGTGCGCACTGTTGTCACTGCACCATGTTGTATTAGTAGTTCCAAGAAGCGACCATCATGCAGCACCGCCTGATGAATGGGATAATATTCATCTTTTATCAAATTAATCTCTTCAGAACGTGTAATAACCAATTGTTGAACACAATTCCAAGCACCACGTTCACATGCCAAATGCAATAGCGGTTTTTTTACACGAAAAGGTACCTGATAAAATTTATTACGAAAAAAGTATATAATAATTTAAATGCAAATATGTAAGAAAAAAAAGTTATTACCCATGGATCTTCCATTTTTTGTGCTAAAATATTTAGTACATTGATTTGATCCCCATCAATTGCATAGCAAACGGCATTCTGTAGTTTCGTATTAGCACGTTCACATACGTTTGGAGCAGCACCAACATCATCATAATTTCCATGATACTTGCCACTTTCTTCACAGTTATGCGAGTGTGTACCAGGAAAGCACATTCGGGAATCAGTATCAATGCGCGCACCATGTTTTAATAGTAATTCGACGCACTCTTCATATCCTTTTAAGCAGGCTATATGCAGTGGCAGTGAACAGGGACTACGATTAACATCTGGCCTATGCCGATGTAATAACCACTTTGTTAAATCGATGTGATTTAGGCCTACACTACGTTGTAGTATATTGTAACCGCAGTCGTCGTGAATTATGAGTATATTTTCATTCTAGAAAGATATAATACAATATTTTAGTGAATATAAAATTCAAATAAATTAATATATAATAATTAAAATTATTACAAAAAATTTATGACCCGAACTAAAGTAGGCAAAAATATATTTATAAATTCCTTAAGTCGGTCTTACCTTTGGAATTTGCAGCAGTAGACTTTCCAATGTTTGTAGGGAAACCTTTGGATTGGCACGCAAAATCTCAAAGAGTGTCTGAATACGTGCTTCTGTAGCCTTGGATACTTTATGACCATCACGATGTGAAAGCAGTGCTGACCCTGATCGAAACACCTGACCCATCTTACTCTACTTCAAAGCAACAAAAGCAACCAATTGTCAGCGCAAGGCCAGCAGATGATGTCTTATGTACAACAAAAAAATTAAATTGAAGACATAAAACGCATTTGTTGTATGAATTGATTTCATTACTTTCGCTGTGTAGATATGTAGGTACTACATTTTTTTCTTTCGAAATCCACTTAAAAGTTCTAAAATAAATAAAATAAATTTCTTTGATATTCTATCGAAATTTTTTTGTGCAAGGAAACTTGGCAAATCTTCTTTGTATGATGTTCGTTTTTTTAATCAACTTTGTTTTATAACTGCTATCTTCTAGAATCTGGATAATTATAGATGTTCTGCCACAGAATTTTCTTATTGGAATCAAAACATTTTGCACGAAAATATTAGAGTTTTCACGCAATACACACACCTGACGCAAATGAATCCAGTGCTGCCAAGCTGGATAAATACGCGAATAATTTGAAAGTGGATTGGGGAAACGTCGGTTTAAGTACGAAACACATAAAACACTACACTACGCAACAGCATAGGCGGCTAAAGTACAATAGCTCCCGCGACAGTAGACTTTATACCAGAATTTTGACGGCAATGAATAATGGGTTTAATTTATTTCATTGGAAAAGGCAAGGATGGACCAAACAACTTCAAAAATACTAGACAACCAATTTTTCTAATTGAGGTCCCTCTTCAGTAGGGAATGTCAAGCCCTTCGAGTGTATTTCTGGCATGAAATAAAAACTCCTAATAGGAACCCATCGGCCGTTCGGAAGCGGTTTAGAACAAACTGTAGGTTCATCAGAAGAACAAACCAGACGCATACCACATATTAGAGTATAGTTATTGACAAATATATGTTAAAAAACTTTATTAATAGTGCAATTTATAAAACAGTACAGTCTCGAGTATTAATATCAACATTAATTTTCATTAAAAAAAGTATGCATTAAAAATCGTTCATAGAGTACATTCATAATAATAACCCTTACAAATTTTACAACTTAATGATTTATTACTATCATCGATGGGATTTAAAGAATAAAAATATTTTTCAAGCTCGTCAATTATTTCGATTTGCTTATTTTCAAGAAATTCAAATGAGAGATTAGAATATTTTGTGACACATAACATGAACATTTCATAAAGCACCTTTTCGGTAGGTATAAATGTACGTAGCAGATCATTAATACCATCGCCAAATTCGTCCATAAAAGTTCTAGTTAAATTCATCAACAAATAAAAACTTTTATCACACATAAACGTCGCCATTGTGCCTAGAAGATCAACAAAACTATTTGAATCTAATATATTGCGCACAAATTTAAAACCCGCTGTAGCAAGAAGATGTATAGGATTAAATTCGCCGTCCGAAGTATAGTTAATTAATAGTGGGAGTTCCCGAAGAGCATTACCAGCGGCGGTTCCTGCGGCTGCCTGAGCTAATACCGCAGCGATTTGTTGTATGAAGTCCTCCTTTGAAGGTATATTATTTACCATACGAATAAGATCCATTTTGGAGAAATTTTTACCCATTCTCATACATTCGCTCGAAATTTTGTCAAAGGAGTTTCTGATCAAATTAAAAAATTAAATTTTATTAGAATACATATACACATAAGCATAGGAGTATACATATGTATAAATATAATATTTATTACACACACCTGGTTTGTTTGCGTATTGCTCTACGAATTGAAGCACTTCCTCCACGAGTGGGAATTTTAGAAACCAGTGCCAAATTATTAATTGAATGTGTGAAGACTAGTAAAGAAGATGCCAATTGTAGAACATCAAAGCTGTTAAAACTTTCATCATAGTTCTGTATTTATAAGATACTAAAAAATTATACAAAATATAAAAATTATATCATTTAAGGCATTTGCACTTGCCAAATATAGATCATAAGCTGTATTTAATATATCCGAGCCAGACAGCACTAGCGAAGTTACATTTACACCGCCAACAGCTACCTTCGCTACCTAAAAAAATCTGTAGTTAAAAATCTAAATTATATATGTATTTAAATGTGCTCTCGTACATACCAATGGTACACCTTTACCAGCAGAGTTTGCATAGGCTAAAGCATTCATCGCACCAGATGCGCCCAAGCCAGCAACACCACCTGCCACACCTAACCATTTACTTCTCGCCTCGCGATCAGCAAGGGATGTTGACTGCCCGTGCCGATAACGATCTTTTAAATATGTTGCTGACCGTAAAGTAGCAAAAGCGCTTGTGGCTAATGATACAACTGTTGCAGTTAACATGACTGGCGCTGCGATGGGCATGACCATTGAGAGTGCAAGAGGGGCTGTCCCCGAAATTAGTCCTCCTACACCAATTGCCGTCTCAAGTTTTCTCATTGAATATGTATTTGGTGTAGGCCCAACCTCAAGATCGACCTGTTAAATGGAAAGTTGTTGCTAAATTTAAATTTTGGTGGAAATAGAGAATTTATTTAAATACCTCTTCGTTTTCATTAAAGGTGTAAACGCCGTTTTTTGGGGCCACCATGGTGCCACTCGGAAGCATATTGTTCTTCAAATATTGGTTCCAATTTTGATAAATACGCGAGTGTTCATCTATAAAAATCATGCAACAACCAGAGCTGTTGTTTAAAGCTGTAAATTTAAAAATTAGAATGGTAAAAAAGACGAAAAGAAAGCAATTATTACTGTGTTAACTTGTTGACTTTCCATACAAATTTACTGTGAAAATTTAATTAAATAGTTTTGATCCGCAAATTGTTTATACATAAGACATACAAATATTCACCATTTAAAAACTGTTTTAGTTTAATTAATGTTTGTTTTAAACATTTGTTTTTTTTTTCTAACATTTTGGTACCATTGGAATTATAATAATTTTTTCTTCCTACATACAGATTTTAATAACAACTTACATAAGCATTTACGTGTGCGTATTACAGGATGGAAAGAAAATTCTGTTGAGTTTTTAGCAGCCCTGTGGTCTTTTTCTTGAGCTACCATTACATAAATTATGGATGAGAGCAAGACACGATTTGTATATTTACCTAAAATATATAAGAATTATTATGTAACGTACAGCTTAATGTAAGTCAAAAGCAGCGAATCTACGAAATTATTTGAATTTTTAGTTATATAATTTAAGAAAATTGTACACAACAAAAATCTTATAGAGTAATATTTGCGAAATCATTGTTCCTTCTAAATAAATGATCACAAAGTGTATTCCACTACTTATATCTTTTATCCTTACGTTGCAACCAGACGTTGTGGAAAATATTTTGACGCGCTTTCTCCATTTCAGTCTGCCTTTGATCGTTATCCGGAAATATATTTTTAATTTTTTCCTTAAATATTGCAGATTGATTGGCGGATAAACTGTTGAGAAAAAAATTGGGTAATTCCTGGGGCATTATGTAAAAACATTTCTTTTGCACTCACGAATCCCACACTATTTCCATGCCATGACCAATGCTTCTCGCCAAGTCGGTTTGAACCTCATATATTGTACGATGCCTCATTTTGAATAAAATTTTGAAGTTGCGATGTGATATATTATTTTAACAATATGTTATATTTATTCCGTAACACCGATTGTAAAATACAGGCAAGCAAAGGATAATACACAAAACGACACAAACACTGGTTAATTTGCAATTTCTATAGCAACAACCCAATTGTTTAACGAACGACACACATTCATCTAGAAATTTACAAGTTAAGAATGTTAAATTCAGGATCCGTTAATCATATAACACTGAGACAAAAAATACAAGACAAATTTGTGTACTTCCCCTTCAAAAAATTTATTATAGATCGGAGCAGTTTGACTTGACTATTATCGAAAAGATCACCAGTCGATAAAAAAGCTTATCGGTTATAAAATTCATTTTCCTTACAATGTTGAGAAATAATATTAAAACTAATAAAGCAATATGTTTTGATATATTTTTCTGATAACACGAAGAAGGTATATTTTAGAAATGAAATATAAAATATTGTTATATATCAACATGAACAAAATAAATGTATAAAACAATCTTTTCGTAGCAAAATAAGGATTTGCCGTAAAACTGGTGTTTTCGCCATAAAAACCTGGATTTCGCTGAAATCCACTTGATATACACTTTGCACTCTTTCCAATTGGTTTCTGACCTAGTTTGCTCGATATTTTTTATCGAAGTGGAAGGCTTCTTTCGCCATACCAAAGAGTTTGAATTTAAAGCAAAATTTAAATTGTTGCGCTTCCAACTGACTGAATTATCTATCTCTCAAACTATACAACACTAAACAATCAAATGGCAAGAGAAGTTGGCTTGAAGCAGAACGTTATTAGCCAACATCAGTCATATTTAGTTTATTGGTTCAAATGTTCAGATTTACATTTGCAATTAATTAAATTTCATGAAACTCCCTTCAGTACATAGAAGAGTGGAATATCTGTCAGTTCATGAAATATACTTTGTTCCAACCAAATTTTTCCTTAAAGAAGTCATTGCCATTTGTTTGACCCATTTTTCAAAAATATTGATTTCGTTTCTGTAACGATAAATAGCTTGTTTTTGAATAGTTACATCTGTAAAATATGTTTCACCTTTATCCAGCACGCTATTATCGAATCGTAGAGCATTTATTATTTATCTTTGCAATCATTCTTGCCACTTTTAAACGCCGCCTTTTCTTTACTTTCCAGTTCTTAAATTTGAGCAGTTGCTGACAACGATTTTGGATTGATTCCGTAATGTTGACGCATATAATATTTTCTTTTTCATATTAAAATTTTGTCCACGAATTTGAAATAGCAGTCGCACCAACAACAGCGTCTAGTTGTGCAGACGTATGATAATGTCTAAGCGAATTCATTTTGTGCAAGGAATGTTCAATTGAACAACAAAATCATGTGTTATCACATAAGTGCCAATGATAAGTACAATCAGCTGTTAAAAAAGAATAACTTTTTTAAATTACCTGTTAGAATATTTAAATAAATAAGATTTATAAAAATGTTAGTTCAAAGAAGTGTGACGGCAAATTTTTTATTCAAAACTCGAATTACTAATATATTTGAAAACTACGGTGTACGGCTTTGTACTCAAAATGCCGGTGATATGAGTTCCAATGCCACACAACAAACTTCTCAGGCAGATTCTAACAATACAAATTCTCAAAAGCGCTCACAAATGCATTTGTACAATGCCTTAGTAGACGATACGCAAGAGCGTCGTGCTATAAATCCCAAAAATACAACTATTACGCTGTTTCCCGGTCAAGGAGCACAATATGTCGGTATGGCGGAAAAATTGATGCGATTTCCTTCAGCACGTTCTATATTCAAATTAGCGAATGAAGTTTTGGGTTATGATCTCTTGAAGATATGTCTTGAAGGCCCGCGCGATAAACTAAATCGTACTGAATATGCTCAACTGGCGGTAATGGTTTCATCTTTGGCCGCTTTGGAGCAACTTCGCGAAGAGAGACCACAAGCTATTGACAATTGCGTAGCAACAGCTGGCTTTAGTTTAGGTGAAATTACTGCATTAGTTTTTGCCGGTGCCTTGCCATTCGATAAAGCATTGCATTTAGTTCAAGTGCGTGCAAATGCCATGCAAGCTGCTTGTGATGCAATGCCTAGTGGTATGGCACTAATATTGTATGGACCAGATACGCATGTTGGCACGGTTTGCGCAAAAGCACAACAGTGGTCCTTGGAGCGAGGAGTAGAAACGCCATACTGTGGCATAGCAAACTATATGTATCCGCATTGCAAAGTAATAGCCGGTGACTTGGAAGCGTTACAATATATTGAAGTTAATGCAAAAGAGCTGAAAATAAAGCGTATGAAGCGGCTGCAGGTAAATGGAGCTTTCCATACACCTCTCATGAAATCTGCTGTTGAACCTTTCGCTAGAGCACTTAAAAACATGTACATAAAGGAACCTATTATTAGAGTTTATTCAAATGTGGACGGAAAACCGTATCGTAACGCGACACATATACTACGCCAACTCCCGAATCAGGTGTGTAAAAGTTTTACTATGTAAAAGGACACTATACAAATATTAATATATTCATACTTTCAGATTGTAAGCCCAGTTAAATGGGAACAAACTATGCATTTAATGTATGAGCGGCGACAGGGCGTTGATTTTCCACGTACGTTCGAATGTGGGCCTGGTAAAGGATTGAAACAAATCCTCGACAAGGTCAATGCGAAAGCGGCGACAACAGCTGTCAACGTTGAAGCGTAATTTAAACGTTTTGAATTATTTTCTTTAAATAAAATGTAAAAAATAATTATTTAATTATTCATTTAAGTTTTAAAGTTAAGTCTCAAATAACAAATTTGTTTGGTTTTCTGACGAACAAAATAATAATATTGTAATACGTTCTTCTGTTCATTTCGTTAACAAAGAATTAATGTTTCTACAATAGAACTTTTATTTAATTTAGCCTTTTCAAATAATATTCAATATTTTGATATCATACAAAATAATTAATTTAACTTTTGTCATCTCGTGCACGCATTCTGTGCACAAAAGCTGCACCTTTATTCTTACGGAAATTTTCAAACGGATCATTCATGTTAATTCCAACCCCCTAAAAAGAGAATAAAACAGTTTGTATATTGTCACCATGAATAAATTCATTTTACGACCTTGAACATATCTTTGCGATCGCGAACTTCGCCGCCTGAAATGGGTTGGTCGATGCCCTGCTGTTTTGATCCTAAACCAGTACCCGAACCAGCCCAACCCATTTTCTTTAGCATTTGATGGCCCTTGTTTGTTTCTTCAATAAATTCATTAGGTTTTGGAAAATTACCTCCACTAAAATTAAAAAAAAATAAAAGAAATTAAATCAAATTATACAAATCGGCACCGTCTAAACGCTAATGTGCATACTAGAAGCTAGGAGGGGTAACAGAGCGTTCACGTCTTGGATTAGCACGCTCAGGCCTATTCTCTCGACTACTGCTAGAATTATCACGTTCCCGTTCATTTCTTTCTCTTTGAGGCGAACGTCTGGGTGAGCGGCTTCTTCGGTTGTATCGATTGTTGCGACGATTGGAAGATGAACGGGCTGGAGGTGGAGATTTGTATGGTGAACGAGACTTAGACCGACTGCGACTTTTTGAACTAAGAACAGAAGAATTATATATCGTTTATTTATTAAGTTTAATTTGAACAATAAGTAATAACCATTTAAGCACACATATTCGTTATATTTCAAAAATTTTCGTACGATTAATACTTACCGATAACATCGCTTATTAAGTTTTTTCGTTTTCGGTTTTTCTATAACTATAGGCGAAGGTGAGCGTGTTTTTTCTCGTTCACCCTTCTGTAGTTCCTCTTCTTTCTGCTTTTTCGCCGCATTCTTCACTTTATAATATTCATACAGACCAAGTTTTTCCCAGCCCTCACTGCAGATATAAAACGATAAAATCCATAAAAAAAAAAAAACGAATTTTAAATTCCGCTGTTTCTATATATAAAGCTACGTACGTATCTCGTGGTCGATCATGTGTTGGAGGCGCGTAAAATGCCGCTAATGCATTAGTCAGTCGCTCACTTTGTGGTGCGGGTGGTGGCAATCGTATTTCCGCAGGATCGAGCGGTTTGTAATTATAGTCATCAAGACGTATCAAAGGCACCATCAAACCCGCTGGTAAATCGTAGTACGGTGCTGATGGCTTTTGCTCCTCAACTTCAATTTGTGCCGGTATAATACCCAATTGCCCGGGAATATCTTCATTGTCAATCATATGTTGGGGCGGCATTTGCGGTTGCGCCAATGACGGCACATTTGCTTGCAAATCGGAATTTGACATTATTTGCCCGCTCATATCTAAATTTTGTTGAGAATTTTGAATTTGTTGATTTTGCTGATTTAGCACAAGTTGTATGGCCGCATTCAGTGCCATTACATCTATGTTGGGCCCAGCTGCATTCAAATTGCTACCATCCATATTACCAGCGCCTACACTGTTGTTACTATTGACAGGATGTTGAGGAATGTTATTTATTTGTGTAAATGCTGGCTGCAAATTTACCGGCAATTGATTCGAGGACGAATTGCCAGCACTTGCAAAGCCTGGAGGAGGTCGCGACAAATCTGGTATGAAGAAATTATTCGTACCGCCCTGTTGTTGTTGTTGTTGCTGCTGCTGCTGTTGCATGCTATCTAACGCATGTTGAGGAACATTCGATGATTGTCCGAAATTAATATTATTATCGTATTGTTGGTTTTTTTGTTGCTGTTGTTGATAATGATGGTTGCGATTAGTTGCAACACCACTGCCGCTACTATAATTGGCGTCATCAACACCCGGTGGTTTTATGAGTTCATCATCATCTGTGCCTGGCATCGACACCTTTTGTGCCATAAGTGATGGAATTTTAGACATAACTGATTGTTGTTGTTGTGGAGGTAATGTTGGAGTTACCGGCAAGATTGCAGCTGCATTGGGCAACACAGATGCCAACATTTGCTGTTCCATTTGTTGTTTTTGTTGCTCCAGTTGTGTGATTTGTTGAGTGGCATGTTGAATGAAGACTTGATGCTGCTTTTGGTAACTAGAGCAAGGGGTGGAAAGGCAAAAAAAAGAAAAACAGACAGAAAAATTTAAAATGTGAAAATAATTTGTTTTTTTAAATTGGCTGATTTTTTGTTAGTTTGTTCTTTTCTTCAGCCTTTATTGGTGGCACTTGCATACTTCTCTAATGTGGCCTTCGTGGTTTGTGCAAACTTTGTTACAATATCCTGATGCAAGTTCTGCAAATTTGTTTTGTATTCTTGCATCGAAGAGTCAGGCGATTGCAGCTTCGATATAACACAGGCGTCGAAAAATTTCGCCTTTGACTCCCACAGCGAGAGCAGTTTAGTAAGTTTGGCACGCTGGTCTGCACTGGCAACTATAAAAACAAACAAATTGTATAATAGCGGTTAAGAGATTTCAATGAGTTTGTAAACTTACTTAAATCTGCACTGCAAAACATCGGTATGACCACATTTTCCAAATTGTTCTTCAAGTCATTCGAATTTTTGCGTACGCTGAAAAATGAAATTGTGAGTTTATAAAAAATATTGAACAACGGACGAGGACCAAACTAGTTTGTGTGTTGTTTAAATATATTTAGAAAGTACTGTTGAGTACAAAATAAAAGAATATTTGCCTATGATGCTAAATTTTGGTTTAAATGAAATACTAAATTAATTTAGAATTCAATCAAAAGTGATTAACTGTAAATTTTGATTTTTGTCTAATTAAATATTTGAAACGATTTTTGTCTAATTAAATTCTAAACGGAATTCTATATTATTAGTACATGTATATGTGCTTTAATTATTCACATAATAGCATAATTTAAAAAAAAAAGTAGACTTCGATGATAAAGGTAAAAATGTCTATATCCACATGCACTAATACGCTCTTTCTCAAGTTTATCTAATATACACATATGTGTATGTACATATATATATAATATAAAAACTTGATTTATTACATTTTTTTTTTTTTTATGATACATGAAAATATTTTTTATGAATTGTAGAAATTATTATTAAATTATTTGCACATAATGTTTTATTAAAGCAATAAAATAACACTATCTACGCTTCCAAATAAAATAGTGTAAAAGTGTTTTCACAACTTACCAGTGATGTAGTATATCATTTACTAAATATATAAGATGCAATTTTTGTTGAAATGTTGAACCATTGACCAAAGCCCTAAAAATAAATTTACAAAGATATTTTCCGTGTCTCTTGCCCACTGTAACTTAATTTTTTGTACGCTATAATAAATTTTTCTCGCGTTACTTTTTTCTACGTTAAATTGCAAATTTTCTTTAATGTTAAAAAAGATCGTTAGAAAGTATTTTTTTTTTCATTTTTTTGGTCGATAAAAAATTAATTAATTTCAAAGGTATTTTAGAGTGTACATTTCTTGTGGAAAAATGCACGCACTTAAATACGGTTTAAAGTTCAATATTTAATTTGTTTCAACGTATATTCTTCTGCTATGAGTAAATAGTGAGGGAGCAAGATATCAAATAAATTTTTTTTTATTTATTTAAATGTAAGTTAATAAGGGTCAGGCAGAATTGCTCTCCTATTTGTTGGTATGTACTTGTTGGTCACCACGAGTGGAAAGAGAAATTTGGTTATGAGTTAATAAATTATTTAAATAAGGTAATTGATTAACTGACGCATACTTTTTTAAAAGATATTGTAAAACAACATTGCTTTTTGCGCTGTCGGATGAATGCTGTAATATCCAGTTTTTGCCTAAAATTGCAATACCAAAAATGTTACTTTATTTTGTTAACATTTTTGCAAGTTTTTAAAGAGTACTATATACAAATAAAGTATAAATAGATTTTAAAATAGTAAATGTGTTTTTAATAAAAAAAAAATTTATATATATAAATGTATATAGAAGTAATTTTTCAATTTTTATTGTTTTATATGGAATATATTTACCTGCAGATATGCTATCCTTGGTGCATGATTCGATTATTGGCTGCAAAATGCTATCAAATTCACGTAACGCAATGCTATTATCTTCGGCCTGTTTCTCCAGCTGCCCATTTTGTGCCGTTTCAATGGCCTCTTCAATTTGTTTGGATTGTTGTGTCATCATTGCCTAAAGTTTTTTTTTTAGTATTTTTTTGGACGCAGTGCAAAGACGAACGATTGAGCGAATTTTCGAACCACAACAATTTCAAGACGAAATAAGGTTTGTTTGTTTGTTTTTTTTTTTTGAGTTTGTTTGTGTCATATTGGAGGTTTTAAAAATATATAAGTAAAGCAAATTTTTAAATATTGGCATATAGGTTTGACATATAAATGTGCATATGATATAAAAGTACAAACATACAATTGTATGCGAAATATAACTTAAATGCTACTACTTTTTGTGAGATAAATACAACATAATGCTGTACAGGAGCTTAAGAGGTCTGGCAGTAGGGGCGAGCCGAGAAGCAATACATATTTAATCGAAATTTAAAATTAACCAAGTCGAAAGGAATAATAATGCAGAACTGATACCCCATCTAGTCAACGTAAATATTTATTTGTATGCTTAACATACAAACTCAACAACGAGTGTACCAACTATGTTATGGTACATAATTCCAAAATAATACTTTATTGCAATAATAAACGATATAACAAACGTTCCCTAATAAAAAAAAATATTATTTTAAATTGGACATTTTTTTTATATATGTATGTACAATACAACGGGCACAGCTATACTCTAAAATGAAGTTTTATTTTGGTCCATTCTGAGCAATTCCATAACTTATTTATTGCGTTCTGATTTTATTCTTAAATTCCAGAACTTCAATTTGTTGACTTATTTGTTGCAAAAGATGTTCTCAGTTGGGTGAGCATAAGTCCATAACAATTGTACGGCTTTGCTTCTTCTAGCAAAAGCTTTAAGCGGCATAACTGCTAATTTGTCTGCTGAAAGTTTTAAATAACTATAATTATTTTTCTCCATTTAGTTCATAACTTCAAATCTATATTTGCAATCTTACCTATTTGGTTTTTATATATTGTTGATTGCTGTTTCTTTTTTTCAAATGTGCACTTTTCTTTTTGAAAAAACACTTTTTCGAACGAAATTAAATATTTAATTGATCTAACACATTTCACTTGAAGCATTAAAAGCTAGAATTTTCTAATTAAAATCTTTAAGATACATAAAACCTCTGCTCCTAACACTTTGCTTTTTGGAAATCAGTGACTTCACCCAACCGAAACCTATTAGAAATTATTATTTCAAATTTAAATTACCGAGTGTTGTGCAGAGAGATTTGACTCAGATTGATGAATTTGTTCACGCAAAGTATTTTGCTGGATGTTAATCGCCTCGATTTGTCCTGTTATATTTATTGCTATATTAGCACTGTTATTTGCCGTTGGCGGCGGTTGTTGCATATTTATATTCAAAGTATTTCCGTCGTGCGAATTTTGTGCCATTCCAGGTGGTTGTATAATATGCATTTGGTTTTGTGGACCTTGAGTAAAATGATGCGGCACCGGTGGTAATGACGACTGTTGACTATGATGTTGTGGCAAATGATGTACAGGCGTTATATGATGAGGCGAGGCTTGCGGTATGGTACCTTGTTGTTTCAGAACTAAAAAAGAACAAATTTTAAAATTAATAAGTATTTAAACTTTTTTTTGGAAACAAACATGTTATAAATTATGCAATATTTAATCATTTTGCTTACAATTTTGTTCGGCAGTCACTCTATATTGATAGTAGTCAGCGAATTCGCCTCCATAGAGAAAATCGAATTTGGGATTGCCGCGTTGCTTTTGTTTGGTTATCATTTCAAACTCGGGCCCATTCCGTGCAACAAACTCTGCCAATTTGTCGATTATGTTCCTTAGACTGGAATCTAAATAAATAAAATTTTGTTATAGCATAATTTTATACTAAGAATTTTGCATTTTTCATTCTGATCTTTTATGAACCGGAATAGGCGGTTGAATGGGGTTATGATGCTATGGTCACGAACTCGCTAAACAGAGTGCTAAGAAAAAACCATGAGTATAGCACTCGATTTTCTTACCTCTGGGTGGAGGTGGACTGTCCATCATTTTGTTTACTTATTTTACACTTATTTTTCTGCACTTAATGTACTTTTAGTAAGCTTTTACTGTACAAGTTCTTGCAAATTTTATACGAATCCAAATTTTCTCGTCGACGCCATATTTTTACTTTGCTGAATTTTGACAACTAAGAGATACACAATGAAATCAAAACACAAACAGGGTAACTTGAAAAATTATAGAAAGCAGAACGTATATGAACGTTCTTTGATAATGAGGTCCGACATACTCGTTGATGTGCGGCCACTGTGGCTGTTCAATGTATACGTCTTGGCAATCGTTAATGCCCGAAAGAACTTTATGAGATGAAGAAAGTTGCAAATGAATAAATTAAACTCAATGGGAATTATATGAATTCGCCCAACTCCATTGGTTATTTCAAAGAACGTATATATTCATATATTCATATACGTTCTTTGTTTGTACTAAATTCGCAATCGTCGAAGTGTCTGAAACACAGCAACCCAACAACAGGCATGCATGTGAAATGCACTACAATTGTAGTAGTTGAATATGTTCTAAATTGTAAATAGCGAAAAAGTGGGCTCGTCTTGCGTTTACTATTTAAAAACAAATGCCGCAGTTCGTAAGATTTGTTTATATTCCAATTCGCAAATATATGTTTTTGTAGAGCCAGTTAAATTAAAACCAAAACGGATTTTTGTGTTAAAAACTAAAAATAACTCATATACATATATGTAAGTGCAAAGTACAAAACTGTGCACGTTCAGTGTTGCGGCCATGGCAAGGTAATTATGTAGTAAATAATTACATAAATAAATATTGGGGCTACATATGTACATATGTAAAAAACATGTTATTGCAAGAAAAGAAGAAAATATAATACAATTTTGTATATGTGTCAGAATGAAATTCAACCAATCAGATTTGAGCATCATGTGGGCTCGTCAAGGATAGGCTTGCCTAGGTATATTCTGATAATAAATGTAAATATGTATGTACATATGTTTACACACTGAAAAAAAAAACATTTTTTGACTACGTGAAAAAACCATAGACTTCTGTTATACTTATTGGATCTTTTTTTAATGCAAAATGATTCCACAATTAACAGAATTAATAATATTCAACGAAAAAAAACAACAAAACGATACTACACATTTTTTACACTGTCAAGAAACTGTTTACACATTCTGCTTTCCCCTCTGTTTCGCTCTCGTATATGCCTAAAAAAGGTAGTTAACCGTTATCTAAGCTTCTGTAATTGCTCATTGCTGTGAGCGCTGGTAAAAAATTACTCTTAAGAATTTTTAAACTGCCCGGTAAAAGGTTGGCATTTAAAGTTAATCAAATGACTTATTATAACCACCAATAAAGTAAATCGCTTCCAGAATTGATAGACATGTTTTCTATATCATAGAAAATAATTTATAATATTCTGAGTTGTGCGAACAACGAAGGGAGGCTTGATGCAGAGAGTAGAGGTGGCTGTAAGCTGAAAATTGATGAACGATCTGACCGCATAATCAATCAGAATCTTAAGTAAGATTGGATGAGTGTATAAGTTCGTGCCCGATTCCGCTGGATGCCGTTCGAATCGTTTGAGAGTGGCGCTCGTGAAAGAAATATATACATATTATATATCGTTGGAAAGGTGACAGTCCGAACTATAAATCAAGCATAAAATAACTTCATTTTGATTTGAGTTGCTTAGTGAAAAGACGCATGGAAGATGGACAACGAAAAAGATCATATGCGTCATATTATGTTATACGAATTCCGCAAAGGAAAAACAGTAGGCGCTGCAACTAAAGATATTCGCGAAGTTTATTTGGACCGTGCTCCAGCACTCCGCACAGTAAAGAAATGGTTCGCGAAATTTCGTTCTGGAGATTTTAACCTCGAAGATCAACCTCGCAGTGGACGGCCTTCTGAGCTTGATGACGATGTTCTAAGGACTTTAGTTGCGAATAACTCACGTATTTCGACGGAAGAGGTTGCCAGTGAATTGAACGTCAACAAATCAACTGCGTTTCGTCGTTTAAAAAAGGTTGGGTACACTTTGAAGCTCGATACATGGGTGCCACATCAGTTGAGTGAAAAAAACAAAGTGGACCGTATGTCAACAGCAATTTCTTTGCTTCGACGGATCAAAAACGAACCTTTTTTGGATCGGCTCGTGACTGGTGATGAAAAATGGATCCTGTACAACAATGTTCAACGCAAAAGAACATGGAAACAGGCACACGAAGGGGCGGAACCGATGTCGAAAGGTGGATTGCATCCGATGAAGGTACTGCTGTGCATTTGGTGGGATATCCGAGGCGTGATCTATTTTGAGCTCTTGCCAGCTGGAGAAACGATCACTGCCAACAAGTATTGTCAGCAATTGGTCGAATTGAAGAAAGCAATTGATGAAAAACGTCCGATTTTGGCCAATCGCAAAGGAGTTCTTTTCCATCATGACAACGCCAGGCCACATGTTGCAAAACCGACCCTGGCCAAACTGAAGGAGATGAATTGGGAAATCATGCCGCATCCCCCATATTCACCCGACATTGCACCTTCTGATTATCATTTGTTTCGATCGCTGCAGAACAATTTGAAGGGAAAAAAATTTTAAAATGTGGAAGACGTCAAAAACCACCTTGACACCTTTTTCAACGAGAAACCGCGCGATTTCTATGAATCAGGCATCCGCAAATTGGTTGAACGTTGGGAGTGGATTGCCGAACATGATGGCGAATACATAATTGATTAATAAAAGCGCTTTCTTCAAAAAATTTCAATTTTAGTTTGCACTTGAAATCCGGCACGAACTTATGCACTCATCAATATTTGTCTGCCAAGCCATTCAGCAGAACCAGTACCGATCAAGAATTGCTTAAAAAAGTCCACAGTTTTCTGTGATCAATGTAGAACAGCGCTTTACTTTCGCTGTAACCATGGGCAGAATATTGGGACAACATTATATTCTGTGAGGAAATCACAATGATGCTATACTAAAACGATGACCCAAGCAGAATATAGTGCAAAACTCTTGGTTATTACTTGGAGCTGCATCTCCAGTCAAGGAGTGGGAAAAACCAAAGAAATAATAAGATAAATAAGCAATTCAGTGTCGCTTTCTATAACACTCCTGAATAATTTAATATTGATTTATTGTACATTGCGTATTGTTATACTATTGTACAATAAAAGAAATTAATTTTGAAAACAAATTTTCGTAAAAGTTTTTATTGGAAAATATTTTTTAATTTTTACTTGCAATTTTTAGTATTTAGCATTGCTATTATTTTGATCGCAGCTGTATGCATTGGGTTGCTCCAAAAGAAACCGGCGATTTTTTAAAAGAAAGTTAATACATACATACACTTTTTTTTTAATTTCACAATGAACTCGAATCAATTATGTAATTTCCATTTTGTTCCATGACCTTTCGCCATCATTCCGGGAACATCATTATTCCCCGCTCCGGCCTTTATCTACAAACAAATTGAACCAAATGCAATTTTATAGCTTCGTCTTTTTCAAAAGTTTTATCATTTAATGAGTTCTGCAAAGATCGATACAGATGGTAGTCTGACGGTGGATGCATCAACAGTTCGTAGCCAAGCTCTTTCAGTTTTTGGCGAGTGACCAAAGATGTTTGTGGTCTAGCAATGTCCTGGCGGAATATGTCATCTTACGATTGACCGATTCTGCCCGCTTCTCCTTGATGGATGTAATCAATTTGTCCAGCTTTTCACAGTAGACATCCAATTTAATCATTTGGTTCCTTGGAAGTAGCTCAAAATTTATTGTACCACACACTGCCAATCTCTTTTAACTGACAGCACAATCTTCTTTTGTTGAATGCCAACCTTTGAAGTCTCCCAAAGGGAATTGGACAAACCAACTTCAACCCTGCGTTTCCTTTAAGGCCTCATCACCACACAAATTATGTAACTTTTTATCAACCGTTGGTGCATTTTTTTCTTTAAGGAAATAATAAAGGAAAATGTGGCGAAAATGTTCTTTTGTGGGCTCGATTTTGAAATTGACGACACACAGACAAATTTAAATAAAATTTCTCGTACTTTTTTTTCTAAAGCAAGCTAAAAGTGACAGCTTATAACTGTCAAAACAAAAGAACAAATACAATTAAATACTCACAAGCCGTTCTCCACACTGTCTCCCTTCCGCTTTTTTGCTCTTCATTCAATGTTTTATAAAAAGTGTTACAGTGTTCGGATTCAGTTAAAATATGCGCCGTTTTGTTCGATGATCTGTTTTCATCTAGACGGCAACTTCATAATACCTTCCTCGTAGAAGCCCCCCTCCTTATTTGCGAAGAATTCGGACAGCCACTTTTCACAAGCCTCTTTTGAGTTCAACTTCACACCACCAAGGGTATTCGCCATGGACAGGAACAGGTGGTAATCACTTGGCGCTACGTCCGGGCTATATGGTGGATGCGATAAAACCTCCCATCCGAGCTCCCGTAGCTTCTGACGAGTCATCAACGAAGTGTGTGGTCTGGCGTTGTCCTGGTGGAACACTACACCCTTCCTGTTGGCCAATTCTGGACGCTTCTGGTCGATCGCCTGCTTCAAGCGGTCCAGTTGTTCGCAGTAGATGGTAGAATTAAGCGTCTGGCCATATGGGAGCAGCTCATAGTGGATGATTCCCTTCCAATCCCACCAAACACACAGCAAAACCTTCCTGGCCGTCAATCCCGGCTTGGCCACTGTTTGGGACGATTCACCGGCCTTCGACCACGACCGTTTTCGCTTGATATTGTCGTATGTGATCCATTTTTCGTCGCCAGTCACCATCCGCTTCAAGAATGGGTCGAGTTCGTTCCGTTTCAGCAGCATATCGCAGGCGTTGATTCGGTCCAGAAGGTTTTTTTGCGTCAAATTATGCGGCACCCAAACATCAAACTTTTTTTTGTATCCAGCCTTCTGCAGATGGTTCAAAATGGTTTGGTGACTAACTCCCATCTCCTGGGCGATGTCACGAGATGCCATATGCCGGTCTAACTCGATGTATTCCATGATTTGATCGGTATTTGTCGTCACAGGTCTTCCGCCGGCTGGCTTATCCATGGTGTCGTTTTCACCGGCTCTGAATCGTCGAAACCATTCCTCCGCGGTTCGAAGTGATAGAGTACCATCCCCCAAAACACCATTAATCTCACGGAACGTTTCTCTAGCGGATTTGCCTTTAACGAAGGAAAACTTTAATATAGCGCGAATTTCGGCGTTAGTGAACTCCATGTTTACACGTCTATAACTGTTGAACGCAATATCCAAACTAATCATGCATAGCGTTGTTTTGTAGGTTATGTCAAGACCTTTCAAATTATGTATAGTGTTGCCAGCTCTGTAGCGCTTTGTACATAGCCGCGAAATTCAAAAGACAAAAAAGACGGAAGGGAGATATTTGACAACCTTATATTTTAACTGTAAGCTAAATTATCGTACTTGAAATTTAAAGCAAATTTTTGTGTTGATTTATGTTATTAAAAATAACATAGAGCTTGATTGAAGATAAGTTTTATAACAATAAATAATAAAATATTTCGGTTGTATACGTAAGGTAGTTATCAATTAAAAAAATTTACAAAAATATATATTACGTATGTAAGTATATACATAAATACAAAAACAAAGGAATAATATAATAATAAATATTTGAATTTTCCATTTCAATATCATTATCGATTTCGGTTATCTTCTCGCTGATAGCGTCTAAGAAATCCAACTGCCGCTTATTATACATATATACATACATACACATGTAT